CTTTTTTCGCTTTACAAAGCACAGGCTGTCTGCGAACTGAGACGCAGTTTGCGGTATCGGTCATTAGAACAGTTGACGTTACTGCCTTTTGAAAACAGCCTTTGCTCACCTGCGGCGCTGGCTCGCTCTGCCGTATTTTTGTTTTCTTCCCACGTTTCAGTCAAGCGGCAGTGATGACGACGACGGCTGCGGATGACGCATTAATCGCGCGACACAACTAATCGATGATGAAATTCGTTGCCAACGCTTTTAAAAGTCGATTTTTATCGATTCGTTGTTGCAGTTCTAGTGGATACTGATGTGCACAAATAATGAATATCTGTATTAACCATCCATGGAAACAGAGTGTTTTGATCCCCCCCCCATGGTCAGGGCATAGAGCTTTGAATCCTGAGGTTGTGAGTTTGAGCCCCACTCCCCCAGCCTGTTACTCTGGGTCCCTGAGCAAGACCCTTAACCCCACTCTGTTCCCCCCTCTGTGCATTTCTCCATTGTGGGGCAATAAAAGGATTAAGACATTTTTCCTCATCAGTCGGGAGCAGAGTTACATCAATGTTTGTTTCAAGACAGATTTGGTGGTAAACTGTGGAAGGAAGGCAGAGATCACTGAGTGGAAGAGTAATAAACAACCTCCCTTCTATACAATGGTGGGCTTTGAGTAACATGGAGCGGCACGGTCACAGGGACGGTCCAGCCGCTGGATGCTGGGACAATGTGACCATTGGAAGGTGACATCACTGGGCAGCCTGGAGGCAAAGGATGCAGGCAGGAAGGGTCGCGCCCAAAAGAAGCAAACCTGTTCTTTCTGGATGGCGGCGCGGCTGAAACCTAATTTTTCTTTGCAAAGCTGGATTCACTCTGAAGAGATCAGAGCGTCAGCCTTCCAGTCCTTCCTGCCTCTGGCTGGCGGAACAGGCGGCCATCTTAGGCCTGGGTTACGCTCAGAAACCAGGTCGCAGTTAACGCAGATATGCCCTGCCCCCTTCCGCAGACACTCTGGGGCACCTCTCCAAGATTGTAGGTGACTGCAGACAGGAGGCCTCTGATTGGTCGATTCTACATCCGCTCCACACTATGCGTTTGGTCCCTAACGGCAGAAACTCTGGCTGTAGCTCCGCCCACAGCGCCTGGCTCACCTCGGACTCTATCCCAGACACTGTGCAGGACTCTAGTTTGTGGCTCTGAGCGACGGTCTGTTGCTTTGCACCCGAAGCCAAAACACGCAGCGCCACGGCTGGTCTTTGGGGAATGCTCACGGGTGAACTGTGCGTCGCCCGGCGCTGGATGAGCGGTTGTAGATGGCGAACAAGCTCATCAAACGGACGCCCACTATCCCAGCTATCCGTTGATTTGAACCTTTTGGGACTGACTATGTCCTGGATGACTGAGAATCTTCACCAGCAGCTTAATTAATTCCTATAAGCAAACCTTCTGCAGCCTTCAGGGTCATTATGATCAGCAGGAACAGCCTGCAGCAGAGAAAGACGAGGAGCTGTTGCTGTTCCACAGCTCTGCTGTTAAACAGCTTCTATTTTTAATTAAAAAAGGATTAAATAGTTCATATTGGAGATGCATTAGCATTTCCAATGATTTACTAATTTGGTCTAAAGATGGTGAGGATCGGTGACCCTGCAGAGTAAATAAACTCCTGAAGGTCGCTAATGAATCCAGTGAATATGGAGTTTAAAGAATATTAATTTCTGATGATCTATCACGTTCATTTCTCTCCCAAACGTAGCAGCTGATTCTAAGATTTGTGCCGTTTTTGTTTTTCTATCTTTATTTTAAACATCTTGAATTAAATAAAGCAAACTTTGTATTTTTCAGTGAGAAATGATTTTCTCGACCTGCGGCTCTGAGGAATCACAGCTTAGAGCAAATTAAATCGAACTGAAGCTGCTGCCGATGTGAGGAACCAACTATCCATGAGGCAGACGGGCGGTCTGCTTTTAAGAAGGCGGGGTTACATGATGTGAATTGGCAGCATAGAAATAAACTGAATAGAATTGAAGCACCCCCACCCCCCCGGCACACGGGGATGGGGGCCTTTAATCTGCTGCTGTCGACGGTTCAACATTTTGTCATTGTTTTCAGTCCCTGCAGCGGGTTGAAGTGAGGTAAAGCTGCGCCTGATGGGAGCAAACGCCCGCCGCCCGGCTGCTGCTGTTCTATAAAGACGATCTGCTTTTTTTAGATAAAAACACCCGATTGAAGCTGCATTGGTTGATGATGCTTTATAAAACCAGCTGCAGCGTTGGTGGGTGTCTAGTTGAGGGAGGCTGCGGCGGATGAATGTCGCCGTGGCGTTTCTCCCACGCCGCCCCATAGATGGTTATGATGCTGCTGACCTTGGCTTCCCTCCCCTGCAGGCTGTGGCTCTACTTTGTGTCTTATCTCCTATTTTACCGTTTATTTTATGATAATCAGCTTTTCCATCAACATCTATTGACTGTTTCCTAATAAAAAGTTCTTTATCATAATATCTGGTTGGGCAATAAAGACGTTATTCAGTTTTATTAGTTCTAGGTTCTTAAATTGATATTTCTTTTACACTGTGGAAGAACATGGTTGTGTTGCAGAGCTGATTGCCAGATCGTTCGTTAACATGTTTCCATGCTTTATTTACACCCCCCCCACCCGCAACGACCGCCGGCGACCTGTTGTAAAGCGTTTACAACTAATAACTCTGGATGCATGAAAATGGTAAAATGTTTTAGCAATATAGATGTTACTGCTGCTCTTGCATCAAAATAGTTTTCCAAAAAAATCAGAAATTGCCAGATTAGTCTTAGAAGGAGGTTTTTCGACTCGCAAACAAAAAGCACTCGTGGAGAATTTTCTAGTTTCAAAAAGGGGTGTTTTCTTTACTTATAAAAATAACAGAAATATTCTCAGAGTTGACTTACAAAAAATTCAAATGTAAAGTTTGGTGATGTGTGGAAAAACTGTTGCTCTCCTTCAAACCATCAATCAGATCCTCATCAGCTGCTTCTACCTGTTAATCCCAGCAGGAGGCGCACTGACAGGAGGAGGGTCAAAGCAAAACCAACAAATAAGCAAATAAGCAATATCTCTACCATTCACACAACCTCAGATCTTTAACATTAATCATTTGGCAAAAATTAAATTAATCTAATTCTTAATGGGCTCCAACATCCCAGCCCCTAATTGTTAGCCTAGCCTAGCCCAAAATAACAATTACAAAAATAATATTCACAGGAGCCTAGCATCTAGCAAAAACATCACATAAACTTAATCCTTTTGTCCATAAATGTTACGTAGAGCTTCTCAACATTTCTAATGCTTAAAGCAGTTTATGGCAAAGCTTAGAAAGTCTTATTCCATCCAGCTGCCTCCATTAAAAGAATAGAGTTTATCTACTGGTCTGTGGATGACGTTGGCTTTGGTTTTAACCAAAACGCTTCTAACAAAACCTTTAGAAATCATTGGAAAGATTAGATTCTGCACATTTCAACCACAAAGATCGTTTAATGGACACAGCGAGCAGAAAAGCACAATTAGAACAGATATAGCAGCAGGTCAGAATGTAAACATGACAAAGCAGTAGGCTTGTCAAAAGTATCGATACTTAAACGTTGTATCCAGATACAATACTCTTTTTTTTGTATCGATACAGTGCTACCACCAGTGGCACCTAAGCAGTCATTCATCTAAAGTGCAGAATAGAGGAAAATGCACTTTCTGAATAATTCTACGCACTTTTCAGTTTCAGACTTTTTTCTGTAACAGCTGCAGCTGCTGAGAATTATTTTTGTTTCTTAGTCGGTTTGGCTAGCGTCATTGTTATGTGTGCAAAGCATAGCCAAGGAAGGAACACTTACTTTTAATTTTATACGTTTTTTTTATCAAGCTTGCTTAATATTGTGCACAGCATACAACCTCAAAATATTGTTCTTATTGTTTATTGTATTTATTTATTGTATTTTAATTATTAATCAAAATATTTCTGTAGAATTTTGGAGTCTGTTTTTATCCTTGTGGAATCGAAAATGGTTTCGAGTATCGAATATTTTCCTTAGTATCGTATCGAGTTGAAAAGTTTAGTATCTTGACAACCCTACAAAGCAGCCGCAGCGACGTCCGTCTGAAGGCGCCCAGAAGCCGTTTCATTAATCCAATCTTCAATTGTTTAAACTCCATTTAATCCATCAGGGTCCACAGAATGAAAGCAATCCAGCATTTTAGTAATAAAATATTCCAGATAAGAAAAGTTAGCTGGTCATAAATAATCCTCAGCGTTTGATTCTTTCATCATCAGTCCTGCTCTCACTGCATCACTTGGATTCAATAAATCAAAGTTTCTCTGTTGTAAAGCTTTAATAAATGAAGCAATGAATCTGATTCAAAGCATCGTTTATTTTTTATGGATATTTTCATAAAACGATAAAAACCTAGCTAGCTGCAGTGTTCAGTTTAGCCGTATAGCGTTATGGTCCGGCCTCCAGAACCGCCATGGATAACCGTCTCTGACCGAAGGAGGAATCTGTTTATCTCACTGAATTATTTTATATTAACTAAAGAATTGTGATGTTTTTAATTTAGTAGAAACTATGGAATGAGAAACAGTTTGTTTTGTATTTGAAGGTGAAGCAGCTGAGATGGAGCAGCGCTAGGGATGCTAGTGATGCTAGTGATGATAACGCTGCTTTTTGTGGCTGTTTTAATGAACTCGTGTATAAAGATTGGTCTGAATGTCTGTAGAATGTTTAATTGAAGGAAATATTTCTATTTATTGATCAAATGTTTTCTCATTTGTAATGAAATATTTATTCATTAACATCAAATAGCTGCAAATAATCAAATCTCTCTTTAAATGATCAACCTTTACCTCTAACTGCCATATTTAGTTTTTATTTTAACGCCTGTCTCTCTCTGTATCCATGCCAGGTTGAAGGCTTTCTGATCCCATTGGCTGAGAGGCCCAGCAGCCGTCCAATCAGGAGACAGAGGGCCGCCGTCTCTCCGTGCCCACGCCGTGCTCCCCGCTCCCCCCGCCGCATCATGTCCATCCCCAGCAGCAGCCCAGAGAGGGAGAGCTCCTCTGGGGTTCAGCTCGACTGTCCCTCCTCTCCCCCCGGCATGGAGGCAGACCCCCCATCAACAGGCAGCCCAGTGCTCACCCCAGACTCTTCCTCCCATGATGCATTGCTCTCTGCAGCGGCAGCCTCTCCTGCAGACTCTGAGAATCTGAGCCCAGATGAGCTGGAGCTGCTGGCCAAACTGGAGGAACAGAACAGGTAACACTGGTGCAGAGCTGCTTCACCTGACTGACTGTAGAGAAGCTGCTTCACCTGACTGACTGTAGAGAAGCTGCTTCACCTGACTGACTGTAGAGAAGCTGCTTCACCTGACTGACTGTAGAGAAGCTGCTTCACCAGCTGACTGTAGAGAAGCTGCTTCACCTGACTGACTGTAGAGAAGCTGCTTCACCTGACTGACTGTAGAGAAGCTGCTTCACCTGACTGACTGTAGAGAAGCTGCTTCACCTGACTGACTGTAGAGAAGCTGCTTCACCTGACTGACTGTAGAGAAGCTGCTTCACCTGACTGACTGTAGAGAAGCTGCTTCACCAGCTGACTGTAGAGAAGCTGCTTCACCTGACTGACTGTAGAGAAGCTGCTTCACCTGACTGACTGTAGAGAAGCTGCTTCACCTGACTGACTGTAGAGAAGCTGCTTCACCTGACTGACTGTAGAGAAGCTGCTTCACCAGCTGACTGTAGAGAAGCTGCTTCACCTGACTGACTGTAGAGAAGCTGCTTCACCTGACTGACTGTAGAGAAGCTGCTTCACCAGCTGACTGTAGAGAAGCTGCTTCACCTGACTGACTGTAGAGAAGCTGCTTCACCTGACTGACTGTAGAGAAGCTGCTTCACCAGCTGACTGTAGAGAAGCTGCTTCACCAGCTGACTGTAGAGAAGCTGCTTCACCAGCTGACTGTAGAGAAGCTGCTTCACCTGACTGACTGTAGAGAAGCTGCTTCACCTGACTGACTGTAGAGAAGCTGCTTCACCTGACTGACTGTAGAGAAGCTGCTTCACCTGACTGACTGTAGAGAAGCTGCTTCACCTGACTGACTGTAGAGAAGCTGCTTCACCAGCTGACTGTAGAGAAGCTGCTTCACCTGACTGACTGTAGAGAAGCTGCTTCACCTGACTGACTGTAGAGAAGCTGCTTCACCTGACTGACTGTAGAGAAGCTGCTTCACCTGACTGACTGTAGAGAAGCTGCTTCACCTGACTGACTGTAGAGAAGCTGCTTCACCTGACTGACTGTAGAGAAGCTGCTTCACCAGCTGACTGTAGAGAAGCTGCTTCACCTGACTGACTGTAGAGAAGCTGCTTCACCTGACTGACTGTAGAGAAGCTGCTTCACCTGACTGACTGTAGAGAAGCTGCTTCACCTGACTGACTGTAGAGAAGCTGCTTCACCAGCTGACTGTAGAGAAGCTGCTTCACCTGACTGACTGTAGAGAAGCTGCTTCACCTGACTGACTGTAGAGAAGCTGCTTCACCAGCTGACTGTAGAGAAGCTGCTTCACCTGACTGACTGTAGAGAAGCTGCTTCACCTGACTGACTGTAGAGAAGCTGCTTCACCAGCTGACTGTAGAGAAGCTGCTTCACCAGCTGACTGTAGAGAAGCTGCTTCACCAGCTGACTGTAGAGAAGCTGCTTCACCTGACTGACTGTAGAGAAGCTGCTTCACCTGACTGACTGTAGAGAAGCTGCTTCACCTGACTGACTGTAGAGAAGCTGCTTCACCTGACTGACTGTAGAGAAGCTGCTTCACCTGACTGACTGTAGAGAAGCTGCTTCACCTGACTGACTGTAGAGAAGCTGCTTCACCTGAAAGACTGTAGAGAAGCTGCTTCACCAGCTGACTGTAGAGAAGCTGCTTCACCTGACTGACTGTAGAGAAGCTGCTTCACCAGCTGACTGTAGAGAAGCTGCTTCACCTGACTGACTGTAGAGAAGCTGCTTCACCTGACTGACTGTAGAGAAGCTGCTTCACCTGACTGACTGTAGAGAAGCTGCTTCACCTGACTGACTGTAGAGAAGCTGCTTCACCTGACTGACTGTAGAGAAGCTGCTTCACCAGCTGACTGTAGAGAAGCTGCTTCACCTGACTGACTGTAGAGAAGCTGCTTCACCTGACTGACTGTAGAGAAGCTGCTTCACCTGACTGACTGTAGAGAAGCTGCTTCACCTGACTGACTGTAGAGAAGCTGCTTCACCAGCTGACTGTAGAGAAGCTGCTTCACCTGACTGACTGTAGAGAAGCTGCTTCACCTGACTGACTGTAGAGAAGCTGCTTCACCTGACTGACTGTAGAGAAGCTGCTTCACCAGCTGACTGTAGAGAAGCTGCTTCACCTGACTGACTGTAGAGAAGCTGCTTCACCAGCTGACTGTAGAGAAGCTGCTTCACCTGACTGACTGTAGAGAAGCTGCTTCACCTGACTGACTGTAGAGAAGCTGCTTCACCTGACTGACTGTAGAGAAGCTGCTTCACCAGCTGACTGTAGAGAAGCTGCTTCACCAGCTGACTGTAGAGAAGCTGCTTCACCTGACTGACTGTAGAGAAGCTGCTTCACCAGCTGACTGTAGAGAAGCTGCTTCACCTGACTGACTGTAGAGAAGCTGCTTCACCTGACTGACTGTAGAGAAGCTGCTTCACCTGACTGACTGTAGAGAAGCTGCTTCACCTGACTGACTGTAGAGAAGCTGCTTCACCTGACTGACTGTAGAGAAGCTGCTTCACCTGACTGACTGTAGAGAAGCTGCTTCACCTGACTGACTGTAGAGAAGCTGCTTCACCTGACTGACTGTAGAGAAGCTGCTTCACCAGCTGACTGTAGAGAAGCTGCTTCACCTGACTGACTGTAGAGAAGCTGCTTCACCTGACTGACTGTAGAGAAGCTGCTTCACCTGACTGACTGTAGAGAAGCTGCTTCACCAGCTGACTGTAGAGAAGCTGCTTCACCTGACTGACTGTAGAGAAGCTGCTTCACCAGCTGACTATAGAGAAGCTGCTTCACCTGACTGACTGTAGAGAAGCTGCTTCACCAGCTGACTGTAGAGAAGCTGCTTCACCTGACTGACTGTAGAGAAGCTGCTTCACCTGACTGACTGTAGAGAAGCTGCTTCACCAGCTGACTGTAGAGAAGCTGCTTCACCTGACTGACTGTAGAGAAGCTGCTTCACCAGCTGACTATAGAGAAGCTGCTTCACCTGACTGACTGTAGAGAAGCTGCTTCACCTGACTGACTGTAGAGAAGCTGCTTCACCTGACTGACTGTAGAGAAGCTGCTTCACCTGACTGACTGTAGAGAAGCTGCTTCACCTGACTGACTGTAGAGAAGCTGCTTCACCAGCTGACTGTAGAGAAGCTGCTTCACCTGACTGACTGTAGAGAAGCTGCTTCACCTGACTGACTGTAGAGAAGCTGCTTCACCTGACTGACTGTAGAGAAGCTGCTTCACCTGACTGACTGTAGAGAAGCTGCTTCACCTGACTGACTGTAGAGAAGCTGCTTCACCAGCTGACTATAGAGAAGCTGCTTCACCTGACTGACTGTAGAGAAGCTGCTTCACCTGACTGACTGTAGAGAAGCTGCTTCACCTGACTGACTGTAGAGAAGCTGCTTCACCAGCTGACTGTAGAGAAGCTGCTTCACCTGACTGACTGTAGAGAAGCTGCTTCACCAGCTGACTGTAGAGAAGCTGCTTCACCTGACTGACTGTAGAGAAGCTGCTTCACCAGCTGACTATAGAGAAGCTGCTTCACCAGCTGACTATAGAGAAGCTGCTTCACCTGACTGACTGTAGAGAAGCTGCTTCACCTGACTGACTGTAGAGAAGCTGCTTCACCTGACTGACTGTAGAGAAGCTGCTTCACCAGCTGACTGTAGAGAAGCTGCTTCACCTGACTGACTGTAGAGAAGCTGCTTCACCTGACTGACTGTAGAGAAGCTGCTTCACCTGACTGACTGTAGAGAAGCTGCTTCACCTGACTGACTGTAGAGAAGCTGCTTCACCAGCTGACTGTAGAGAAGCTGCTTCACCTGACTGACTGTAGAGAAGCTGCTTCACCAGCTGACTGTAGAGAAGCTGCTTCACCTGACTGACTGTAGAGAAGCTGCTTCACCTGACTGACTGTAGAGAAGCTGCTTCACCAGCTGACTGTAGAGAAGCTGCTTCACCTGACTGACTGTAGAGAAGCTGCTTCACCAGCTGACTGTAGAGAAGCTGCTTCACCTGACTGACTGTAGAGAAGCTGCTTCACCTGACTGACTGTAGAGAAGCTGCTTCACCTGACTGACTGTAGAGAAGCTGCTTCACCAGCTGACTGTAGAGAAGCTGCTTCACCTGACTGACTGTAGAGAAGCTGCTTCACCTGACTGACTGTAGAGAAGCTGCTTCACCTGACTGACTGTAGAGAAGCTGCTTCACCTGACTGACTGTAGAGAAGCTGCTTCACCAGCTGACTATAGAGAAGCTGCTTCACCTGACTGACTGTAGAGAAGCTGCTTCACCTGACTGACTGTAGAGAAGCTGCTTCACCAGCTGACTATAGAGAAGCTGCTTCACCTGACTGACTGTAGAGAAGCTGCTTCACCTGACTGACTGTAGAGAAGCTGCTTCACCTGACTGACTGTAGAGAAGCTGCTTCACCTGACTGACTGTAGAGAAGCTGCTTCACCTGACTGACTGTAGAGAAGCTGCTTCACCTGACTGACTGTAGAGAAGCTGCTTCACCAGCTGACTGTAGAGAAGCTGCTTCACCTGACTGACTGTAGAGAAGCTGCTTCACCTGACTGACTGTAGAGAAGCTGCTTCACCTGACTGACTGTAGAGAAGCTGCTTCACCTGACTGACTGTAGAGAAGCTGCTTCACCTGACTGACTGTAGAGAAGCTGCTTCACCTGACTGGACGCTCATTTCTAACATCACACAGCTTTGCTTTGGTCTTTTTATTTCAAGTCCCCGCCGCCTTTCTTCTCCTTTAAATCCTGTTTCTACTGTTCAGTCACATGTGGAGGAAGAGAGACGGATTCCCCTCATAAACATCCCCTAGAGCTCAATCCTTAGCTGAACCACCAGCTTTACCCGCCGTTAAATAAGTCCAGAGAATCCAGCAGTAGGTCAGGGAGATGAACCATAAACCAACCAGACAGCTGAAAGGTTTCATTAGTATTTCAGATTTTATGGATGTTAAGACTAGAACTCCCACAGCCGCCATTTTGACGGTTCTGGGATTTTAAAGGGAAAGAACTATATTTAAAATTATTCTTATGTTGCTCGTGTTAACTAACTTTCAAGTCAAGTTCTTCCTTTAAAAGAAGTTAATTGGATATTAAGCACTTATAATCTGATAATGTGATATTTATTTGTCTTATTGTGTCTCTGGTTTTGCATCCTTCTGCATAGTTTTGTTCTGTTAGTAGGTTTTATGCTTGTTTTGGTGAATAACGTGTTCTGCATGCAGGCTGCTGGAAGCTGATTCCAAGTCCATGAGGTCAATGAGCGGCTCACGGCGCAACAGCGGCTCCTCGCTGGTGTCCAGCTCCTCCGCTTCCTCCAACCTGTCGCACTTTGAGGAAGACACCTGGATCTTATGGGGTCGGATCGTTAATGAGTGGGAGGAGTGGAGACGCAAGAAGGACAAACTCCTCAAGGTGAGTTCTGGTTTTCAGGGCAGAAAGAACTTTGAATAAAGGCAAGAAATCAGGCAAACATAGAAGATATTTCAGGAGAACATAGAGTCTAAAAATGTGAGGTTAGCTAGTTAACGATAGATCAGCAGGCTTTTACACCTTGGAGCATCACATCTTCAGGCTTTGCGTGGCGCCGGGGAAATTCAGACTCTCTGAGGCGCCATTTCCTGCATTTTGAACTTTGTGTCTTTGTTCCAACACCTTTCACCTGATTATGGGAAGCATGTGTCCTTGAGTAGAGGTGGAAATTCCATAAGGAAGACTTGAGATCATTTTTAGGGCCAATATTATGTTTCATAATAGAAACAATCAGAAAGTCTGACGCTACGTTCAGACTAGACGCCATCAAAGGATCTCCTGCTGCTTCATTTCTGATGCTCGTCCACATTAAGGTGAGACGTCCAGATGCAGGAGAGCGGCTTTGCTCTGAACGCCAAGGTCCCCGCCCTCGACTGCCACCCATCACTCATTGCACCCGACCCCTTTGGCCCCTCCTACAGGTGGTGAGCCCATTGGAAGGGGAGCCATGTTTCAGGCTGTGCCCTGCTGGGGTCCATGGGTGAAAGCCCTCCCACCAGGCGCTAGGGTTAGGGTTAGACCCGCGTCCGTACGAGGGAACAGTACGTCCATTTGTTTCGCTCATCATAAGGGGCTGCTCTTTGTTTGGTCATCTGTCCGTCTTCGGTGACCCTACTAGGGGCCGCCACCAACAGGAGGGGAAAACCCTGGAGAGGCGAGCGGGCCTGAGGCAGCTGCTGCTGGGGATTCCCAGTGACAGCGCAGCGCCGGTATGTGGGGGTCTGAGCGGCTCCCACAGAGAAATAATCTTTGAAGGCAGGATGGTAATCTGGATGAACTGACTGCACAGACCATGTTTTCAGGAGGACTTTCTCACTTCAACATAGATTCTAACTACTTTCTACCCGCTGATCACAGCTAATATAGCCGCCATTGTTCCAGGCAGAGAAAGGATAGGGTAGCTCCGCCCACCGCGCATCAGACCCACTTTACCACTAGAGCTTTGCAGCTAGAGCAGCAAAGATGCTTCAGCAGCGCATCAGAACTAAACTGGTAAAGCATCAGAAATGAAGCAGCACGCGCGTTTCTGCTGCTTTCGGTCTGATGAACGTAGCTTTATTGTTTGAGATGTTCCAAATGAGGAATGAAGAACCGTTCCACCTCTTCTGTTCTCCAGGAGTTGATAAGGAAAGGCATTCCCCATCATTTCCGTGCCATCGTTTGGCAACTGCTGGGCAACGCCACGGACATGCCGGTGAAGAACCAGTACTCGGAGCTGCTGAAGATGTCGTCTCCCTGTGAGAAGCTAATCCGCAGGGACATCGCCCGCACCTACCCGGAGCACGAGTTCTTCAAAGGCCAGGACAGCCTGGGTCAGGAGGTCCTCTTCAACGTCATGAAGGTGAGCGCCGCACCTTTCCGTTCAGAGGTTTAACGTTTGGGAAACGGTTTCCAGTCTGGATGTTGGTGACGTTTGTTCAACACATCAAAGGTCTTCAGATCCCTAATCTTTATTTTCTCATCCAGCAATCCCAGCTGAAGCTTGGTTACTTTAAGTTACGCACCATCACATAAAAAAATACAGACGGTAAAATAAAATATATTACAGTTAAAAACAGCAAGGACAATAATATACAAGAATAATTATTGAAACACCCAGATTTAAACATCTAAACTAGCTTAAACTTCTTCATGTAACAACTGAGCTGTTAAAAAATGAGTTTCATGTGTCGCAGCTAATATACGCAGCGGTTGAAATCAGAATCCTTTCCTTTCCCATTGAGTTGCGTCCCAGTGTTCACGGGGATGGACGTCTGTGTCTTCGGCAGGCGTAGAGCTAACAGAACTGGCAGCGTTGCGAGGCAAGGGCTCAAACATGGACGGCTGGAAGCCTTCTACACCAAACCAAGCTTCTGCCACTACTATAACCTACTAGCACTAAGCTAGCTTACTTTTGCTGTCGCCTTTTTGGAAACACAGGAAGGAGCAATCAGCTAAGTGAGCTTAGTGCTTGGAAAAAATCTTTCATTCCTTTAGAGACAGCATGAAAAGTCAGCTGAGTACAAAACATAGAGAGGAAAACAAGAAGAAAAGGGACAAGAAGAGAGGGACACAACCTAGAACAGATAATGGATGTCTATTCTATTAACATTTCTACATCTGGAGAATGGCTCTGTTCTATGTGTTGTCTTCTCACTTCAGAGGGGCCCCCTGCCTGTCTTTGCCCAGGGCCCCATATTTCCTAAATCTGCCCCTGATCCTGTTCAAATGTTGCATCATTAAGTTTAAAGAAAGTGTTAAATGCTCCATCTTTGTATCGTTTCCTCTTTGACCTGGATTATTTTTCAGGTCCTAAACAAGCATCCATTCTGGAAAACAAAACTTGTTTTATTCATGCAATATTTACTACTTTATTCTCTTTAAACTTTTTCTTAATGGCCTAATTTAAGAATAAAAACAGGAGCTTTACAGCATGAAGTCTGCTGCGTTACTTTCTCCGTCATGTTTAGATCTAGATTAAAAGGACTGCAGGGCTCAGCCGACTGTCTGCTAATTATTTGATTCCTCCTGCAGGTCAGGAAATGGAAACCGATATCTGGAATTTGCATCATCCCTCCTCTCTGTTCAGCATCACTTTATTTAAAGACGGATTAACACACAGCTCCATTTAGAAACATCTACTGTAAAACTGTTTGTTGGAGCTATTTATTCTTTATTTCTTTATCCATTTGAATTGTGTTAATTCCTAAACTTATATATTTTTTGTATTATTTACAGACTTAATTTATAGGTTAATTGTTGCATTTTTGTGCATCTATTTTTTGTTGTTTTATTATTTTTCTTTATTTATTTTATGTAAAACAGGAAGAAATGTGGACGGTCCACTTTCTATATTTGTAGGAGCCTGGTAAGGACCAGCAGGCATTTGGGTTAGGGCCCTATGGGTTTTTACCAGTGCAAGAGAGGTGACAGAGCAAGGAAAGTGTGAACTCTGTAATGTGACAAAATATAGGAAATAAATCAACTAAACATCTACAAGTTTGGACTTCCACTTCTTTTGCCTGCGTCAAGAAAACGTGACCCCAGTGCCTATAGTGGCTTATTGGAATTTTATTGGATGTTTGGTTTGACAAACAATTGCCACTACAATCAAGTAAAAACCCCCCTGTGGATCAAGTAAAAACACCCTGTGGAACAAGTAAGGAACCAGCCCATGGACTAAAAGGAATACCTCATCAATCAACATGCTGGATTTATGGATCTCAAGGATTCCCTTCAAACAAAAGGTTTTGGATCATCTTTGATTAAATCAAGCGACTTGATGCGTCAGACTTGGATGGACACGTCACTCATTCATCAAGCTGGTATGTGACAATATTGTTCAAGCTATAAAGGAAAATAGTGAAACTACTGGAGTTTAAAGACATTATTTCACTCCAAAGACTGATGAGATGAGTCTGATGTAACAAATTGATGCGTAATTGGATCAAGCCGTGAGCCGACGCCCATCATGGAAATGTTTGTTCACAAGAATCAATCTCTTTAAACAAAGAGATACGTTTGTGCTTTTCCTTGTGGATTATTCGTGGACTATGACGCTTTAAATGTTTGAAATGATTCAAAGAATCTGCAAAAATGTCTGATGTAAAGAGCAAAGAGGATGACACCCAGACGTCACAAAACAAAAGAACCATCAAATTTACACAAAAGGGTTTGGAGTTTTATATAAAAACATGTCAAGAAAAACGAAGTTTAAAGTGTAAACAAGCTTCAAAATGTATGGAGAAAATCTCTGCATTAATGACCTCACAAGAAAATGTTGAGAAAGTGGCTTCTGACTTTGCAAAGTTTATTAAATGCTATCAAGACGCAACTGATTTACACAAATCACTTTTAGGTTTGCCGTTGCCAGAAGAAGAAGTAAAAAGACAAACTGTGTATTTTCAGTCTAAGGTGACGACTTTCTCTGATTTTGTGGACAATGTAAAGGTTTGGTTGACAGAAGCAGGAAATCCATATATGGAACAGAAAAACTATGTTGATGATCAGGTTGTTAAAGATCCTGATGAAATAAATCCTGAAGACAGTGTTTCTAATATTACAAGCATAAAGCCACGTTCAAAAACATCTTCACAGCAGTCTCGGGCTTCATCCACCTCTTCTGCACGCATCAAAGCTGCGGCTGAAAAGGCAGCGCTGATGGAGAGACTCGCCGCGTTGGACAGAAAACATCTGATCGAAGCTCAAGAGGAAAACCTGAGAAGAGAAAAGTTAGACCTGGAAACAGAGTTGGCAGCAACTAACGCAAAACTTAATGTATTAAAAATAAATTCAGTTGCTAGTTCTAAACAATCTGATGGGATGAACTCTTATTTTGAAAGAGCCCAAGGAAAGCACACGCCCCTGCTAAATCCTCTCGCTGATGAGTTTGTTCTGAAAGAAAAAGAAAAGTCTTCATCCAACTTCCCTGTTGTCAGACTTAAACAAGGAGAGAGACAACTTCAAATGGATCAGATGAGAGTTAAAGTTGATTCTTCAACTCAAGCAACAGAGCAGACGCAACTTCAATCTCCTCCTTTGACTGAGAACTGTCAGAATGATATTGTGAACATCATGCAAAGACAAAATGACATTGCAGCTTTACTAGTAAAACAAAACTTATCGTCTGTTCTCCCATCCAGAAACATCCCTGTGTTTGATGGGGACCCCCTACAGTACAGATCATTTATGAATGCCTTTGAGAACGGAGTGGAGGCTAAAACTGACAACTGCAGCGACTGTTTGCACTTCCTAGAGCAGTTCACCAGGGGGCGGCCTAAAGATCTCGTGCATAGTTGTCAACACTTAGCTTCTGAGGAAGGTTATTTCAAAGCCAAATATCTTCTTGAAGAACATTTTGGAAATGAAAATAAAATAACTTCTGCGTATATGGAGAAGATTATGAGTTGGACACCAATAAAAGGGGATGATGTGAAAAGTCTACAATCATTCTCTCTTTTTCTTCAAGGTTGTTCAAATCTGACACAACAAATTGTTTACATGAAGGAGTTGGATTTACCTTCAAATATGAGAACAATTGTCCTGAAACTTCCATATAAACTGAGGGAAAAATGGAGAGTTACTGCTTATGAGCTACAGGAGCAAACTGGTCACCGAGCGTTGTTTACTGATCTGGTTGCTTTCATAACAAAGGAAGTAAAAGTAGCATCAGATCCAGTGTTTGGCAACATCCAAGACCCACCAACAGGGAACAACTCCAAAGTTCCAAGTTACAGCAAGCAAAGAAAAAAGGGAAGCAGTTTTGCCACTAATGTCAGCACAATTCCAGAAGCCAGAACTCACTCAACTGAAAACAGGACCAAGTCTACTGTTCTTCACAGCTGCTTGTTTTGTTTACAAAGAAATCATCTACTGGAAAACTGTTTGCAGTTTAAAGCTAAAATGCATCGGGACAAGTTGACTTTCATTAAACAAAAGGGGATTTGTTTCGGTTGTCTGAAAGTTGGTCACACAAGCAAAGACTGCAGGAGTCGTTTGGATTGCAATGTGTGTCACCAAAAGCATCCAGGGGTTCTTCACAGCCAGGAGCCTCTTCAGAACAAATCCAACAGACAACAAGGTCTCATGTCAACTTCTCAACTGCAACCACCCAGACATGTGGGCATATTGGGGCCGGTCATGATGATAATGCTGTTTTTTCTATTGTTGCAGTTAAAGTTAAAAGTCAAAAGAGCAACAAAGTTGTGCAAACTTATGCATTTCTTGATCCAGGAAGTTCAGGTACGTTCTGTACAGAAACTCTGGCAAAAAGTCTGAACTTAAAGGGCAAAAGAACAAATATTCTGCTGAGAACAATGAGTCAAAATAAGATTGTTAATGTACAAGTTTTGTCTGGTTTGGAAATCTCTGAATTGGAAACAAATGATTTCATAGAGCTACCAGATGTTTTGACTCAAAGTACCATGCCAGTTTCTACATTGAATATTCCCCAGCAAAAGGACATTGATCAGTGGCCTCATCTTAAACCTGTTAAGCTTCATAGCATCAATGCAGATGTGGAACTACTGATAGGAACTGATGCTTCAAATGTTTTAGAGCCCTGGGAGGTGATCAACAGTGTGGATGGTGGGCCTTATGCTGTAAAAACTAAAGTTGGCTGGGTCATAAATGGTCCCCTGCACACTAGAAGCCACAGCAGAAATAGAAATGTCTGCACTGCTGTGACAGCCAACAGGATCTCTGTTGAGCATCTTGAAGAAATGCTGATCAAACAGTACAATCATGATTTTAACGAAAGATCATCAGAGGAGAAAACTGAAATGTCTAGAGAGGATTTGCATTTCATGAACATTGTCAATAACTTTACAAAACTTATTAAAAGTCATTATAATATTGACCTACCTTTCAGGAGTGAAAGCCCCAGCTTTCCAAATAACATCTGTGTTGCAGAGCAGCGCCTCCAGAGCCTCAGAAGGAGATTTGAAAAGGATGCTGAGTACAAGGAGGAATACACTGCATGTGTAAACAACATGCTGCAGCAAGGACATGCTGAGGCTGTACCAGCAGAGGAGCTACAGAAAGGTAATGGACAACTGTGGTACATTCCTCATCATGGAGTGAATCATCCCACAAAAGGAAAGTAGAGGGTTGTATTTGATTGTGGATCAACCTACAAAGGAGCATCACTGAACAGTCAGCTTTTACAGGGACCTGACCTCACAAACTCTCTGGTTGGAGTTCTCATCAGATTTAGAAAAGAGCCTGTTGCACTAATGGCTGACATTAATGCCATGTTTCACCAAGTTTATGTCTCTGAAAAACATGTCAACTTCCTCCGTTTCCTGTGGTGGCATCATGGTGACACATCAAAACCTGCACAGGAGTTCAGGATGTTGGTTCATTTGTTTGGAGCAGTGTCTTCACCCAGCTGTGCAAATTATGCTCTGCAAAGAACTGCTGATGATAACGCACAACAGTTTCCAGCTGAAGTGGTTGATACTATCAAAAATAACTTTTATGTGGATGACTGTTTAAAATCTGTTCCCACAGAAGAAGATGCAATTCACATGGTGAAGAGGCTGACGGACCTCTGCTCTAAGGGAGGATTCGTGCTCTCAAAATGGGTAAGCAACAGTCGCACAGTGCTCATGTCCATTCCAGAGGAAAGGAGAGCAAAAGAAATTAAGAATCTGGATTTGGACACAGATGAACTTCCGGTCGAGAGAGTACTGGGTTTACAGTGGAGCATTGAAACAGATGAGTTCAAGTTCAGAACCTCTGTGCAGGACCGCCCACAGACCAGAAGGGGCATTTTGTCTGTGGTTAGTTCACTATATGATCCCTTGGGAATCCTAGCTCCCTTCAGTATGCCAGCTAAACTGCTGCTACAAGAACTTTGTCGACAAAACTTGAAGTGGGATGAAGTTATTCCCCATTCTCTTTGTAGGAAGTGGCTCGACTGGCTGGAGGACCTCCAGCTGATCTCCAGTTTTAAGGTGGATCGTTGCATCAAACCAAGCTGCATCAGGAAACCAGACAAAGCACAACTTCATCATTTCTCTGACGCAAGTCAAGACGGCTATGGAACAGTGTCATATTTAAAACTGGAAAAGAATAACATCTCACATGTTGCTTTCATTCTAGGAAAAGCAAGAGTTGCTCCTAAGAAGCAAACAACAATCCCCAGGTTGGAACTGACCGCTGCTGTTCTTGCTGTCCGAGTCAATAAACTGCTGCAAAAGGAGCTGCAAATACAATTGGAAAAACCTGTTTTCTGGACTGATAGTACAACAGTACTAAAATACATCTCCAGTGAAACCAGAAGATTTCACACCTTTGTTGCAAACAGAATCTCTGTCATCCAAGAAGCAACAGATGTGAATCAGTGGAGATATGTTTCCTCCAAGGAAAATCCTGCAGATGATGCATCCAGAGGCATGAGAGCTGAGGAGTTCATTAAATGCAGGAGATGGATAAATGGGCCTGAATTTCTCCACAGATCAGAAGAGGAATGGCCTAAACTGGATGTGGATCACCATGCAATTCCTGCAGATGACCCAGAGGTCAAAAGGGACCTAGCCGTGAGTGTTCTTGTGAAGGAGTCACAAAATCCTACAAGCTATCTGATTGATTATTTTTCATCTTGGACAAAGCTTAAAACCTCTGTTGCCTGGTTTTTAAAGCTGAAAAACATTCTGATGCTGTTGCAACAGAAAAGGAAGGAGTTTGCTGCTGCAGACCTAAATAAAAATGAACCAGAAAAGCAAAACAAAGCCCTAGACAAGCAGATAGACAGATTCAAGACCACTCTGAAGAAAGAAAATCTGACTCCTGAAGACTTGGCCAAGGCAGAACTAGCCATTATTCAGTTTGCACAACAACAGAAATTTACAACTGAACTGGCTTTAATCACCAGGGGCCTTAAAGCAGTCTCTAAGAGAAGTTCTTTATACAAACTCGACCCAGTATTGGATGCTGGAGTCCTCAGAGTGGGTGGCAGGTTGAATAAATCAGCCATGCCTGTCGAAACAAAGCATCCTGCAATTTTGACAAAGGATATGCATGTGTCTACACTGATTTTACGCCATATTCGTCAACACTTGGGACATGCAGGAAGAGCTCATATGCTGTCAAGATTAAGACAAAAATACTGGATAATAAATGCTAATTCAGCTGCCAGAAAAATCATTTCTCACTGTGTTGTTTGCAGGTGTAACAGAGGAAAGTTTATTGAACAAAAGATGGCAGATCTGCCAGAAGAAAGAGTCCTGCCAGCCACCGCTCCTTTTACAAATGTTGGAGTGGATTACTTTGGTCCTGTAAGTGTTAAAAGAGGAAGAAGCCTCCTGAAAAGGTATGGAGTTCTGTTCACTTGTTTCACCAGCCGTGCAGTGCATCTGGAAATGGCCTACACCCTCGATACAGATTCCTGTATAAATGCAGTCCGCAGGTTCATCTGTAGAAGAGGCCCAGTTTCCACCATCAGATCTGACAATGCCACAAATTTTGTTGGTGCAAATCGAGAGCTGAAAGAGAGTTTAGCTGAACTGAATCATGCTAAAATTCAAAATGCTTTTGTGCAGGATGGAATTAAATGGAACTTTAACATCCCAGCAGCCTCTCACCAAGGTGGAGTTTGGGAGCGTCTGATTCGTTCCATAAGAAGTATTTTGGTTTCAGTTCTTAAAGAGCAAGTTTTGGATGATGAAGGGCTTCAAACAATTTTTTGTGAAGTTGAAGCCATATTAAACGACAGACCCATCACTAAAGTTTCCGATGACTCAAATGATCTTGAGGCACTAACACCCAACCATTTGTTGTTGTTAAAAACCAAACCAGTTTTGCCACCAGGATTGTTCAATCAAAAGGATCTTTTTGTCAGGAAAAGGTGGAAACAGGTGCAATACATGGCAGAGCTGTTCTGGAAAAGATGGCTTTCTGAGTACTTACCTCTGATGCAGGAAAGACAAAAATGGACAAGAACTAAACGATGTCTCACTCCTGGAGATGTTGTCTTAATTGCAGACTCTACAGCTCCAAGAGGAACATGGATGATGGCCAAGGTCTTGAGTGTAAACCAGAATGCAAAAGGCTTGGTCCGCTCTGTGCGATTACAAACAAAGACCAGCGTTCTCGAAAGACCCGTGACCAAACTTGTTTTGCTACTGGAAGCATCAACCTGAAGAATTAAGGACATGTTTGAGGGAATAGCTCCTTTTTCTTCATTTGTAATTGTGACAGTATTCACAATTAGGGGCCGGAGTGTTGGAGCTATTTATTCTTTATTTCTTTATCCATTTGAATTGTGTTAATTCCTAAACTTATATATTTTTTGTATTATTTACAGACTTAATTTATAGGTTAATTGTTGCATTTTTGTGCATCTATTTTTTTGTTGTTTTATTATTTTTCTTTATTTATTTTATGTAAAATAGGAAGAAATGTGGGCGGTCCACTTTCTATATTTGTCGGAGCCTGGTAAGGACCAGGTGCAAGAGAACTAAATCAACTAAACATCTACAAGTTTGGACTTCCACTTCTTTTGCCTGCGTCAAGAAAACGTGACCCCAGTGCCTATAGTGGCTTATTGGAATTTTATTGGATGTTTGGTTTGACAAACAATTGCCACTACACTGTTAGAAAAAGAACAGTTAACACAAGGAAAACTAAGGGATTAAAAACTATTCAATAAAACCTGTCTGTTCCTATTATCAGAAAAACTTATTTGGTTAAATAAGAAAATAAGCTGCCAGCCCGTAAACTGTAATTAAGCATTAAGTATTTCATCTTCCACATAATGCCATAAATGCTCATCAAGCTATTTTATTGGTTATTTTGCGCTGCGCTGAACCTTCCTTATCATTCCTACAATAACTCAGTCTCCATCTAAGCAGCTGTATTTTGATCTGATCTATAATCTCTGGAATATTCCAGCTTCCACCTTTTTATTGTTCTTCTTCTTTGCTTTATTTCCAGGCGTACTCCCTGGTGGACCGAGAAGTGGGCTACTGCCAGGGCAGCGCCTTCATCGTTGGTTTGCTGCTAATGCAGGTACGCATCTGATTACACTATTTCTACATCTACTTCAACTGCTTCTCCTTTTCTATTCTTTTTTTTTTTAAGCATTAAATCAAGCAACTTTAGCAGCTTATGTTTGTTTAAATAGGAAGGAAGTTGCTTTTCAAAATAGTAATTTAAAAGAAAAAACTGGAAAGTGTGGCATTCACATGTTTTCCTCCAGGTTGACTTTCAGCCGGTGGTCTTTTTACAGGACAGTCTATTTAGATGTTTTTAGCAGTGATGGCGGTCGGGCTTCACTGCTGCTCTAAAATCAGAAACACTAACTTACATTTACAACCTAAACTTTAATTCTCTTCTTTCCAACTTTATTCATTTACTCCAAACTTCTCTTCATTCTGTAAAGTTTGGGTTCGCTGCCTCCAGTACGGTGAATATTGAACGGCCTTTTATCAAGTCGGAGGACTTGATGAAACTGGTGTTATCACTTTATCCACTCGTGTAAAGTCGGGCGCCACTCGGGAGGATTCGGGAATGCAACGGTTGGAACGGCCGCTTCCCTACGACTTTAAAGTCGCGCATCCGCTGTGCGATGTTTTCAGTCATTGCACGCAGCTACAGCTCAAACCGTAAGACCAAACCGCCGGGTTTAAAAGTTAACGAAGCTCACGATGTTTGTTCGCACACGGTGTGACCCGACGCTCTGATGCGATCCACCTCCTCGCACTGTACGTCCAAAAAACCACGTCGGATTCGTCAATCTGGAAGAAGAAGAAGAACTTCCTTGTTTGCAGATGCGCAGTGCTCGAGGTTCTGGAAAATCGGCTTGTAATTCTGCTTCAACAGCAGGATTTACCCACGAACACCTCAGGAGAAATGACTCAATTATAAACATGATTGATTTTCTCCGACCTTATGATTCCTGATGGGGGGGTGGTCGTTAGCGGCTGATCGACCCTCGTTATTCCCTGGTCACTACACCACGCTAGCCTGGGTGCCATTCCGAACTTAGTCCCGCCCACAACGTTTGAGGTCGGGAAGTTCAGTCTGGCATTGCTCAATAGTAGCGCGAGTATGCTAGCACAATATCTGGCGGGCCAATCAAATTGTCAGGGCGGGCTTTATACGATGATGGACAGATGATCAACAGTAACGTAATCAACCACGTCACCAAAGCGCGCTTGGGTGACAACAACAATGGCTGCCGCTGGAGAGTTGAGGTGAGTAGATTCTGCTATTAGGTCTGTTCTAGAAGATATCGACAGCAAATTAATTTTAAAAGAGGAACAGAGAAACGCCATCAAGGCTCATCTTCTTATTCTAGGCGTGCAACTGCACGCTTTGATTTTTGTGGACAACAACTATGCGTCGCTTAACATACGTCACGCACTCCGTTGCTCTTATTGGTTGTAGGTCTATCCAATTGAGTGCAGAGGCATTTTTTTCCTGGTTCGTTGGAAACACGCCCCATAATCACAGCTCTATGGAGTAGCATCAGACTCATTCTGACTAGAATTGAGTCGGACTACGTCAGGCTAGGAGAATCGGCCCGAAAAGGGCAAAAAAAATCCCACAGCATACGCCCGACTTAGAGGCTGTGAAAAACATGGAGGCTCATCTTCCAGCAGGAAGATGAGCCTCCATCTGAGTCAGAGCGGTCCAGGCAAAGCCTGAGCATAAAAGCTTGATAAGTGCTGATCAGTTCATGTTGCTGGTGAAGATTCTCATCATTCCAAAAAAATTAAAGGAAAGTCAATTCACTGGACTTAGTTCCAGGTTTTATCCAGCAGCCCAACAAAGCCTGGTTTTAGTTTAGAAAACATGCAAATAGAAACGGATGAACGGGTCCCCCCCTTTGGAATGGGGGTCGTTTGGCTTCTTTGTTAGCCTGCAATGCCCCATACCTGTCTATGTCTCTGAAAGGGGGGCATTAGAGGGAATAGTTGGCCTGGCTGAACAGGTGAGGTCTTCTGTTCTGCTGTTCAGACACTTGCATAGGTACGGGACACTTTGAATTGAAAAATCTTCCTGGATGGAAGATAAACGTCTTCAAGCTTGGAAACAAAGTCCAGAGGATTGATTTTAACTTTCTTTTGTGGAATGACTGAGCTGTTGCTTCTCCAGTCCGGATTATTATGAATTCATACGACTCTGCATTATTCCTTAAACATTCATGCGTCTCAATCTGATCCAAAGAACCTCTGTGGGTAAAGTTGGACGGTGCGGCATTAACTCATTAAGGAGTCCTCCATAAGGCGTGGACATGTCCCTCGAAATCTACGTGTAGTGCTGGATTCAGACTTGAACCTCCAAAAGCATTTAAAGACAATTTCAAGGTGGGCTTTCTATCACCTGAAGAACATTTCCAGGATTAAAGGACTAATGTCTCAGCATGATCTGGAAAAACTAATCCATGCGTTTATTTTTAGTCGAATTGATTACTGCAACGGTGTTTTCACAGGTCTGCCTAAAAAGTGGATCAGACAGCTGCAGCTGATCCAGAACGCTGCTGCCCGTGTCCTCACTAAGACTAAGAAAGTAGAGCACATCACCCCGGTTCTAAAGTCCTTCCACTGGCTCCCTGTATCTCAGAGAATAGACTTTAAAATCCTTCTGTTAGTCTATAAATCTCTGAATGGCTTAGCACCTAAATACATCACAGACTGGCTATCAGTGTATCAACCCTCCAGACCACTCAGGTCTTCTGGCTCCAGCCTGCTCTGCAGACCTAGAACCAGAACTAAACATGGAGAAGCAGCATTTAGTTCCTATGCTCCACTTATCTGGAACAAACTTCCAGAAAACTGTAAAAGTGCAGAAAGTCTGAGTTCCTTTAAATCAAGACTAAAAACACATTTGTTTAGGATTGCCTTCACTGTTCTAGTTAAACAGTTCAACTAAAACATGTTTTCTTTAGTCCAACTGTTTTTAATATTCTTTTTTTGTTTCTGTATTTTTTATTTTATTTATTTTTTATTTTTTCCTACTTGCTTTGATTCTGTTTTATCTTCCTGTATTTTAATCATGTAAAAAAACTTTGCATTGTCTTTGTACTGAATTGTGCTATACAGATAAATTTGCCTTGCCTTGCCTTGCCTCTGTTTCCCCCCAGATGCCAGAGGAGGAGGCGTTTTGTGTGTTTGTGCGTCTGATGCAGGAGTACCGTCTGAGGGAACTGTTCAAACCCAGCATGGCCGAGCTGGGCCTCTGCATCTACCAGTTTGAATATCTGCTGCAGGTGAAACAAATAACAAATATTTGACCTAAACTGTCGTAAATCACCACAAGAGGGCAGCAAAACCTTTATTTCTCTCTTTAAAAGTCACTTCCTTCTAAGAGGTTTGTCTTTGTCTTCCACAGGAGCAGCTTCCAGAGCTGAACGTCCATTTCCGCTCCCAGAGTTTCCACACGTCCATGTACGCTTCCTCCTGGTTCCTCACCCTGTTCCTCACCTTCCTCCCTCTTCCTGTCGCCACGCGCATCTTTGATATATTCATGTATGAGGTAGGAACCATGCGGCGATATCTGGACACATTTCTGCTGTAAATGTTTCTGCAAAACTCAGAGTCCCATTAATCAGATGTGCACCTCGTTGCCAGGGCCTAGAGATCATCTTCCGCGTGGGTTTGGCCATCCTGCAGTACAACCAGACGGACCTCATTCAGCTCGACATGGAGGGGATGTCGCAGGTGAGCGTCTGCAGCCGTTTGCCGCTCCAGGTCCCGTTTCCCCCGCGCACGCCAGCTTCCTCAACAGCTCACTAAAGATCTAACTGATAAGAAACTAACGTTGTTCCATCTCTGACTGTTTTTCTTACCAGCGGTGGATAGAAAACGAAAGAATCTGGGTTTTAGTTTAAACTTTGTGGTCTAAAACCACATCTTCCTGCGTTTTCCCTCTGCTGTCATCAGGAGGCAGCTTTACTTCACTGAGAATGAAGCAAAATCCCATCAGATGCATCTTCTTTATCTTTGTTTACTGACAAAAGCTTTTTAAAGTTTATTTCATGTTGAACAGGTTTTATGAATATATTTCTATGCTTTTTCTGTTTCAATAGATGTTAATTTCTTTTTGTCTGTTGTGAAACATGAACAGCATCACACATGAAACGTTATTTTTGCACCACCGGCATGGCGAATTCTTTTTATTTATTCATAATCATTTTAAATAGAACATAACTCAATGTTTCTGCTGCATTTTCCACCATATTTATTTATTTCGCACTGTGCTGAACCTTCCATATCATTCCTAAAAAGTTAAAATCAATCCTCTGGACTTTGTTTCCAAGTCTGAAGACGTTTCTCTTCCATCCAGGAATCAATTCCAAAATGTCAGAAATAGCGTTTAGTTCCAGGTTTTATCCAGCAGCCCAACAAAGCCTGGTTTTAGTTTAGAAAACATGCAAATAGAAACGGATGAACGGGTCCCCCCCTTTGGAATGGGGGTCGTTTGGCTTCTTTGTTAGCCTGCATATAACCTGCTGTACTATATATACTGCCTTATATACAGTAGCATCCATGCTAATTGCCCCTCCCAGTCTAACGCCCGCCTAATGGCCGCCTGCTCCATGCGAATCGCAGCATAATTCCCTAAAAACTTCCAGCCACTGCTGGAGGGAATTTGGATGGAAAAATTGAATACGCTACTTTATAACACCTCAATTACAAAATAAATTATTCCAAACTCAACAACAATGTTGGAGGCAATGTGGACGGATGAATGCCAGTCACTCTGGCATTGTACAAAAATACAAACCTACTGGGATCAAGTTGTTCAGTTTATAGAAGAAATAAAAGGATACAAGATGCCCAAGGACCCTCCAGTGATATATTTAGGCTGGATGGAGAGTGAAGGAATTCACCGGAAAGACATCATTCTTCTCAAAATCTTGATAGTGGCAGCTAAAAAGCCATTACCAGGAAATGGTTTAAAAGTGACCCTCCACGCCTGACGATTTTAATAGTAGAGGAAACCTTCACGATGGAGGAAATGACCTCCCACCTAAGGATCAGGTACCTGAAAGAACAGTGGAGAAAATGGTTTGATGACACAGATGGGAAAGGACTGACCCTCAATAAGACTGGAACCACAGATAAACCTTTGTTAAGACTTGTCTGACCCCCCCCCCCCCCCCCCCCCCACATTCACTAAACTACGACTCTGTTATACCTTTGCTGTATTTTATCGCCCTTCTCTCTTCATATTCTTTTTTTTGTTTGTTTTAATGTAAAATTTAAAAAATACTAAATAAAAAACTTCCAGCCACTGGCCTTCTCCTGGAAGTGCATATTTTTTACTCTGACTCCACCTTTCATTGAATTACAGGGTCTGACCAGCAGATGGCGCTTCTCTTTAGGTCCAAATGTCCACAAATCATGACAGAATATTTTAGTACAAAGATTGATCTTTAAAAAGGAATCATAGGGGAGCAGCCAAGGACCAACCAGGGAAAGTTTTGAAAGGTCACTACTGTACTCTCCTGTACTATAAAACCTGGAAGTCAACCCTCATTCTGACAGTTTGAATCTAAAAAGCTTCCTGGATGGAAGAGAAACATCTTCACACTTGGAAACAAAACCAGAGGATTAATTTTAAACTTTTCTGGATCGACTCTGACCTTGATGATGGAGAATCTCCACCAGCATAACCTTCCATATCCAAACCTTTTGCACCTTGACTTTAAACTGGTTTTCCTTTCCTCCTTCACCGTTTGCATTCTGATCTCTGCTGCACTTTATAAATGGAGACGTTCATTTCGCTGCTCATTCACTGTTGAAATGCACTGACATGTGGTTTAAGATGACGATAAAGTTTATTTAGTTTCTGAGCTAAAGTTGAGATCATCGGATTAACAGATTAGATTTTTACAATAACTCAGTAAAAATCTTTGCTTTATTTCTAACATGTTCTTAAAGCCAGAAAGGAGTTTGATTTCTAACCAGATGTTAGAATCATTTCTGTTTCTGTGAAATTCTCCTTTAGTTTAACACTAATGGGATTAAGACTCCTTCCTCTAGGCGGGCAGCTAAAGCGAAGACGTTCTGTTCATAGAGCCTATAGATGTTTTCCTCCATCCTGCAGCTTTAAAATGAGCAGAAATCCATCGTTAAACCTTCATTGATTAGAAAATGTCTTTCTGAGCGAATTGAAAGATGTTAACGAGCGTCTCGGTTTTTAATCTCAGCATTTCCAGAAGGTGATCCCCCATCAGTTTGACAGCTGCCCAGACAAGCTGATCCTCCGGGCCTACCAGGTCCGATACAACCCCAAGAGGATGAAGAAGTAAGACTCTGATTCCACCGCTGGGAAACTTCTCCTCCATGGGAGCAAAGCTCTGCTGCCATGGAGGAGGAGCAATATATCATAACCGCAATAAAAAATGCTATCATCTGTTTGTTTGGTTTTAAATGCTTAATCAGTTTCTTATTTTTGAAGATAAAAAGGAAAATGTATTTAATTTGAACTTGTTTCAGACTTGAGAAGGAATACACCACAATAAAGAACAAAGAAATGGAGGAGCAGATTGAGATTAAGGTCTGTTTATTTCATAGATGTTATATATAAATACGTACGTGTAATCTGACCTGTTTGATAGCGCTGGATTGTTTTCTCCTTTCAGAGATTACGAACAGAGAACCGGCTGCTGAAGCAGAGGATCGAAACGCTGGAGAAGGTTAGAGAGCAGCTTCCTGTGTTCGGTGTGTTGATTGAAATCAGCAGCGCCGCCTCGTCTGACCCGCCTGGCAGCTTTAAACTGGATTTAGAAACAGGAAATCCTCAGATTAGAGCTGCTGCTCTTCACCATCCCTGTGTGGGATTGTTTGTATTAAAACTTCAGGTTTTTAATCTCATTTTCCAGCGAAAAGCACATTTCTTAGAACGAACGTGATGCTTTTCTCTCAAACATTTCTTCACTTCTGTCTTTTAGTTTCCGTTTCTGTGGTTTATCCTTTCTGCTCTCCTGCTGTTTTCTTTCATCACTTTTTCACCTTCTTCCTCTCGTTGCCCTTTGCTGTAGGAGAGCGCTGCTCTGGCAGACAGACTCATACAGGTAGGATACTGTGCACCACTGTCCTTCACCTTATTCACACCTTTGCTCTCCCCTCCTTTGCATCGTTTGTTTTTCCAGTAACCTGACCAAAACGCATGGAGGGAAACTGTATTTTTTTGTGCGTTTTCTTGGCCTGCATGTCGTCTGAACCGACCATGGAACCGTTTATCATCCCTGCATGTCGCTGTCCAGCATCTATACAAGCATTTCAGTTTCCATTCTACATTAAACCTTTGGTGCACGCATTGAAATCTATTTTATTGGTATTTTATGTGAAATATAAACACAGAGCAGCATGTTGGTGTGAAATGGAAGCAGAAACGGAGCAGAGTTTAGAAACGATCAGGTTTATGGTTTGAATGATTTCTGTTGCTACATGATCTGATGCTACATCTAAAATATTTGACTTCACATAATCTAAAGTTAATCACTTGTTATGACCTGATTATTTTATGTTGATTTTTTTTTTATTATTTTGTGTTGATGTAAACAATAATAAAGCTAATAAACTAAATTTTTATTTAAACTAAATAAAAAAATTAACCCAACTTTGAACATTTCAGTTGATGAACTAAACTAATATGTTGAAAAGTAACCAACCAAACGTAATTTTAACTAAATAAAGATGAATTAATGTTTGTATTGACACCAGTTAAGCAGTTTAAATCTAACCAAATTGGCCAGCGGTAGCAGTTAACATCGGTTGCTAACACGCTAACCCCAGCAGCATCGGTTGCTAACACGCTAACCCCAGCAGCATCGGTTGCTAACACGCTAACCCCAGCAGCATCGGTTGCTAACACGCTAACCCCAGCAGCATTGGTTGCTAACACGCTAACCCCAGCAGCATTGGTTGCTAACATGCTAACCCCAGCAGCATTGGTTGCTAACATGCTAACCCCAGCAAAATTGGTTGCTAACACGCTAACCCCAGCAGCATTGGTTGCTAACACGCTAACCCCAGCAGCATTGGTTGCTAACACGCTAACCCCAGCAGCATTGGTTGCTAACATGCTAACCCCAGCAAAATTGGTTGCTAACACGCTAACCCCAGCAAATTGGTTGCTAACACGCTAACCCCAGCAGCATCGGTTGCTAACACACTAACCCCAGCAGCATCGGTTGCTAACACGCTAACCCCAGCAGCATCGGTTGCTACCATGCTAACCCCAGCAGCATCGGTTGCTAACACGCTAACCCCAGCAGCATTGGTTGCTAACACGCTAACCCCAGCAGCATTGGTTGCTAACACGCTAACCCCAGCAGCATTGGTTGCTAACACGCTAACCCCAGCAGCATTGGTTGCTAACACGCTAACCCCAGCAGCATTGGTTGCTAACACGCTAACCCCAGCAGCATTGGTTGCTAACACGCTAACCCCAGCAGCATTGGTTGCTAACACGCTAACCCCAGCAGCATTGGTTGCTAACATGCTAACCCCAGCAAAATTGGTTGCTAACACGCTAACCCCAGCAGCATTGGTTGCTAACACGCTAACCCCAGCAGCATTGGTTGCTAACACGCTAACCCCAGCAGCATTGGTTGCTAACACGCTAACCCCAGCAGCATTGGTTGCTAACACGCTAACCCCAGCAAAATTGGTTGCTACCATGCTAACCCCAGCAGCATTGGTTGCTACCATGCTAACCCCAGCAGCATCGGTTGCTAACACGCTAACCCCAGCAGCATCGTTTGCTAACCCGCTAACCCCAGCAGCATCGGTTGCTAACACGCTAACCCCAGCAGCATCGGTTGCTAACACGCTAACCCCAGCAGCATCGGTTGCTAACACGTTAACCCCAGCAGCATCGTTTGCTAACACGCTAACCCCAGCAGCATCGTTTGCTAACCCGCTAACCCCAGCAGCATCGTTTGCTAACCCGCTAACCCCAGCAGCATCGGTTGCTAACACGCTAACCCCAGCAGCATCGGTTGCTAACACGCTAACCCCAGCAGCATCGGTTGCCAACACGCTAACCCCAGCAGCATCGGTTGCCAACACGCTAACCCCAGCAGCATCGGTTGCCAACACGCTAACCCCAGCAGCATCGGTTGCAACACGCTAACCCCAGCAGCATCGGTTGCCAACACGCTAACCCCAGCAGCATCGGTTGCCAACACGCTAACCCCAGCAGCATCGGTTGCCAACACGCTAACCCCAGCAGCATCGGTTGCCAACACGCTAACCCCAGCAGCATCGGTTGCCAACACGCTAACCCCAGCAGCATCGGTTGCCAACACGCTAACCCCAGCAGCATCGGTTGCCGACACGCTAACCCCAGCAGCATCGGTTGCCGACACGCTAACCCCAGCAGCATCGGTTGCCGACACGCTAACCCCAGCAGCATCGGTTGCCGACACGCTAACCCCAGCAGCATCGGTTGCCGACACGCTAACCCCAGCAGCATCGGTTGCCGACACGCTAACCCCAGCAGCATCGGTTGCCAACACGCTAACCCCAGCAGCATCGGTTGCCAACACGCTAACCCCAGCAGCATCGGTTGCCAACACGCTAACCCCAGCAGCATCGGTTGCCAACACGCTAACCCCAGCAGCATCGGTTGCCAACACGCTAACCCCAGCAGCATCGGTTGCCAACACGCTAACCCCAGCAGCATCGGTTGCCAACACGCTAACCCCAGCAGCCCTGCTGCTCCGTATAACATGGAGGCTCCTGCTGTCAGTGACGGCGGGTTTCCAGAGTTTAACTCCAACTAAACTCCAACTGAACCTTAAAGCAATAATTGTTTATCTCTGGATGACGCCGCGCTGAACGAGCCAGGGCTGTTGACTAGCTAACGTTAGCGATTCATTGTCATAACGTAATTGTTTAAAGCGTAAACCCTCTGAGACGACAGCTAGCTAATATTAACCAGTTAACTAGCAGCTATAACATTGATTATATGCAGCTGATTTGCAACTTGAGTTTATTTATGGGTGAAATCCAGCCAGGATGTAGAGACGACAAAATGGTGGCCTCTCTCTCTCTCTCTCAAGGTCTGGGACTTGATCACATGCTCCGACTGCAGCATGCAAAACACAGTTAACATCTGACTTAAAACAAAAACAAAAATTTACCCGCAGGCCATAAATAAATATAAACATAATGAGAGAAATCAAAAACGTTTTACGTATTTTTAGTTCAGGTTAAATCAAACTTCATGTCTCAAAATCCAAAAAGACTGAGTTACACAATCAGATCAATCATTTTATCCAGTTTACAGTCATTAGTTTGAATGAACAGCTGCGTGTTCAGCTTTTTTCAGTGTGTTAAATAAAGTCCAATAAAGTGAAACGCTGTCGTGGTTAGTGAATCAAGATAAACATAAATCCAACTTGGATGGATAAATCTGATTTAGATGATTGTCAGACGTCATTAGTCATTAGTGACGTTCTCCGCTGGAGAACGTGAATTTGGATTTTCTAAGTCAGGAGCTGCAGAGATTCGCAGCTCAGGCTGGAGAAGCTGTTAGCAGAAGAACTGTTGGTGAAACTTTCCTCACATCAGGCAGGAAGTGGTGAGAAGAAAGCTGCTGCTGCAGAGGAACCCATACAGCCAAATCTGCACTTTAAAATGGACCACGCCACAGAAAACCTGAAGCGTTTTCATCATGTGAGGCTGGAGTTAAACTCTTAGGCCGTGTCGCGATGACATCGTCTCCATGGTAACTCCTAACCTTGTCGTCCTTTAGAAGAACGACCCCTAACCTGCGGTCAGAACTACTGTAGGTTGTTCAGTCCAAGCTTAGACCTTCGTTAAGCTGCCATTCCTAAAAGTTAAAATCAATCCTCTGGACTTTGTTTCCTCGTTTGAAGACGTTTCTCTTCCATCCAGGAAGATTTTTCAATTCCAAATGTCAGAAATAGCGTTTAGTTCCAGGTTTTATCCAGCAGCCCAACAAAGCCTGGTTTTAGTTTAGAAAACATGCAAATAGAAACGGATGAACGGGTCCCCCCCTTTGGAATGGGGGTCGTTTGGCTTCTTTGTTAGCCTGCAATGCCCCATACCTGTCTATGTCTCTGAAAGGAGGGGCTGCTCTCATATCTGAGCAGACTGTCTGCAGGTCAATGCAGGGAGGAATGCTCTGATCTTTATATGGGAGAAACCAAACAACCTCTCCACAGACGCATGGCCCAACGGAACAGCGCCCTCCTCTGGACAAGACTCGTAGTATTCAGTATCAGTGTGAATCTGTGAACATCTGGAACCAAACCCTGAGGCTTATTGTGTTTTTTTTTACTACTTTAAGAGCATTTTAAAGATGTTTTTCTAAACATCTTTACAAAAGGAAGAAAGTGGCCTCACATGTAAGATGGGTTTAAGCAGTCTGAAGTTGAGGAGAAGCTGAGACTCCTGCAAGAGAATGTTTAAGTTTAACGTCCTCAGACAGAGATGGAGCTCTGACTGGGCAAAGCTCACTACAAACATTTCTACAGCAACTCTAATACACACAGTCTGCCTGGGAACTATCCCAGGCCTAAATAAAGAACTTTCTCACGCGAACATTTGGAGTAAAAACAGCTTTAGTTGATCAAGGCCGTTTCCTGTCAGGTTAATCTATCTTCACTGGTCAGATGGATCTCCTAATAACAGCAGTCCTCCCCTTCATGCCATGAAGGAGGCTGCGACTCATTCTGATCTCTCAGGACCTTCGTTTGGAGCCTGGGAGGCGAAGAACAGACACACCTCCATGTTTTTACTCCACAGCAGCAAACCGCTGGCTAAAATCTGTCTCACCTGAACATGTTGTTATAACGGTCTGCTGTCCATCTACACCTGATGGACGAAGGACATTCTTTGGAGGACCAGAATGTCCACATTTTAGACAAAGAAGACAGGTGGTTAGAGAGGAAGGAAGCATCTATGTTAAATGTTATGTTGTCAGAAACCTCCAATGCAGCGATAGAGTTGATTCCTTCCCGCCATCATCGCAGCTCCAACCCCTTTACAGGAGAACAGAAGACCTCACCTGTTCATCCAGGCCAACTATTCCCTCTAACGACCCCCCCCTTTCAGAGACATAGACAGGTATGGGGCATTGCAGGCTAACAAAGAAGCCAGACGACCCCCCTTTCAGAGACATTGCTGTTTTTAGACCTTGGTTTTAGAGTGAAATGTTTGGTCAGACCTTTTCACCATCATTCACCATCCAGGAAAAGAGATGCAGCTTTTGGTTCCAGCGACGGCGCTGACTCACCCTAACCCTGACTCAGCAGAAATCCATGAAAACCACCTTCTAGTTGATAAACATGACAGTTTTTTATGGCTGTAATATAACAGAAAAAGTCCTGGAGAATTAAAAACTTTTTCGTTTTTTCTAAAGTGAAACAGCTGTGATACGTTTCTGTATTTAGGCTTAAAATATCACTTTACCCATATTTAACACTATTTATTTTCATTAAACTTCCATTATACAGCATTGGTTCTCTGGATAAACGTAAAAACATTGAATTAGCTTTAACCCTTTATAGGAAACTCAGTGAAATCCTTTGAAAACCACATTTCAAGCCAATAGTTTTCCAGGAAAAGACCTCATTACCTTTATAACATTCAGAAAATATGGATATTTTACTGGAAAAAATTTATATCGATGTAATAACAAGAAACACCAACTTATCCAAATATATTATTAAAAGTAGAAATGAATGAGAAACACATTTTATTTGGTCCAACTTAACCTTAGAGGCATTAACCTGAATATAATTGTTAACTAGGCTTATCAACTTTATAACTCGTTTATGATTAGTTTTTTACCTTTTTTTCTTGAGTTTTTAACTTTTTAATGAACTTTTTAGTTCAACTAATTGAACTATTTTATTAAATTTTTTACTTTTTTTTCTTGACTTTTTAATTAACTTTTTTCTTGTTAACCTTTTTTGTTTCCAATATAATTTCCAGTCTGAATCGATCATTCAAAGGTTCATCTAATTGGTCAAATTCCATAATCAGATGTAGAGCCATCTAGCAGGATCTATGCTGAATGGATGGATATAGATCTAGTACTTCTAGACCTCACTGAGGGATGGGGGGGGATCAAAAAGTCTCTCCCTATAAAGGGTTAAAATTCCCAGCAGGCAAAGTTGCGCCAGCAAAGGAAATCCTGCAGTTTCAGGCTTAAACCTTCTTTCTGATCCTCCCTTCTAGAGTTTAATCTCTTTAAAATGAACCTTTTTAAGTGTTAAAATGTCGGTTTTAACCTTTAGCCGTATTTCCCTATAATCGTACATTCTGCCGTATTCCCCCCCGTAATCCTGAGGTGTCCATCATCCCCAGTTTGCTTGCATGTCGGTGAGAAAAGCGGGCGCTTGGTGTTGACCCTTCTCTGTGGCATGCTCATACAGGGTCAGGTGACTCGTGCACAGGAGGCCGAGGAGAACTACGTGATCAAGCGGGAGCTGGCTGTGGTGAGGCAGCAGTGCAACACGGCGAGCGAGAGCCTGGAGAAAGCCCAGGATACCATCAGGGAGCTGCAACAGCAAAGGGTGAAAGAATCTTCAACATTCACACAAGCATAGAGATAAATCAACTAGTTTATTGACGGAAATCAGACTCTGATATTAGAGTGTGTTTCACTGTGCTGTTCATATATGTAGATGGATAATAACGTCCATTCAGGTCTGTTCATTAACATTTGTGAGGTTTTGCACATGAAAACCAAAGCAGGTCTTTACTGGCGCCAAATCTAGAGACTTTTCTGCTACTGGAGACTTTGGAGACAACATCTAAAAGCAGCGAACTCTGCTCTCCAGAGCGAGTAGATTGGTAACCCCGCCTCCTGCTCTCCTCTATCTTGTCTGCTGTCATGATTCATGCAGCTATTATTTCATCCAAATGAAAAATGGAGAACAGATAAGCAGATCATGGCTTGTCTACAGTGAAAAGAAGGACTGGGTTATTTACTTTGGCCTTTTTGGAAACACAGGAAGGAGCAATCAGCTAAGTGAGCTTAGTGCTTGGAAAAAATCTTTCATTCCTTTAGAGACAGCATGAAAAGTCAGCTGAGTACAAAACATAGAGAGGAAAACAAGAAGAAAAGGGACAAGAAGAGAGGGACACAACCTAGAACAGATAATGGATGTCTACTCTATTAACATTTCTCTATCTGGAGAATGGGGCTGTCCCCTGCCTGTCTTTGTTTAGGGCCCCACATTTCCTAAATGCGCCCCTGGCTGTAGATCATGAATGTAGAAACGCCAGAATGAAGGAAGTCAGAGAGAAGCAGAGAAGACGTGGAAATGTGACGAATAAAGAATGAAATGTTCCCCAGAACTTAAAGCTGCTCACCTTTAAAATCTGCTTTATTAACAAACTAAAAATATGTTTTTAATAAATCTTTCAGTGTCGGACTTAAGAAGACATCAGAGTTTTAAATCTTCTTTCGGTCCATCAGGTGTCGGATGCTCAGTTATGAACGCCAGCGACAGAAACTACCTGGTTTCACTAAAAACTCTCTGCTATCATGAGTGTTTGCTGAGCTGATGGCGTCGTCGTGACGACAGCATAATCGTTTAATTAAGAAAAGCAAAGTTAATACAGTGATTTCACTCTGAGTGACTCAACCCCCCCCCCCAGGTTGAGACGCTTTGATAACGGTGACTGAAATGCCCAGGATGACGAGTCGCCTCACGCTACGGACTTGCCCAGATTTAAGGCTTTGGTTTTTTTACCTGCTGAGTAGTTTTCCGCTTCGTTGGCTGCTTCCTGCTGCTCTCGCTGCCGCTTTGTAGTTTGACCTTGATGTGGCGACTGACAGGCATGCGGTGGCATTTCATTGGCTGACGTCATCCTCTGGGTTTGTTTCTACGCAAATACAGAGTTTGATATTTCTGGGTTTTTAAATAGCTGCTTTCTGAGAGAAAAATGAAAAAGAGGACTGATGTTTTCCTCTCACTCCAGATCTGTAGAGAATTAATAAATATCTTTCATTTAGCGTTTAGCTGACAGAGCAACCCACTTAGAGCAGGAATTATACCAAGATTGAAAAATATATCAACTTTTTGCATTTAAGATGAATAAAATGTGTCAGTCTGCTTTATGCAGAACTCCTCAAGTGGAAAAGTTTTACTTTAACCTGGTTTCATATTGTTAAAAGTCTTCTTTAGGGAAGTTTGGCTGTCCAGTTATTAATCTATTAATAAAAACAAACAATTTACGGCTGAATCGATTTTAAAGATGATGGTTATTTGCAGCCTTAATGCAATAAAAGCTGTTTCTTCGTTTCTCTGGTGAAAGAATCAAACAGATGGCAGAGCTCACGTTTACACGCCTGTGGTGAATTTGCAGAACTAAGCTGATGACCGTAACATAGCAGACGGCTGCGTCTGCTCCGTGCGTTAAAATAAACCAACAGGTGCAGATGAATAACAGGAGAACTTGTGTTTCCAGCATACGGAGCAGTTTGTGAACGATCTGCAGACGCAGCTGGAGGAGTCCCGTCTGCGCCAGGCCGAGCTGCTCGGAGCGCTGAAGGAAATGCAAGACAAGGTCCTGGACCTGGAGAAGGTGGGCAGCAAAGATCTCCCCTCAATCTGCTGGATTTTATGTTTTATGCTGCGGAATAAAGAACACAGGTGGTGAAATCAGAAAACCTCATTCGTTCCAGTTTAAAGTCGTATGGAACCGTATTTACATTTTAAAACCATTCCTGCTTAAACATGTATATAAATAAACTCTTTATCAGACAATATTTGCAGTTGAGCGATTTAGAAAATTTCTATTTAAAAAAAAAATATCCTGTCTTAAAATCTGAATTACGGCCATTTGTGCTGCAGCGGTAAAACAGGGCTGTCAGCTCTCACCCATGGGGAGAGAGACTCACCCATGGGGAGAGAGACTCACCCATGGGGAGAGAGTCTCACCCATGGAGAAGAGTCTCACCCATGGAGAGCCAGACTCACCCATGGGAGCGAGACTCACCCATGGGGAGAGAGTCTCACCCATGGAGAGCCAGACTCACCCATGGGAGAGAGACTCACCCATGGGGAGAGAGACTCACCCATGGGGAGAGAGTCTCACCCATGGAGAAGAGTCTCACCCATGGAGAGCCAGACTCACCCATGGGAGAGAGACTCACCCATGGGGAGAGAGTCTCACCCATGGAGAAGAGTCTCACCCATGGAGAGCCAGACTCACCCATGGGAGAGAGACTCACCCATGGGGAGAGAGTCTCACCCATGGAGAAGAGTCTCACCCATGGAGAGCCAGACTCACCCATGGGAGCGAGACTCACCCATGGGGAGAGAGTCTCACCCATGGAGAGCCAGACTCACCCATGGGAGAGAGACTCACCCATGGGGAGAGAGACTCACCCATGGGGAGAGAGTCTCACCCATGGAGAAGAGTCTCACCCATGGAGAGCCAGACTCACCCATGGGAGAGAGACTCACCCATGGGGAGAGAGTCTCACCCATGGAGAAGAGTCTCACCCATGGAGAGCCAGACTCACCCATGGGAGCGAGACTCACCCATGGGGAGCCAGACTCACCCATGGGAGCGAGACTCACCCATGGGGAGCCAGACTCACCCATGGGAGCGAGACTCACCCATGGGGAGCCAGACTCACCCATGGGAGCGAGACTCACCCATGGGGAGCCAGACTCACCCATGGGGAGCCAGACTCACCCATGGGGAGCCAGACTCACCCATGGGAGCGAGACTCACCCATGGGGAGCCAGACTCACCCATGGGGAGCCAGACTCACCCATGGGAGCGAGACTCACCCATGGGGAGAGAGACTCACCCATGGGGAGAGAGTCTCACCCATGGAGAAGAGTCTCACCCATGGAGAGCCAGACTCACCCATGGGAGCGAGACTCACCCATGGGGAGAGAGTCTCACCCATGGAGAGCCAGACTCACCCATGGGAGAGAGACTCACCCATGGGGAGAGAGACTCACCCATGGGGAGAGAGTCTCACCCATGGAGAAGAGTCTCACCCATGGAGAGCCAGACTCACCCATGGGAGAGAGACTCACCCATGGGGAGAGAGTCTCACCCATGGAGAAGAGTCTCACCCATGGAGAGCCAGACTCACCCATGGGAGAGAGACTCACCCATGGGGAGAGAGTCTCACCCATGGAGAAGAGTCTCACCCATGGAGAGCCAGACTCACCCATGGGAGCGAGACTCACCCATGGGGAGCCAGACTCACCCATGGGAGCGAGACTCACCCATGGGGAGCCAGACTCACCCATGGGAGCGAGACTCACCCATGGGGAGCCAGACTCACCCATGGGGAGCCAGACTCACCCATGGGGAGCCAGACTCACCCATGGGGAGCCAGACTCACCCATGGGAGCGAGACTCACCCATGGGGAGCCAGACTCACCCATGGGGAGCCAGACTCACCCATGGGAGCGAGACTCACCCATGGGGAGAGAGACTCACCCATGGGGAGAGAGACTCACCCATGGGGAGAGAGACTCACCCATGGGGAGAGAGTCTCACCCATGGGGAGCCAGACTCACCCATGGGAGCGAGACTCACCCATGGGGAGCCAGACTCACCCATGGGAGCGAGACTCACCCATGGGGAGCCAGACTCACCCATGGGAGCGAGACTCACCCATGGGGAGCCAGACTCACCCATGGGGAGCCAGACTCACCCATGGGAGCGAGACTCACCCATGGGGAGCCAGACTCACCCATGGGAGCGAGACTCACCCATGGGGAGCCAGACTCACCCATGGGGAGCCAGACTCACCCATGGGAGCGAGACTCACCCATGGGGAGCCAGACTCACCCATGGGAGCGAGACTCACCCATGGGGAGCCAGACTCACCCATGGGGAGCCAGACTCACCCATGGGAGCGAGACTCACCCATGGGGAGCCAGACTCACCCATGGGAGCGAGACTCACCCATGGGGAGCCAGACTCACCCATGGGAGCCAGACTCACCCATGGGAGCCAGACTCACCCATGGGGAGCCAGACTCACCCATGGGGAGCCAGACTCACCCATGGGAGCCAGACTCACCCATGGGAGCCAGACTCACCCATGGGAGCCAGACTCACCCATGGGAGCCAGACTCACCCATGGGGAGCCAGACTCACCCATGGGAGCCAGACTCACCCATGGGGAGCCAGACTCACCCATGGGAGCCAGACTCACCCATGGGAGCCAGACTCACCCATGGGAGCCAGACTCACCCATGGGGAGCCAGACTCACCCATGGGAGCCAGACTCACCCATGGGGAGCCAGACTCACTCATGGGAGCGAGACTCACCCATGGGGAGCCAGACTCACCCATGGGAGCGAGACTCACCCATGGGGAGCCAAACTCACCCATGGGGAGCCAGACTCACCCATGGGAGCGAGACTCACCCATGGGGAGCCAGACTCACCCATGGGAGCGAGACTCACCCATGGGGAGCCAGACTCACCCATGGGGAGCCAGACTCACCCATGGGAGCGAGACTCACCCATGGGGAGCCAGACTCACCCATGGGAGCGAGACTCACCCATGGGGAGCCAAACTCACCCATGGGGAGCCAGACTCACCCATGGGAGCGAGACTCACCCATGGGGAGCCAGACTCACCCATGGGGAGCCAGACTCACCCATCTCACTGTTTTCACGCTCTCACTCTATTCCCAGATTTTCACACTAAAGAATGACGGACATTAAAACTCCATTCCACTTATTTATATAAATAAAATACCATGCTGATAGAAATCCAGTCCGTTTTTTTAACCGTGGTGCTAACAGACAGGGAGATGCCAGGTTCAGATCCAGTCCGTATTTTTGCACCAGAACTGCACCAGATATTTAAAAAGTTTTCTGAGGAGTTTTACAGGGTTTCCACGCATCACTAAAAGTCATTAATTTTCATTTTTTAAATTGAGGCCTTAATTTGCATTAAAATTCATTAAATATGATTGTCATGGCATTTTAAATGCGTTATTTAAAAAAAAAAGTTTGTTAAAACAGTTTTTTCAGATATATCGCGATATATTTGCGTGGAACTGCTTCCGGTTGATCGTAAAGCCGTGTGCTCGGAAAAGAAGCTCGAGGCGGAAAAAAGGCCGGAAAATGGGAAAATGCAAATTTTAACAAAAGTGGCTGAAAAGGGGGGGGGGGGGGGGCGAGGCGTCTTCGGGCCCTGGGGGGCCGGGTCCAGTGGATTGTTTTTTTTTACTTTTACGGGAAAAAAATGTTTTATCATTATCTCCCTTTTATCTCCTCTTTCTTTCATCTTTTCTCCTTTTTTCAGTTTTTCCTTTCCGGTTCTACTTACATTGCAGTGTCCATATGATCTGATTAACTCCCTGCATGATTATAATAAAGCATTTATATGCATTAATCAAGCGGAACATGATGGCGATAGCCGTACTGCTCCCCTGGTGAAAGTTAAATCTGTTGGGCTCTTTTTGGCATCAAGACAATTATTCTTATTGCCAGAAAAAAAAAAAAAATATTTAAACCAAACCTTTTTTTTTTTTAACCCTTTTTGAATGTTCATCTTTAATCATTCAGAAGAGCAACTGCCTGCCTGATGAGAACAACATGGCCGCCCTGCAGGAAGAGGTGAAGCAGATGAAGCTGAGGGAGCTGGAGACACTGCGCTCCTTCAGAGAGATGCAGGACACCGTCACTGATCTCAACCAGCGTTGGCAGGTACCTACGTGTCTTTGCATGGCCCCCCCCCTCTGTGTCCTGCATGTCCGTCGGCTCCTTTCCTGTTCAAACGCTTCTCTCTCTGTTCCTGGAGCATCACATGTCGCGTGGCAGCAGCACGGGCGGCGGCCACTGGAAGGAATCCCCGAAGAAGAACGCCATGAACGAACTGCAGGACAAGCTGATGACGGTCAGACTGAGGGAGGCTCAGGCCCAGGCTGAGCTCCGGGAGGTCAGGCTCAAAGGCCTGCAGCTGGAGAGCCAGGTCAGACTAATTCCTATGCTGTCCTGCAGCAGCGAATAAAACGCCGACTGCTCGGCTGACGCCGCGCCGCACTTTATATTTTCTATTCAGTTTATTTCTATAGCGCCAATTCACATCATGTCATCTCAGGTCACTTTCCAGTTCACCAGATCATCCAGTCAGATTGATTCAAAGTTTTCTATCTAAGGAAAACCAGCTGATTGCATCGACTCATTGACTCTTCAGCAATCCCTCACACTAAGCATGCTTGTAGCGACAGTGGAGAGGAAAAACTCCCTTTGAACAGGAAGAAACCTCCAGCAGAACCAGGCTCAGTGTAAGCGGCCATCTGCTGAGGCCCACTGGGGTTCAAGGAGACAGAAGCAGACATAGAAAAAGAAGCATAGATACAACATTTTCCTTATCAGAATCACGTTTTTTATCCCCAAACTGTTGGAGCCTCCTTCAGTGTTTGAATGAGGTGGCAGAACTAATGGCGGCCATGTTATTAGCCATGCTTTCTTCTCCTTTTTTATTTTCTGTTTGTTCCTGTTTGACTTTAGAACCAGATTCACAGTAAACTGATTGGTCGTCATGAGCAGGAACGCTCCGCCCTGCAAGATCGCCTCCAGATGTTGGCCAATCAGAACAAAGCTCTGCAGGCCCAGCTCAGCGAGATGAAAAGGAAGCAGGCCGAGTCGGACTGCAAGGTGGGAACCAGAAAGAAGTGTGAAATGAAGAAACTTTCAGTGCCTAAAAAAGATGGGATTTATTTAGCAGCGAATGTCGTCTCACATCAGCTTCATTTATTTAAAGTCATAGGGAAATATAATAAATATTTAGATTTCAAATCATTCCAGCTTAAACATGTATATAAATGCACTCTTAAAAGTAAAACTTAAAAATCTTAAAATCTGTTTTTTTCCCGTTATCTTCTGCAGGCCAGTTAGTTCTACGTCAGCCTTAACACCTAAATTCAGCCAATCATATATCAGCGGTCATCTGTCAATCTAATGTTTTCGGTCATAGCATCTTGATTCATATGTCGCAGCTAATATACGCAACGGTTGAAACCAGAATCCTTTCCCATTGAGTTGCGTCCCAGTGTTCACGGGGATGGACGTCTGTGTCTTCGGCAGGCGTAGAGCTAACAGAACTGGCAGCGTTGCGAGGCAAGGGCTCAAACATGTACGGCTGGAAGCCTTCTACACCAAACCAAGCTTCTGCCGCCCTGGCGTCCTCTTCCACAACATCTTCGTCCCCGCTTTCCTCCTCTAAATAAAAAATGGATGACGGAGGAGACTCATCCACGACCTCCGACACTAAACTCTCCTCCTCTTGCATGTTTCCGCTGTCCATAGCGTTCCTTGACAGCGTCGTTTCTAAGTCACCAATTTAGTGCTACTTGGTCCCAATGGAATTTCCCATTGGGAACCTGCTAGCGCTAAGTTGCTAACTGGTTAGCAAGATGCTTCCAACAAACCAGCCACAACCAAACTAGCTTTCGAACCTTCTGCCACAACAATCCCGCCCTCTTGATAATCGACCAATCAGATTCACTTTATTCACTGGTGTAAAGTCGGGCACCACTCGGGAGAATTCGGAAAGGTTGGACCATCCGCTTATCTACGACTTTAAGAGTTAATCTTCTGATGTGTTTTAAGGTGCAGCACCATTATAAGACTGACTTAGACAACTTTTATTGTTATTTTATATAAACAGAGTGAATACAAAACGACATTTTGTTGAGTAAAGCTTTCCAGACAGTAAATGAACATTTCCATTCCTTAAAGTGCAGCAGTGATCTAATAAAGCAGGAAGTCCAAGTGCTTCTGGGCCCTTTGGACCAGTGAGGTGGTGTTTCCAGTCCAGGTGAGGGTGTCTGTGATGAATGTGGTGCTGCTGACCACCTCTACAGCTGAGCTGTTGATGAGCAGTGGAGCGTGGTTAGGCCGCTTCTTCCTGAAGTCCACCATGATCTCCTTGGTCTTCTCCACCTTCAGGATCAGGCTGTTATCTCTGCTCCACCAGCTGCTCCACCTCCTCTCTGTAGTCCAGGTCGTTGTCGTCTCTGATGAGGCCCACCGCCGTGGTGTCGTCTGCAAACTTCACCATGTGATCGGTGGTCAACCTGGGGACGCAGCCCTGAGGGGAGGGGCTTAGACTGATGACATCAGAGGCGGACTGACTGAGGTCTGTTGGTGAGGAAGTCTAGCAGCCAATAGCAGAGGGGTGTATTGAAGCCCAGCTGTTCCAGTTTGCCCATCAGATGCTGTGGGATGATGGTGCTGAAAGCTGAACTGAAGTCCAGGAACAGCATCCATCGTGGGTGTTCTTCTCCTCCAGGTGTGCCAGGCTCAGGTGGAGAGCAGCAGAGATGGCGTCCTCAGTGGAGCGGTTCCGTCGGTAGGCGAACTGGAACGGGTGGAATGTTGGCGGCAGACTGGAGACGATGTGTTCTTTAACCAGCCTTTGGAAGCACTTCATCATGATGGGAGTCAGAGCGACAGGCTTTATTTTGAAAGGCTTTATTTCAAAGAAATGTTTATAAAAACTAGTTCATCAGACATATTATATCATGATATATTTGCGTGGAACTACGTCCGGTTGATCGCAAAGCTGTATGTTCAGAAAAGAAGCTCGAGTCGGAGAAAAAGCTAGAGAATGGGGGGGCAAATTTCAACAAAAGTGTTTGGAAAACGAGGGATTTGGGACCTGGCAGCAGCCTGTCGACGGCTTTCTGTTGGTGGCATTAAAATAATTTCTAAGAGCATTAAAAGGCATTAAATTAGAGTTATTCATTCCTGTATGAACCCTGATATAATAAAGCCTTTAAAATATATATTAGACCTGTTTTAGGGTCTTTATATCCATAATGAGTATATATGGCACACTAGAACCATTTCAGTTGATGACATCATCGCTATTCATGCATTTCATTGGGAAAAACTGACGGCCAGTGGGAGCTCTGGGATGGTAGCTGTAGTCGGTAGTAGTCTGTGATCGCCCGTACGCCTGACCACATCCCAGCCAACTCAGATTTATTAGGCTGTGGAGCTGAACTAAATCAACATGTTTTTAATTTAAATCTAAAGGACTGAAACTATAAACAAATGAATTTGTATTTTGCCAATAAAGACATCAAATCTACCGCCTAGAGGATATGAATGAAAATGGATAAACAGGGTTTATACACTTATTATTATTATTTTCATTAATATAAATATGATGTTTCTGTGACTGAGGACAGTCGGTGTTTCCTGTTTGTCTTTGCAGAGTAAAGAAGAGGTGATGGCGGTTCGACTGCGGGAGGCAGACAGCATGGCCGCCATGGCCGAACTCAGACAGAAGATTGCAGAACTTGAAATACAGGTGTGTGTGTGTGTGTGTGGGGTGGGGGGGTCACAGCAATCCTCCCCCTAAACTGTCACTGCTCCTGCAGAAGGAAGAGGGGCTGATCAAGGGCCAGCTGAACCACTCAGACTCCAGACAGTACATCAGTCAGCTGCGGGACCAGATCGCTGAGCTGAAGAACGAGGTCAGAGACGCCATCTTCTACCCGACGTTTGAGGCTACGCTACTTAAGCTTTTGAGTCCATTTTAACCAATATAGCTCTGATAGCCAAACAGCTTTGCTTTCACTAGCAGACCAGTATGACTGTTGCCAAAATGTTCTGATAATATTTGTTCATTAAACTTGAGGGAGTAAAATCGTACACAACAAAGACGGGAAAGGAGGAGAGAAAGAAATCAGGGATTTAAACCTGGGATCAATGGGCGTCTAGTGGCAGTAGAAACGGCTCACTGACACGAGTCTACCCGGGTCACCAGCATTTTATGCCAGCGTGAAGGGAGCTAAATGCTACTTGTTAGCGAGTCAACCCATGTTTGAAAAACCTGTTTATCCTGTAGTGGGGAAAAAAGTATTCAACTATTCATCCTAGTTAAAATCAAATAAAATCGATGGATTTCACTCAGTCGGTACATTTATTCATATCTTTGCAAAGAGAGAACAGTTCATCATGAAGCCGTAATGGCAGCAATCTGCCCTGTTCTGCCTGAGCAGCGTTCGTTCCTCCTTAATTACAATAATGGAAAGCAGTCAGAGTCAAACTAATTACAGACACTTTGGTTAAACAGTAACATGTTAGGAATAAACCTGAGAAAGAATCTGGTTTTTTATGGAAGAAGCTACGTCTGCTCTACAAACACCATCCTGCAGAGAATGGTGCCGCCTTCAGGGTGAAACAGACTGAGGGAAAACTTTTATAGCGAGTAAATAGGATAAATTAATATATAATAGAAGAGAAATCTAAATTTTCCGACGACAGTCCGCTATTGTCAGACAGGAAAGATTGCATGGAAAAAAAGAGAGAAAATAAACAGCAAAGATCTAGAGTAACTTCTGGAATTCTGCTTCTACACCTGGATGAGACGAGAGGAACAGAAAACAGCAAAGAGGAGAGAAAAGACCAAGTAAACATCAGAAAGCTTCCAGAGCAGCAGGTATCCCTTAGGGATCCATGTGTGTGGAAGGAAACCCCTGAGGTGATTAAACAATATTAATATTCATTATAGATCTGGAGCTGCAGCTCAGTATTCACTATCAGTCTGAATCTGGGAACATCTGCAACCAAACCATGAGGCTTATTGTGTGTTTTTTACTTCTTTAAGAGCATTTAAAACATGCTTTCCAAACATCTTTAAAAAAGGAAGAAAGTAGATCGATTTAAGCAGCAAACCGCTGGAATAATTAACCTACACGCGTCATAATAACGGTCTGCTGTCCAACAAACCTGATGGACCAAGGACATTCTTTGGAGGACCAGAATGTCCACATTCTGGACAAAGAAGACAGGTGGTTAGAGAGGAAGGAAGCCATCTATGATAAGGAAGAAAAACCAACGTTAAACAGGGGGGGGGGGACTCAGATTCCAGCTTTCAGAAACCTCCAATGCAGCTTTACAGGAGAACAGAACACCTCCCCTATTCAGCCAGGCCAACTATTCCCTCTAACGACCCCCCTTCCAGAGACATAGACAGGTATGGGGCATTGCAGGCTAACAAAGAAGCCAAACGACCCCCATTCCAAAGGGGGGGACCCGTTCATCCGTTTCTATTTGCATGTTTTCTAAACTAAAACCAGGCTTTGTTGGGCTGCTGGATAAAACCTGGAACTAAACGCTATTTCTGACATTTTGGATTGAAAAATCTTCCTGGATGGAAGAGAAACGTCTTTAAACTTGGGAACAAAGTCCAGTTTTTTATTGTTTTTAACTTTTTAGTAATATTATAATGGTCATTATGGGGAAACGCTGTAAGACTCCGAGGTTTAAGTTTGATGCCAGATACAGAAAACCTGGTTGATCATTTTAACCCTGTGAACCAACAGGCATGCAGCAGATTTCCCTTTTATCAGACAAATGATGTCATCACATCATTACGACGCTCGAGTGACACGATCTGAACTTCCGATCCAGCCTGGACGCCATCAGCTGACAGCCGAGCTGATGGCGAATTAATTGGACCGGGTGGGAGTTTCTCTATTCTATTTCTTCTTCTTTTTTCAATTCAATAATGTCAATTCAAAACATTTTCTGGGCGTGCGACCCACGTACGAAGGCCTCAGGCCTCGACGCGGCCGACCCAGGTTCGAATCCGACCTGTGGTCCTTTTGCCGCATGTTTCTCCCCCCCCCATTCCCCCTTTCCTGTCAGCCTGCTGTCAGACAAACGAGCCACTAGCGCCATAAAAAAAAAATTTACAATCATTTTATTTCAGCACTGCTGTTTTATTTTAGACTGAATAAGTAGAGCTGCTTTAAAGAAGATGCACCCGTCAGTTGCTCTGATATTTTTGTATTTTTTACCAATAAACCTGTTAGAACCTGTTAGTTTTTGGATCTCAGCCTAATGTTAGATAAGACCTAATGGTGCAGTGTAATCTGCGGTTTGCTACACATCAGATTAAAATGAAATAAGAGTGCGTAAAAAGAGCAGATCATTTGCATCTAAAAACTCAAAGATCAGGTTTGGTCCAGAGCTCCTCGCCTGCAGAGGGCTGCATCTTAGCTAACCCCTCTGAACAATCTCCCCATCTGCACGCAGGCTCATATCAGGACACCACTTCCACCTCGACACACGCAAACCCGTCTGAGAGCTTCTGGTAACAACAGACCACTGATCCTCACCATCAATCATTTCACTCTGAAACATCTCAGTAATCCTACAGATGTACGCCTCCCTCCGTCGCTCAGGGGTTAAAGAAGCGTCCATTTTCAGGTTTTTTAGAAAAGTCATTGTCGTGCCACAGAGATAATTTCCAGCTCTGATTTGAGAAGCAAACCTCCCCCTCAGCCTGAGTCTGGGTTTGTTCATTCAGAGACTGGCTGTGCGTGACTACCAGAGGGTTTACTCTGCACTTTACTGCTCCCCTCCTCACTTCTCTTCTCCTCCCACTACTTTCCTCCATCAAAGTGTTGGTTTTGATCAGAGAGACTGAAACTTTCGTGAGAGGAAGCAATGAAGCATTTAAAGAAATCTCAGTCTGGTGACTAAGAAATCCTCTCAGAATTTAGTGCTTTAATCCAGAATAAAATAAATATCTGCAGATGTTTCATAATATATGTAAAGATAGGAATCTAAATATCTTGTCCTAATTGTTCAGAAGTGGCTCATTGACTGTTGCAGAAAACATTGGTTGAAATGTAAAAAAGGATGGTTTGAAACCTTTAACTGGTTCATTTTCTGCTTTTAGTTTAGCAGTCAGTCAAAACATTTCCCCTGGTTAACCACTGATTTATCCTCCCCCCCCACACCATGCAGCGTGTTCTAGTGTTAGATACATAGGGGGAAAACTAAAACCTCTGAGATTTGTCATGAGTCACTGTGGTACATGCAAGGCTAACATGCAGAAAGCATGCATGCACGTAAACGCAGCCTCTACTTTGTTTTAGACGAAGAAAAATCCTTTTTATACTGGAAATGCTTTTAAAGCTCTTCCAAACTGGTGTTTTCTTTATTTACAGCCTCCTGAATATAAAGTTTCCAGTTTTTGCATAAAGATGATAGGAAGTAAACACAAACAGCTGCTTTTAATAATTAATTTATTGGAAACAGGAAATAAATTCTACTCTTTGCTCTAAGATGATTCATGATAACGGATAATAAGTCTTAGATGGTTGGAAAAGGTGGTTTTCTAAATAGATCAAAAGTTTGATCTATTTGACTAACTTGTTTGCTTCAGATCAGTTTTCCTGCTGCATCATTTACTTCTACTCCTAAACTATTGGCCGCTTATATCTTCTCTTTAAATGATGTCTTAGGGATGAGACGTAACATTATTAACATTATATATTCCTCCCAAATTAAAGTACAGTCATGGCCAAAAGTTAAGAATGATTCTAATGTTAATATTTACAAAGTCTACTGCTTCAGTTTGTATAACGGCAATCTGCATCTTTTGCAGTCACGTGACCTCGACACAAGGAGGCGCCATGTTGGGGGGGGTAACCTGCCTAATCGCTGCCTAAATTAAGTTAACTTGAGTTCAAGTATTGACAGTAAAGCCGCGATGACAGCGTGATGACATCAGCAACATGGACACCCACAATAAAAACGAGAAGAAGCCTTACAGAGATAAACTCAATAAGGACGCCAGAGACCGCTATTTAGCTAAGCTAACCTCAATTAGCAATATAGTTCCGTATGAGCTAGCAGCTAAAGCATGGACAGCCCATCCCTCGCTATTTCCACTAACTACAAATATGGACATAATTTGTTATCTTGTTAATGGTGTTAGTGCATATACACTTGAAGAATTCTGAAACTACAAATCTCTGGATGCTCATGGACTGTTTACTAATGGTTGGGTGCAAGATTTATACTCAACCAGAAGGATGCACGAACACTGTGGTCACCACAAAGGGAAGATGTTAGTCAAACTTGTACAAGTCTTCACTTCACAGCTTTAGCTAAGTGTAAATGATGGTGCATCCGAACCTATCAGGCGACAAAAAGCTTCCAAAATTATTAAACTCAAAGTACATAGAGCTCTTTTACATGGTAAATACATTTAATCTTGTGACCCCTGGAATATTAAGGTTCATAGCAAATATATAGGTGGGTTTTTTGTTGGTTTTGGTAAAAAAAAAATAATGGAGACAACTGGGACAAAGTTTGTAAAAAACACAACAAGAACGAGCCATTTTAATTTACCGAGAAAAGGTAAATCTCCCCGGGACGCTTGAATAGTAGCTCTAATTTCTCGCACGGTGACCCCCCAATATGGCGCTAATTACCCACAATGCACAGGGCATGACGTCACGTGCGAAAGACCCATACTCCAGAATGTTATAGAGTGATCAGCGTCACAGCAATTAATTGCATAGTCAATATTTGCCCGTTGATGGGGGAGACGGCCTGAGGCTATTGAAGCCGCTGCCTTCAGTAAATGTTGCTCCAGTTCACAGTTAAAAAGCTCAAAGTTCACGTCTTACATTTAGAAATGATTTAGTTCAATTTCAAAGACTTTTTCAAAAACTGAGCTAAATTCCCAAACCTGTTGCGTCGTGTTGGTGCCGCCAACAGGGTTTAAAATACGAGCTGTTATTCTGTGAGGCTCACGCCTCTAACAGCACAGCTATAAATCACAACCGACCGCTTGCCTGCTAGCTGGAACTGCTGCTCTCCCGGCTCCCCTCCCACCTGACATAACGGACCAATCACAGGAGAGCAGGAGTCAACAGTCCGGCAGAGGAAAACGGGTAACAATAAGGGACACAGAACCATCTGGACCCCAATAGAACCAGACAGAATCGTTGCTCTATAAATGAACTAGTTCTAGTTCACTTTTTCAAAAAACAAACTAAATACCCAAACCTATGTTGTGAAAGTTACCAGAAGATTATAGATATATTAAATAACTAGAACTGGAAGTTAGTTAATTAATTGGTCGTTCAAATTAAGGGTAAAGGTAGTTCTTTATTGTCAGCTGTAATTTGCTTACTGATCTGCATGGCAGCATTCTATACCCAGCTACTGTAGCATCTAGGATAGATCTGTCATTCTGGGAAAGAATCTGGTTTTTATTCCAAATTGTAAAGGTTCACTTTTTAACTTAGAACTGACTAAAACTAAACTAAACCCTTTTTAAGTTTTAGTCAACTAAAACCAACTAAAACTACCACATATGGTAAATACTAAAATGCGACTGAAACTGATTTTGTCCTGAAGACTAAATCCAAGATGGCTGCCAGAAACAACGCAGCATCAGTGTGTTTTTCCTCTGTATGCAGATCAGGCAGCTGAGAGGACAGAAGGCGGCACCTGACGCCAGGATCACCTGTGGAGGAGGAAGCCCCGCCTACCAGAACCTGTGCTTGGCCAGCCCCGCCTCCGCCGAGGGAGACTACCTGAGCTCGGATGAAGACCTGCTGAACAGCCCCCTGCCCGCCGCCGCCCTGTACCCCACGCTGACGGACCCCCGCCACCCGTCTCCCCGGTTAGACAGCGAGGGCAGCACGGACAGCGAGGCGGAGGAGCGGCTACAGACGCCTCCCGACCCGCAGCAGATATACGGCAGCATGGTGTGCGCCGACGTCCTGGATAACTGACCCCGCCCCCAGGAGCCTCTAACTGCTACAGTGGATTGTATTAATCAACCAAATCCTCTTTGGCTTTTCCAGTCTTTCCCTTTTCCGTACCGCAGACATGGGGGCGGGCTCTGTTCCTGATGCTGGCAGGGAGGGGCCTCCCAGACGCCGGCAGTGAGGGGCCTCCCAGACGCCGGCAGACTCATATCCTTTCAAACATCATTGCATCAAATACATGGAGAGAATAAAGTGAATCTGAACTGGACTCCAAGGAGGGAAGGATGGGAAACGGTTTTACACCCATCAGCCTCGCTCACCGCGTCCAATGGAATCCTACTTCCTGGTTGGAAATCTGTGAACTTTTCTTCCTCTGTGTCCCGCGGCCAGAACAAATAACCCCCCCCCCCCACACACACACACCCCTTTAAAGGAAAAGTCCGGTCAGCAGGAATAATCAATGGATCATTATTTATACCTAAAACTAATACGTTCGCATTCATTTAATGAATTTGGTGTTTTGTTTTGAGTCTGGGAGCGGCCATTTTTGCCCAAACATAGTAGCCCCTCCCTCCTGCCATCTTCCAGCAGTGACGTCACGGCGCGGTAAGCCTAGCGCCATTCTCCCCGCTTTCCAAGCTAAATCAATGGGAACTACTAGACACATCTGCAATCAACAACAATTATTGAAGATTTCCAGAGGACTTCACCATTGAAATTCACCAGAGCTATAGTGAAACTGACAATGCCCCCGTGCATGGCAGCTGGATGCTGGAATACATCGGGTAAAAGGGAAATAAAGAGTTATTCCACCTTTCTGATTCCTGATCCTCCACGGACGGGTTGGTCGTTGGATCGCCAACTTGAAGAGGGAGGATTTGCCATCGAACTTCTGGCCAGAGAAAAAACCCGTAATATGTAGCCAACATTTGGAAGAAGAATGTTTTCAAGATGACTTGGATAATAGCGCGTTGTGACAAACACCAGATACAGCACTGGGACTTGATCAACAGCCGATACCGCACCGTGACAATGTCACTAACCAGTAGGTGGCAGTAGTGTTCTTTGACAAACATGGATGCCTCCAGTAAAGCACATTCACATGAAAATTACTCTGAATTAAAAACACTGATCATTTATTGATCAGGACTCTGAATATGATCAGACTTTTCCTTTAATAACAGGAAAGATGCACAGATGAGCAGAACCATGAAGTCATAGTTCTCCATAATTCACCCCCCCCCCCCTCGACACATTCATCCCACAGCAGAGGTAGGAATTCAAAGTTGCCAAATCTTTTTTGTTGTTATCATTATTATTTATACCTTTTAACTTATTTTGGTTATTTTTTATATATCTGTATAAACTTTAGTTGCTATAGCAACAGAGGCCAAACCGTCCTTTGTGCCAACCTGTCCTTTCTCGTGGGTTTACTGTGATTCTGTTCCAGAGACAGAAAAATGTGCTGCTATGATTTAGGATTGATCTTAGTTTACGTTTTGCTTTAAATCGTTGTTTGAAAAGAAAACGCAGTTAAAGTCGCGTTTTCCTTTCCAGTAGGAGGGGGGGAAAAGTCACCTTTCTCCTTGGAAAACTCGGCAGCCCTGAAGATACGGAGCTTCTCTCTGAAACAGGAACAGCTTTGGCCTTTTTTTAATGTCCAGCTGAGGTGAGGCGTCCTGAACGCAGCTCAGCACAGGGAGCTCATCTTTCTGGAATCATATCATGTTTAACTAAAAGCACTGAATCACGATAACATGGAGTGATGCACATTCAGTCAGTTCAGCACCATTAACTGGAAACAAACCAGACTTCAATCATTCCCTGTAAGGTCTGATTATTGGTCGCCGTCCATCGGTTGGCTTACGCTTGGTGCGTTCGAGGCGCCAATGCGCCGCAACGGCCAGATTATGTCATTTTAGCTTTGCTGTCTGTCTCCATGGAAACAGGAATTTACCAATAACATAATTGGCCGTCAGGGGTGGGGCTAGACTGAACATTAGAGTGTTGCTATCAGGCGGATGACCTGGACAGAACGTCGCCATCTATGATGGCGATATTAGAATCTGAGCTTAAATTCCAGCCAAACCCATTTAATCAGTAACAGATTAAAACCTTTAGATAAACCAAACATTACCGACACATATCTGACTCTATAACCATTAAAACAACTATTTCCATTGGTAGTGTGGTTGTAAACCAGCAGTCTGTGCCCTGCGCTGCCCCCTACAGTCTAACGTTGGGTAAAGGAGGGAAAAACTACGGTGGCCCTGAAGTGCAAACTGCAACTTCAAATCTAAAAGCGCAACTACATAAAGCAAAGCGCAACTACATTAAGGAAATCGCAACTACATAAAGCAAAGCGCAACTACATTAAGGAAAACAAAACTACATAAAGCAAAACGCAACTACATTAAGGAAATCGCAACTACATAAAGCAAAGCGCAACTACATTAAGGAAATCGCAACTACATAAAGAAAAGCGCAACTACATTAAGGAAATCGCAACTACATAAAGCAAAGCGCAACTACATTAAGGAAATCGCAACTACATAAAGCAAAGCGCAACTACATTAAGGAAATCGCAACTACATAAAGTAAAACGCAACTACATTAAGGAAAACAAAACTACATAAAGCAAAACGCAACTACATTAAGGAAAACAAAACTACATAAAGCAAAGCGCAACTACATTAAGAAAAACAAAACTACATAAAGCAAAACGCAACTACATTAAGGAAAACAAAACTACATAAAGCAAAGCGCAACTACATTAAGGAAATCGCAACTACATAAAGCAAAGCGCAACTACATTAAGGAAATCGCAAATACATAAAGCAAAGCGCAACTATATTAAGGAAATCGCAACTACATAAAGCAAAACGCAACTACATTAAGGAAAACAAAACTACATAAAGCAAAACGCAACTACATTAAGGAAATCGCAACTACATAAAGCAAAACGCAACTACATTAAGGAAATCGCAACTACATAAAGCAAAGCGCAACTACATTAAGGAAATCGCAACTACATAAAGTAAAACGCAACTACATTAAGGAAAACAAAACTACATAAAGCAAAACGCAACTACATTAAGGAAAACAAAACTACATAAAGCAAAGCGCAACTACATTAAGGAAATCGCAACTACATAAAGCAAAGCGCAACTACATTAAGGAAAACAAAACTACACAAAGCAAAGCGCAACTACATTAAGGAAATCGCAACTACATAAAGCAAAACGCAACTACATTAAGGAAAACAAAACTACATAAAGCAAAGCGCAACTACATTAAGGAAATCGCAACTACATAAAGCAAAGCACAACTACATTAACCTACCAGAAAAGGTAGGTACCAGTGGGAAACATGAGACATTGCTGATTGGACAACGGGGCCGTTTGACCCTTGAACCGGAAGTTGCGTCGTCTGAACAGTCCAGCTTCTTTTGAGTGTGTCTTCAGTGTACGCAAACTAACTGAAATTTGATGATTAGTCTTGAGCATATCCAGTATCACCTCGTACGTTTGTCCTGATTCAAAATATTCCTGGATAACGGCAGCTATGTTTGGGGCGCCGACAATATCCATGTTTTCAAAAGCGGCAGCAGGCAGAATGACTTCCGGTTCAAGGGTCAAACGGCGCCGTCGTCCAATCAGCGATGTCTCATGTTTCCCACTGGTACCTACCTTTTCCGGTAGGTTCATGTTATTGCGATTTCCTTAATGTAATTGCGCTTTGCTTTATGTAGTTGCGATTTCCTTATTGTAGTTGCGCTTTTAGATTTGTAGTTGCAGTTTGCACTTCAGGGCCACCGTAAAAAGCTTCAAAGGATAAAATGCTGTAAACATCAAGCATAAACCAGCTTATTAAATGATACCTGTTGTAGTGCGATATAAAATAATCAACATTTCACTCCAGTTAAATAAGCAAAGATCGATGATTTCACTCAGTCAGCACTTTATTTCCATATCTTTGCAAACAGAGAACAGTTCGTCAGACATTATTGCACGTTAATCAGCCCTGTTACGATCTGGACCGTTTGTCTCCTTTACTTATGAGGAAAAAGCTGTGAAGGTTGTCAGATTCAAAACAAATTACACGTATTTTTTAACAATTCTCGATAAATAATTTGGCTTGTTATGGTTAAATTATTCCTTGTATGTAAAACTCTTCCCTCTCAGACATTTTGTGGCTTTGCAGGTGAAACAGACTGAATAAAAACTAAACAGCGTAACTAAATATATGAAACGAGAAATCTACATTTTCCCGCCACACCTTCTAGATCCTCCTCTCTTTTATATAATTATTATCTTTATGTTTTACATTATTTCAGAAAAATCCATCAGTTATTGGTGGAAAGTCACCAGTTATTGTCTACGGCAGTCAGATGTCGTCCATCATCGTTGGTGAAAAGAAATAATCCTTCTTTCTAATAAAGGTCCGTTTTTTTCATGCTCACTTTTAGAAGACACAAGAAAAGAGAAAAATTAACTATTTTTTTTTTATATAAAGTATTAACACATAATAACCGATAACATCTAATTTAGTTGAACACCAGGTCCCGTCTCTGAGGTGCGTTCTGATTATTAACGTCTATATATAAGGATGAAGGTCGTAGGAATCCGTTTTCTGCTTCAAAAAGACGGTAACCGACTTTATCACAGTTGTATTTATTTTATTTTGAATTAACTGAATTATCTGGTCATATATTATAAACTCGGGTGATCTTATCCTGGTTGATGTTTGCAGCAGGACCTTTAACATATCGCGAACATCGCAATGTTTAACCTGCAGTCAGAAGCAAGGCTCTATGCGGCGCATCATTCGCCATGGCGTCCTGTCTTCCTACACCACTGAAACTAAACACAGATAAATAGGAACACTGGTTATAAACCATCAAAACCAGAAGCTCAGTTGGGTTTTGGTGGTATTTCTATGAGTAGAAAAAGATTTTATAAGGTCAGAAAATAACTGCAAATTACAGCCTAACATCCTATATGACCTTTTAAAAAGTAGCTGACATGTTTACATTTTTATTGCTATAATTACTTCGCCAACTTTCCCAGATATTTAATTCCAGATCAGTGGCGGTTAATCTAGGATGCTAGCATCACCTCTTCACTGAGAAAATGTTCTGTTTTAGTTGAACGGCGTTGGATCAATGGAGGCGTTTAGATATATATCACCATCAGTCAGTGGTGAACAGTTTATCTAACAGGGTCTATAAACAAGTCATCTTTGCGTTTTGCACTACGAGTTCACCTCTATTTAAAAAAGTTGAGATAATTGTTATAAATATGAATTATTTCCTATATGTATACAGATTTAATAGCAGGATGCTGCGAGTCCAGCTTTACTATTTTATTTAGAGGCAATATGAGTCAAGATTTAAACCTGGACATTCTTAAGCTTCTAGTTTAATCTCTATTTAAAGACGCTTGATTTAATATTTTCAATATTTTCAGCCTCTGCCCTTAAAACGCAGCAACATTCCACTTTTACATCCGTTGCTGCGCTATCCAGCGTGTTTTACAACCTCCCTGAACCGTTGCTTCTCATTGCACAGTCAGAATGAAACGATGACAAAACGCAGCCTTAATGCCATCCGGAGAAATAAGGAAACTTCCAGCGGTGGCTATCAGAGGCTGAAGAGGATGTCTGCTTCTTCGCCACAGTATTGCAAATAACTGCTGGATGTAGCAACTGAAATCTCCACACCAGAGTTGAGATTTTTGGACGGCGTGAGGCGGAATAAACCCGGCGTTCATTGTGGAGCCTGTATTAAAGGAAGGTGATAAATGAGCCTCTGATCAGCAAATAATTAAAACGTCCGCTTCACTCCATTCATCTTAGTTAGAATTTAAACTTGTTCGACTTGTCCAACCCAAACCCATACTCTAGTCTACCACCTTTCAACTAGATTGATTATTTCCCCATTAATTGTCTTTAATGAATGATAAAATATCGATATAAAGGGAAGGTTTTTCAGATAAAAGCAGGATGATCCTTTCCTGTCAGTCATCTAACTGTATTAACTATTGATGGTGCTGTTCTCACCTCGGCTCAACCCAAATTGATCAACTGTGATTCGTCTCTCATCGTTTGTAAATTGGTTTTAGCCTTCCGTCTCCTATTTTTAATAACTTTGTTATGCTAATAGTTCTACTGTACGTCGGATAACGATCGAATATGTGCCATAAAGTTGAGAAAAAGACTCTTTACGATGTCATTTTGCTCTCGGAGTCAAAGCTACTTTGTACCTGGAACGCACTGTGGTACTCCAGATCTACGTGTTTGGTTTAAAGAGAATAAAAGGTGGCTGACCTGCTCTAGGATTGATGTGCTACGTGCGACTGCTGTTTCATGCAGGTCAGCCGATGGTTTCCGACATATATGACAACAAACGCTCCAGATTTCATTATGATGGGGATAAATACATTCAGTGTTCTGTATCCTATGAATGATGCAAAATAAACGTTGACATTGCACCTTTGCACACGTCTCATTTTATTGTTTGTTAATCTGTAATCGTTGCTCAACAGGAGCCATAAGAGCAGCTGTAGTAATATGCAATCATTGCAGCAAATACCTTGTTTAAAACTATTTCAGTGAAGATCATGAAGAATTGAAACTATTATTAATGCTTCATCAGTTGGATCTTTATTAGCAATAAGCTCATAACGCTCAAAAACATGTTTAAGAAATAGAAAGAAATTGAACTGTATTAATCTCCCAATGTAGAAATTCCCTTTATTGATCTAACAATGGGGGAATTCCTTCTCTGCATTTAGCCCCTCCCCTTGGGCAGCAGTGGGCTGCCATTGTGTGGCGCCCGGGGAGCAGTGTGGGGTTAAGGGTCTTAATCAGGGACCCAGAGTGGGGGCTGTGGGGATCAAACCGGGTACTGCAACCTCAGAGCACAGCTGCTCTACTTACTAACCAATCTAGTTCACCCAAAGCATGAACTAGATTGGTTAGTGTGGCATTGACACCGCTCCCCTCCCCCCATCTGGATTTTAGGTTCACCTATTGGGTCATCCGGTAATCCTAGGACCGCCCACTGGCGCCACCGGGTCCTCGGCCCTGGGATTATTTAATATGTGTGAATGTGCATCCAAAGTGCAAGTTTTGGACAGAGAGGTGAAGGAAGCGATTATTGTGAAAAGAGAAAAAACAATCACTGCACAGAGGGGGAAGATTGATCTGTCAGTTTCCAAGTATTTACATTTAACTAGGAGTGTTGGCTTAGTGGTTAGAAGTTTGCCAGTATCCGGTTCGATCCCCACAGACTGCACCCTGAGTTCCTGAGCAAGACCCTTAACTCCACTCTGCTCCCCTAAGTTATGGGTTAAATGCAGGGGGAATTTCATTTCTTTTTACTTGTGAAACTATAATGACAAAGTTCTATTCTGATATCTTAGACGCTATTGGCTTCGTTCAAAATGTGAATAGTCCCACGCATTCTCATCTTCATACTTTGGATCTTGTGCTGACATACGGCATAGAATGTGAAGAAATAACAGTATTTCCTCACAACCCTGTCCTCTCTGACCACTTTCTAATAACCTTCAGGATTACTTTAACAGAGTTCTCCTCCCCCAAAAGATGGTTTCACGTTAGCAGATCATTATCAGTGAAAGATTTTAAAGTACCGGTATCAGTTTCACTTTCTCTCTCCTCTGTGTTGCTAAACAGTTTTGCAGAGGGTTTGGTTTATATTTAAATGATTAGCTTATTCCGCTTCACAGGTTGATGATTTTGTTGATGGGGTTGCTAGTTCTCCAAGTCTGGAAAAATGGTTTACTGCTGTATAAGAGAACCCTTTGTAAAGCAAGAGCAGCATATTTAAATGTAAATCCCTTTATTGATCTCACAATGGGGAAATTCCTTCTATGCATTTAACCCCTCCCCTTGGGAAGCAGTGGGCTGCCATTGTGCGGCACCCGGGGAGCAATGTGGGGTTAAGGGTCTTGCTCAGGGACCCAGAGTGGCAGTCTGTGGTGATAGAACTTGAACTTGCAACCTTCTCAGAGCACGGCGCTCTGCTCTTACCACTAGGCCAACAGTCCCTTAAGAAATATTTGTCATTAATAGAGGAGAATAAGAATAATCCTAGATTTCTTTTTAATCCAGTTGCCAAACTCACCCAGAGCCATAGCTCTGTTGAACCGTCCATTCCACCTGCTCTTAGCAGCAATGATTTTATGGGATTCTTTATAAATAAGTTTGATCTTATTAAAAATAAGATCATAAGCACTCCTCTATCTATGATTGGTTTGTCTCTGGAGGGAGGGGCAGCATCTGAGGTAGTCATGGAATCTGAACCGGGTTTAGACTGCTTTGATCCAGTTGAACTCTCTGAATTAGCAAAATTATTGTCTTCATCTAAGCCTTCAACTTGTATGTTAGATCCAGTTCCAACCAGGTTATTTAAGGAGGTATTCCCTTTGATCTCCTCCTCCATTTTAGATGTGATTAATCTATCTCTGTTACAGGGATATGTACCTAAAGCTTTTAAGATTGCTGGAATTAAACCTCTGCTTAAGAAACAGGTCCTGATTAAAAAATAACGCCAAGATTTTTTACTTTATTATCTGAGATCAATTTAATTCCATCCAAATGAAGAGTTCTGCAGCTCCTCCAAAGTTACCTTGGGATCTTTGGCTCCTTTGCAGCTGGATTCATTCTTTGTACCTTCCAGAACAGTCTCATTTCTGTGGGATCTTTAAAATCTGCACAACTTTCTAAAAGATCTGATGGATTATTTTTAGTAGAATGATTCACTTCTTTTTTGCTCATTCCCAGTAAAATATCTAGAAATATTTTTCCCATTATGCTGGAATCAAAGCTTGTTTGTAGCGTTCTCTTAGCTCACACTGAGCCTGGTTCTGCTGGAGGTTTCCTCCTGTTAAAAGGGAGTTTTTCCTCTCCACTGTCGCTACAAGCATGCTTAGTGTGAGGGATTGCTGAAGAGTCAATGAGTCGATGCAATCAGCTGGTTTTCCTTAGATAGAAAACTTTGAATCAATCTGACTGGATGATCTGGTGAACTGGAAAGTGACCTGAGATGACATGATGTGAATTGGAGCTATAGAAATAAACTGAATAGAACTGAATTGTTTAAGGGCAATAATAAATAAATGTTTTTTTATTTATTAGATTCCATCTGAAGTGGTAGAAATTTGTTTTTTGTGTCATGGGATGACTGGTTAGGGACGTATTTGCTGAATCATCACACAAAGATTTTCAGGTGACTTATGAGCAAGAAACTAAATATGAATCAGTGTCTAGTTTACAGATCTGCGCGGCTCGTGTTGCTTCAGAGGAGTTTCAGCAGAAACCAAAAGAGATGATGGTTATTATTGGAATAGAAAAAGAAAATGTGGTGCAATCAAACCTGGACTGGTTTGAGTTCCTAATTTGTTGTTTCTGTATTTTCATGCATCCACTGAACACATGAGAAGGAAATTGTTGCGTTAAGCTTCTTCTTTAAAACCCGACTTCAAAAGTGTCTTTTGAAACGCAGCCATTTCAAAACAACATGTCGACACTTTCTGCAGAATTTCCAGCGCAGTTGTCCCCCTGCTTCCTCTTAATCAGGTTGATTAGATCGTCCCAGAGCCGGGCCTGGGCCGGCGCTGGGGTTTTGCACCACAGACTTCCTGTGATCCTGCCTGGGTTTATTTTTGAAGCAGAGCTTTTTGGGGGGGCTGAAGTGTCGAACACGCAGCAGCGTTAGAGTTAGAGTGTGAGGAAGCTGTGTGGTGTGGGTTCAAAGGTTTCAGAGCTGAAGCACTTCCTCATCCCTCAGTTCGCATCACAGAGCCCCACAGAGATGAGCGCGCTGACCATGTGTCCCCTCTGACTTCCCCTACGGCCTCGAGGACAGACGGCAGGACGTCTCAGGGATGCTGAGGAGCATCTCAGCTGGAATGTGAAGATCTGGTGAGTGTTTTATTTTGTGTTTCATACTAAGCAGCTGTGCCCACCTGGCTGATGAAGTGACCTGAATGTGAAGAACATGTGAATTCTTCCTTTGGTCGAATGAGAAGCAGGTTTCTAAAGCTCTCCTTCCATGAAGCTGCTTTCAGGGTACTCTGTCCATCTGTGTCTGAAACCAAAGCTTTCATCAGAGCGAGCAGAGAGCGCATCCACAAGGAAAAAATCTAAACTCATTTTTCCTTAAAATAAATACATTTGTTCTTCAATTAAGGAGGTAAATGAGACACTTTGCCAATAGAAGTAAACTATTTACATTTAAAATAAGAAAAAACTTTTGCTTATTTCAAGTGCATTTTATCTGCTTATCTATTGAGTAAAAATACTCATTTCATATGTAAATAATCTTATTTACCTGCTCAAACGAAGAGAAATACACATAATTTAAGAGATTGTCACTTATTTCTATATGCACATAGATCCCATCAGCAGCAGAAATCACTGCTGCGCTCCTGAATGTGTCGTTAATCCAGGATGTTCTGTCGTCTTTCCTGTAAATGTTTCACTGCAGACTGTTTCGTTGGTTCAAGGCTTCAGGTTTGATGATCGAGAGAAAATCTGATCAGTGAATTTTGCCGAACTCTCAAATCGAGGCTTTTCTTCTTCTCTCTGCACAGGAAAAGATCTGAGGCGTCAGACATCCATTTAAAGTCGTATATTTGCAGCAATGAATTTCATTTTATTACAGATAAATCATAAACTTTCTGCATTTTCTAAAGATTTATAGATAATCAGATTTTTTCAGGCTTCTGATTTGATCTACACTTTAAATCAAGTGTTAAATGAATTCCTTCACTTTGTTCATTAGATTAAAGCCAAAAATTATAAGCTTTTAAAATATTTATGACATCCACAGATATGTACAAAAGACTAAAAGAAATAAAGATATTTCAGAGCGGTTGGAGCGTAGAACCTGGAATCCAGAAGTTCTGAGTTGTGCTCCCCTCGAGGAGTTAGGAGGGAATTTTGTTGCTCTGTACTGCTGAGAGTTTGAATGATCATAAAAAAGCTGAAAAAAAATAAAAAAGTTTAAACCCTCCATCCTTATTATCACAGCTTTGATTTCTGTTGCTTAATCAGCCAAATTTAGTTTTATTGTGAAGTAGAATAAACAGTAGAAGTTAGTTTTACTGCTGCTGATCGGCAGTGCTCAGCAGAGCGAGGTGGGGGGGGGCAGCAGTGTGGAAACTTTGTGCTCCGGAAGCTCGAACCGTTTCTCTAGGATTCCTTTACTTTAAATCCTGGAGGATTTTAGTGGAAAATTCAGAAAAGCTTGTTTTAAATTAATTTAAATTAAAACGTGAATCAGCAGGAAGACATTTCAAATAAAGACAAACCATAAAAATCAGCTTTTTATAAAATCCAAACACAAAGCGGGTGATTTTCCTTCTCTTTATTCATGGTTGAGGCCCCCCCCCCCCCCCCCCCCCCCCCCCCCCCCCCCCCCCATGGAGTCGGTTAAATGTTTGCATGTTTGCTGTCGGCTCTGCAGGCTGATGATCGAACCTCTGTTTATATCCAGACATTATATTTAAAACCTAAAAATCAAAGTCAGATTGATAATAGTTATTTAATAAACTGCTCTGTTCTAATATGGAAGAATTCCGGTTTTTCTTTCGGGGTTTTTGGTGGATTTAATTAAACAGAGGAGACGCTGTGGAAATGCAACCTTTGACATCTGCACTAAAAACTGCTTCATCTCTCTTCATCGATCCGTCTCACTTTTATTCACTTCTTTGCATTTTAATGACAGCATTTCTTCTCCAACTATAATGAATGAAATACTTTTACAAAGAGCTTCTATAAATTCACTAATTTTGACTGGAAGGATTTTAAGTCTCAGCCGCCGTTTCCATTTCTTGCTGTTTTAAAATAAAAATCCTGAAGCTTGAGAAATGTCCTAGTTGTTGTCGGTAATGCGATGCGCAGCGTTGGGCGCGATGCGTCTCAGATGGGCTCCTTTAAATGTGTCAAAAGCAAACAGTGAGTCATTAGATGTGTGATAATAGTGCACAGCTCACAGCTGCTGCTCAGACTGGGTAGCAATTTAGACCTCAGTGTGAGATTCACTATGAGCCGTTTCCTCTTCTGGTCAGACATAAAACATTTGTTTTCATTATTAAGACTCTGAGAAAGTCACGAACTGTTAGATCAGTGAGTATTACTCGTAAAAATGGCGCCCCAAGGCCGGGGGGGGGCTCACAAATCAACGCTCAACTCGCCTCAAAGGAGGAGAAAAAACATATTTTACTGACTTCCAACATTTATTTATATATTTATTGGTGTTTCCAGATATTAAACAGCATAAAAACATCCTGCTGAGTTGTTATGAGCTTCCACTGCAGGGGCCCCCATCAAGGGCCGGATTTACCATTAGGCAATACTAGGCAGCTGCTTAGGGCCCCAAGTTCCTGGGGGCCCATTAAACTGTGTTTCCATGTATGGTTAATACAGCTATTCCTTATTTCTGCACATTAATTCTGTTTTTGATAAAAATGGCTAAAATGCCATCAGAACGCTGATAATATTAAGTGTGTCTCAGCCCCCCCCTCCAGTGTCCACCATATTGGATCAGTCCATCTGCTGCACATGTTCAGAAAGGTCCAAACAGACAGCAGCAAACCATTTGAAAACAAACCATGCAAAGAGCAGTGTTGCCAACTTAGCGCTTTAGTCGCTATATTTAGCCACTTTTCAGACCCCTCTAGCACTTTGATTTCTAAAAAGCTCCTAGCGCCAAATCTAGAGACTTTTTTCTGCTACTGGAGACTTTGGAGACAACATCTAAAAGCAGCGAACTCTGCTCTCCAGAGCGAGTAGATTGGTAACCCCGCCTCCTGCTCTCCTCTATCTTGTCTGCTGTCATGATTCATGCAGCTATTATTTCATCCAAATGAAAAATGGAGAACAGATAAGCAGATCATGGCTTGTCTACAGTGAAAAGAAGGACTGGGTTATTTACTTTGGCCTTTTTGGAAACACAGGAAGGAGCAATCAGCTAAGTGAGCTTAGTGCTTGGAAAAAATCTTTCATTCCTTTAGAGACAGCATGAAAAGTCAGCTGAGTACAAAACATAGAGAGGAAAACAAGAAGAAAAGGGACAAGAAGAGAGGGACACAACCTAGAACAGAGAATGGATGTCTATTCTATTAACATTTCTCTATCTGGAGAATGGGGCTGTTTTATGTGTTGGCTTCCCCAGTCAGAGGGCCCTCTGCCTGTCATTGCCTAGGGCCCCACATTTCCTAAATCCGCCCCTGGAAGCATCCACCTGTTTAGGAAAGAAGGAGTGACAGAGATCGTTTTATTTGCATCATAGATCGATTAATGATCAACTAAATTCTATTTGCTTTCTATAGATTGTTTCATGAAGAATAGGAAGCAGGAGAAGATTTCGACCTTTTAAAAAATCTAAATAAAATGTAAAAACAAGCAGAACTATGCGGCTCTATGATTGGTTTTCTACAGCTCTGCTGCCCTCTTTTGGGTAGAAATCTCCTTTTCAATCATCTTTATTTAAATGTTTTGGATAATTTCAGATAAAAAGACATGAAACTGATTTATTTCTAATGATGAGCTTTCACGCTTTGTCAGATTCTGTGAATTAAAGCGTTTCTGTTTTTCAGGCTTTAGCTTTGAATCCCTGAGCGATGCCTCGATCTTTCCTGGTGAAGCGAGGAGGGCTGCACCACCTTCGGCCCTCAGCCAGGAGCCCCAGCCCTGTGGTGTTCGGCCCCTCGGAGGAAAAGCTGGAGTCCTGGGACGTTTCCCTGGGGTACTCCACAGCTAAACACCCAGAACTGAAGCAGGCGTCCATTGCTTCCTCACAGGCTGACCTCTATGCTGTCGGTGAAACTGATGCAGATTTTCAGCTGCAAATATTCCCTCCTAAGTCTAACGGTGGGTGAAAATCTATTTCTACGTCAGAACTCTCCTATCCACAGTCTAAGCGCTAAAATCAGGACGATTATATGAATAAATGATTGATTACTTTATTTTGGTTTGAAATAAAAAAATATATTTTAACAAAAGAATCCATTAAACAGCAAGGCTTGTTTCTGCTGATCCTGTAGCGTCATAACAATAATTCACAATAAAACATTGCTACTAAAACATAATTAGAAAACGCATAACTTAAACTGAAAAATCAAACTTCACGTTTTATAATTTTAGATTTTAAAGTCTTCTTGGAAACTACTATCGAGTTATTAATCTTTATTTCATCATTTCCAGCCAAAGCTGACGCAGTGACATTAGTTCAAACATTATTAACCTCCTGAAGTTATAAATCTCCTGATTTAAGATTGTTTGAACAAACAGGGATTTTCTTATTTTCCACTCTTAACATAATTTCCAATATTTTTAAATATGCAATGTCTAGAAATGTTATTTCCAGAAATGTTTGTGATCCTATAAATAGCTGACCTGTAGAATCCCGGCGTCCAACTCCATTTATTATTCTATTATTTCTTTTCTGCGGTTTAATTATTGGATCTAAATTAGTTTTCTATACATTTCCCCAAATCTCAGCACAGTAAGTCACATAAAGCATCACAGGTGAGAAGTACAGCAAATTAAACGGTTCTTATTCAGTAAATCTATAGTTTTGTAAATAATAGAAATAGACTTGAAACATTTTTTTTTTACATATTTTATTTAAAGCTTCCAACAAACTTTATCATCTATTACTTCTCCCAAGAAAAGAGTTTTATTTACTCTTTCAGTTCCAACATTGTTTAAAGTCAGTTTTATCTCAGTGTCCTTTTATCAACAAATAACATAAATTTAGTTTTACTTTCATTTAACGATTAATCAGTTCTATTTCTAGTTATTAACTCATTAAAGTTCCCTACAGAATAAACTGCCACCTGCTGGTTTAGAGAGGAACTGCTAGTGAATAATGTCCACATGGGATCAGCAGGTAGGGGGCGCCACAGGGTGGCAGTGGTTGACTGTGGGCGACCATGGCCCCTGTCTCTACCCGATCGTGATTCCGATAAAATCGCGATCCGTTCCAGCGGCTCATTTGCGCCACCAGATACCCGTCCAGGTTCGCATAAATGATGTAATTATGGAACTAAAGTCACTTATTTCTATCCTTAACTCACTAAAGAATGTTAATAAACATCTTTAAAAATGTTTAATACATTTTCCGAGACAAATTTGATGCTTTTTCCATTTTCTCCATTTAACAGCTTCTCTGATGTCATCATGGGACACGATCAGAGCAGTAAATGTGATTTTATATATATATATATAGAAGAGCTATATGTGTATATATATTTTATCTCTTTTTATTCTTATTTTTTATCTTATTATATTGTATAGTTGGATGTGTGTATATATCATGTAAAACTGTAACTAGAGCGTGTAACAAAAGTAATTTCCCTCTGGGATTATTAAAGTATTTCTGATTCTGAATAAATAGAGATGAGTGGTAGCAACAGCCCCCCTTGGCCCCCCATCTAGCTCTGTCCCTGGTTCAGGATTGGACCCTATTGAAGGTGATGCTGGAGCTTCACACCTGAAACAGTTTAGGGCACTTGTGCTATGATGTCATAGGGAGATAACAGAGATACCATTATCTTCACGTTAGGCTTGATCAAGTAGAAAAAGAAGTCCTTAATCTTTTTCGGCTCACTTCCTGTAGGCTGCGCTGAGGCCTGCAGTCCTCTTCACTCTGATACCTTCATCAAAGAGGAGAAACCAGACGCTGCAGCGTGGCCGCCATCTCCTGGAAGCTCAGGGTTTCCAGATAAGCTGTCGATGGGACACGTGGCTCAGCCGCCGCACATGGAGAGGGAGACGAGGAGCGGCGGCTGCACCAGGATCAGACAGGAGTGTCTGCTCTGCTGCAAAGTATGTCAGGATTAAACCTGATGGTGGAGAGTTTTATGTTTGCAGATGTTTTCAATTCTATTCAGTGTATTTCTATAGCTCCAATTCACATCATGTCATCTCAGGTCACTTTCCAGTTCACCAGATCATCCAGTCAGATTGATTCAAAGTTTTCTATCTAAGGAAAACCAGCTGATTGCATCGACTCATTGACTCTTCAGCAATCCCTCACACTAAGCATGCTTGTAGCGACAGTGGAGAGGAAAAACTCCCTTTGAACAGGAAGAAACCTCCAGCAGAACCAGGCTCAGTGTGAGCGGCCATCTGCTGAGGCCCACTGGGGTTCAAGGAGACAGAAGCAGAGATAGAAAAAGAAGCATAGATACAAAAGGCAGCTGTAAAAGGCGGCCCCGTCCAGGAAACACACAGCCAGGCAGACGAGCTCCGAGCCAGCTCCCATGTCAGAGGATGAAGAGAGCACATCCAGTTAGTCACAGTCAGAGAAACAGGACTACACTGGAAAACAGGCCAAGCTCCAACATCTAGAAACAAAGGTGTTGATGGCAGCAGCACAGCTGATATTTCTCTCCAGGATGGAGTCACAGCCAAACAGGAACAGACCAGATGAAGCTACTATGAGAAAAAGCAGAGAGAGCAGAACGTTAGAGATTGAACTAACAGATTCTGCAGAGTGGGAGAATAGAGATAGAATGAAGCAGAATGATGAAAAAGGGGTCCCTATGTCCTCCAGCAGTCTAAGCCTATAGCAGCAGAACTATAGAGATAGCTCAGGATAACCTGAGGAACAATCAGATCTCTGATATCAGATGGAGCTTGGCCATTTAAGGCTTTATATGTGAGAAGGAGGATTTTAAATTCTATTCTGGATTTAACAGGAAGCCAATGAAGAGAAGCCAGGATAGGCGAGATATGATCTCTCTTTTTCATTTTCATCAGAACTCTGGCTGCAGCATTTTGGATCAGCTGAAGGCTTTTAACTACAGTTTGTTTACTTCCTGATGGTGAAGACTGAGTGATTTTCTTTATTCTTAAATCTCTCATCTCTTTTCTGCAGATTTTTTCTTCTCTGTCGAGCTTAAAGACGCACATATGTAAAAGTCATGGGAGCAAAGCGGCGCACCTTAAGGCCAGCAGGGCCGATAATACCGATAATAGGCGGTCTCCTTACAGGGGCAAGGTGGGCACCACACATGCTTTACAGACGCCTTACCTTCTGAAAGCATCACAGACCTTCAGCCGTTCTGACCTCCAGGAGAAGACCTTCGGCTGCGAGGTGTGTGGGAAAGTTTTCAAGCGCTCCTCCACCCTCTCCACCCACCTGCTGATACATTCGGACACGCGGCCGTATCCCTGCCAGTACTGTGGAAAGAGGTTCCACCAGAAGTCGGACATGAAGAAGCACACCTTCATTCACACAGGTAGGTCTGCATCAGCCGCTGGGAGCAGATGTTTCAGACAGCAGCCAGAAAAAAGCTCCTTTCCTGTTAATAATTAATGCATTCACAGCTCCCCCCCCCCCCCCCCCCCCCAAAAAAAAAAAAAAAAAAAAAAGAATCAACTGGGCACACACATCGTTCAACCAGATATAATAAATCTATACACATATTTTGTTTTCAAATTCCACTGAAGTTTATTTCACACTTCAGGTTGCAACAAAACAAACTACACCATCTTTACAGTGGAACACTTTTGTGTAACTGTATTTTTTTCATAGTTCTATAATGTAGATTAGAAGAGGATTCTTTGTTGTCTGTGTTATTTTAAACATATTTCTTTTTTTTTATTTGTAACAATATTTAACTTTGCTATAATCTATACATTAAAAAAGCCTCTGTGCAAAATGGAGTGAAAACATTGAACAGCTCCCTGAGAGTTTTTTCTTTGTACTTTAATCCTCCCATCTTTTCAGTGGCTGTAGTGAGCCTGCTTGTTGCTGTAGATCTTCTCAAATCTGGGTTGCAGTGTCACAACTGTCCATTATGCTCAGTCAAGCAAGCGCTGTTTTTTTTTTGTTTTTTTCTTCACTCATACCGCTTCCCGCGCCCCCCCTGCAATGGCATTGCGCCCCCCCTAGGGGGCGCGCCCCACACTTTGGGAACCACTGGTTTAATGGAAGGTTGAGTCTTAAATGTCTCCAGCGTGGCGCATGGCAACCAACTCAAGGTCCATTTATCGCCACCTACCAGACTGGAGTGAGTTAATCGCTCATGTCAGAGGGACGTTATTAATTTATACCTTAATGGTATCATTTATCTCATATATCTGCTTCTTTATTTCCTTTGCCTACATGAGCAGGAATCCAGACAAATCAACAAAGATTTCTTATTATGAAGCTGAACTATTGGGTGATATATACCTAATAATGAATCTAATCTTCAACAAATGTGTTACTTAATAAAGCAGCTTGACTATCGGATGCAATTATATAATTATTTCCTTGCCTAACATTATCATCAAGCCGCTGCTCTAAAGTTAACATAACGGCATTAATTCTCCTTTTAATCATGACTTTCTGGAGTGAGATGTTCACAGCTGCTCCTGACAGATAAAGTTATCTACATGTCTGCGCTGCAAATAGCTAACTAGAAGTCAGGCTTATGAAAGTATTTGAAATGTGCAACTGTTTTTGAAAATGAAAATATCAAAGTTACCGCTCAGCTTTAGACCCTGCGTCCTACTAACATGCTGCATATATCCCATCATGCACCTTTGCCACCTTCTTCTTCTCCTTATGATATAACGACTACATTTCTCCATTTTTAGATCAATAAAGACAATCAGTTAATCAATCAATCAACTCAAAGGCTTCAGCAAAACTTGATTTCATTACATTTAGAAATAAAAAAAACAGATGTTTAAAGTATTTTAGTGGAAGTTTCATGTTTCCAGTGTAAAACCGTCATCATGGTTGAGCCAACCTTTTAGAAACGTTCATCATTTCTCTGTGTTTAATCCACCTGCTCTGTTTCTGCTCCAGGAGAGAAGCCGCATGTTTGCCAGATATGCGGGAAAGCTTTCAGCCAGAGCTCCAACCTGATCACGCACAGCAGGAAGCACAGAGACGACCGGCCGTACCGCTGCGCTCTCTGCCACTACAGCTTCCAGCACAAAGTGGACCTACGGCAGCACCAGGAGCACCACTGCAGCTTCCGCTGACCTTTGACCTGTAGCCTTCACCACAGGAAGCTCTGAGGACAGGAAGCTGATTCTCCTGTGGCCTTTAGCAGCCGTACATAGAAGAAGAAAGGCGGCCGTAGCGCCGGGCGGACTGGGCCCTGGACTAGACTGGCCCCCCACATTTTGTTTGGTGAACTGAATGTTTAAACCAGGGATTCCCAACCTTTCCCATGCCAAGGCCCCCCTGCACCAGTACATTCTCAGCTGAACCCCCCCCCCCATATGAAACATGTAAAAACTCATGTGTAAGCTACAGCAACAGAATTAAAAATAAAAACATTTATTCTGTAAAGACGACGTCACAATTATATTTTATTAAACTTTAATTCATGATTAAACTTTAATTTTAATAACCTTTTTTTCAACGATGTGCTTCTTTATACCTCAGAAAAACCGAAAGATAAAAAGTTTGTCCCAAATTAAACATGCAGGCATTTTATATAATGGGAGCACTGGGCCTGATGGCTCACCGTGCTAATGGGAGCACTGGGCCTGATGGCTTACCGTGCTAATGGGAGCACTGGGCCTGATGGCTTACCGTGCTAATGGGAGCACTGGGCCTGATGGCTTACCGTGCTAATGGGAGCAGTGGGCCTGATGGCTCACCGTGCTAATGGGAGCACTGGGCCTGATGGCTTACCGTGCTAATGGGAGCACTGGGCCTGATGGCTTACCGTGCTAATGGGAGCAGTGGGCCTGATGGCTTACCGTGCTAATGGGAGCACTGGGCCTGATGGCTCACCGTGCTAATGGGAGCACTGGGCCTGATGTCTTACCGTGCTAATGGGAGCACTGGGCCTGATGGCTCACCGTGCTAATGGGAGCACTGGGCCTGATGGCTTACCGTGCTAATGGGAGCACTGGGCCTGATGTCTTACCGTGCTAATGGGAGCACTGGGCCTGATGGCTCACCGTGCTAATGGGAGCACTGGGCCTGATGGCTTACCGTGCTAATGGGAGCAGTGGGCCTGATGGCTCACCGTGCTAATGGGAGCACTGGGCCTGATGGCTTACCGTGCTAATGGGAGCACTGGGCCTGATGGCTCACCGTGCTAATGGGAGCACTGGGCCTGATGGCTCACCGTGCTAATGGGAGCACTGGGCCTGATGGCTTACCGTGCTAATGGGAGCACTGGGCCTGATGGCTTACCGTGCTAATGGGAGCACTGGGCCTGATGGCTCACCGTGCTAATGGGAGCACTGGGCCTGATGGCTTACCGTGCTAATGGGAGTACTGGGCCTGATGGCTTACCGTGCTAATGGGAGCACTGGGCCTGATGGCTTACCGTGCTAATGGGAGCACTGGGCCTGATGGCTTACCGTGCTAATGGGAGCACTGGGCCTGATGGCTTACCGTGCTAATGGGAGTACTGGGCCTGATGGCTCACCGTGCTAATGGGAGCACTGGGCCTGATGGCTTACCGTGCTAATGGGAGCACTGGGCCTGATGGCTTACCGTGCTAATGGGAGCACTGGGCCTGATGGCTCACCGTGCTAATGGGAGCACTGGGCCTGATGGCTCACCGTGCTAATGGGAGCACTGGGCCTGATGGCTTACCGTGCTAATGGGAGCACTGGGCCTGATGGCTTACCGTGCTAATGGGAGCACTGGGCCTGATGGCTTACCGTGCTAATGGGAGCACTGGGCCTGATGGCTTACCGTGCTAATGGGAGCACTGGGCCTGATGGCTTACCGTGCTAATGGGAGCACTGGGCCTGATGGCTTACCGTGCTAATGGGAGCACTGGGCCTGATGGCACACCGTGCTAATGGGAGCACTGGGCCTGATGGCTCACCGTGCTAATGGGAGCACTGGGCCTGATGGCTCACCGTGCTAATGGGAGCACTGGGCCTGATGGCTCACCGTGCTAATGGGAGCACTGGGCCTGATGGCTTACCGTGCTAATGGGAGCACTGGGCCTGATGGCTTACCGTGCTAATGGGAGCACTGGGCCTGATGGCTTACCGTGCTAATGGGAGCACTGGGCCTGATGGCTTACCGTGCTAATGGGAGCACTGGGCCTGATGGCTTACCGTGCTAATGGGAGCACTGGGCCTGATGGCTTACCGTGCTAATGGGAGCAGTGGGCCTGATGGCTCACCGTGCTAATGGGAGCACTGGGCCTGATGGCTTACCGTGCTAATGGGAGCACTGGGCCTGATGGCTTACCGTGCTAATGGGAGCAGTGGGCCTGATGGCTTACCGTGCTAATGGGAGCACTGGGCCTGATGGCTTACCGTGCTAATGGGAGCAGTGGGCCTGATGGCTTACCGTGCTAATGGGAGCACTGGGCCTGATGGCTCACCGTGCTAATGGGAGCACTGGGCCTGATGGCTCACCGTGCTAATGGGAGCACTGGGCCTGATGTCTTACCGTGCTAATGGGAGCACTGGGCCTGATGGCTCACCGTGCTAATGGGAGCACTGGGCCTGATGGCTTACCGTGCTAATGGGAGCACTGGGCCTGATGTCTTACCGTGCTAATGGGAGCACTGGGCCTGATGGCTCACCGTGCTAATGGGAGCACTGGGCCTGATGGCTTACCGTGCTAATGGGAGCAGTGGGCCTGATGGCTCACCGTGCTAATGGGAGCACTGGGCCTGATGGCTTACCGTGCTAATGGGAGCACTGGGCCTGATGGCTTACCGTGCTAATGGGAGCACTGGGCCTGATGGCTTACCGTGCTAATGGGAGCAGTGGGCCTGATGGCTTACCGTGCTAATGGGAGCAGTGGGCCTGATGTCTTACCGTGCTAATGGGAGTACTGGGCCTGATGGCTTACCGTGCTAATGGGAGCACTGGGCCTGATGGCTCACCGTGCTAATGGGAGTACTGGGCCTGATGGCTTACCGTGCTAATGGGAGCACTGGGCCTGATGGCTTACCGTGCTAATGGGAGCACTGGGCCTGATGGCTTACCGTGCTAATGGGAGCACTGGGCCTGATGGCTTACCGTGCTAATGGGAGTACTGGGCCTGATGGCTCACCGTGCTAATGGGAGTACTGGGCCTGATGGCTTACCGTGCTAATGGGAGCACTGGGCCTGATGGCTTACCGTGCTAATGGGAGCACTGGGCCTGATGGCTTACCGTGCTAATGGGAGCACTGGGCCTGATGGCTTACCGTGCTAATGGGAGCACTGGGCCTGATGGCTCACCGTGCTAATGGGAGCACTGGGCCTGATGGCTCACCGTGCTAATGGGAGCACTGGGCCTGATGGCTCACCGTGCTAATGGGAGCACTGGGCCTGATGGCTTACCGTGCTAATGGGAGCACTGGGCCTGATGGCTCACCGTGCTAATGGGAGCACTGGGCCTGATGGCTCACCGTGCTAATGGGAGTACTGGGCCTGATGGCTCACCGTGCTAATGGGAGCACTGGGCCTGATGGCTCACCGTGCTAATGGGAGCACTGGGCCTGATGGCTTACCGTGCTAATGGGAGCACTGGGCCTGATGGCTTACCGTGCTAATGGGAGCACTGGGCCTGATGGCTTACCGTGCTAATGGGAGCACTGGGCCTGATGGCACACCGTGCTAATGGGAGCACTGGGCCTGATGGCTCACCGTGCTAATGGGAGCACTGGGCCTGATGGCTCACCGTGCTAATGGGAGCACTGGGCCTGATGGCTTACCGTGCTAATGGGAGCACTGGGCCTGATGGCACACCGTGCTAATGGGAGTACTGGGCCTGATGGCTCACCGTGCTAATGGGAGCACTGGGCCTGATGGCTTACCGTGCTAATGGGAGCACTGGGCCTGATGGCTCACCGTGCTAATGGGAGTACTGGGCCTGATGGCTCACCGTGCTAATGGGAGCACTGGGCCTGATGGCACACCGTGCTAATGGGAGCACTGGGCCTGATGGCTTACCGTGCTAATGGGAGCACTGGGCCTGATGTCTTACCGTGCTAATGGGAGCACTGGGCCTGATGTCTTACCGTGCTAATGGGAGCACTGGGCCTGATGGCTTACCGTGCTAATGGGAGCACTGGGCCTGATGGCTTACCGTGCTAATGGGAGCACTGGGCCTGATGGCTCACCGTGCTAATGGGAGCACTGGGCCTGATGGCACACCGTGCTAATGGGAGCACTGGGCCTGATGGCTCACCGTGCTAATGGGAGCACTGGGCCTGATGGCACACCGTGCTAATGGGAGCACTGGGCCTGATGGCTCACCGTGCTAATGGGAGCACTGGGCCTGATGGCACACCGTGCTAATGGGAGCACTGGGCCTGATGGCTTACCGTGCTAATGGGAGCACTGGGCCTGATGGCTTACCGTGCTAATGGGAGCACTGGGCCTGATGGCTTACCGTGCTAATGGGAGCACTGGGCCTGATGGCACACCGTGCTAATGGGAGCACTGGGCCTGATGGCTTACCGTGCTAATGGGAGCACTGGGCCTGATGTCTTACCGTGCTAATGGGAGCACTGGGCCTGATGGCTTACCGTGCTAATGGGAGCACTGGGCCTGATGGCACACCGTGCTAATGGGAGCACTGGGCCTGATGGCTCACCGTGCTAATGGGAGCACTGGGCCTGATGGCTCACCGTGCTAATGGGAGCACTGGGCCTGATGGCACACCGTGCTAATGGGAGCACTGGGCCTGATGGCTCACCGTGCTAATGGGAGCACTGGGCCTGATGGCACACCGTGCTAATGGGAGCACTGGGCCTGATGGCTTACCGTGCTAATGGGAGCACTGGGCCTGATGGCTTACCGTGCTAATGGGAGCACTGGGCCTGATGGCTTACCGTGCTAATGGGAGCACTGGGCCTGATGTCTGTCAGAGCAACACGTCATTCTCTTCATTCAACCTGATCTGAGTTTAGTTTTCATTACTTTTAAAGTGGAAAAGCCAGACTGGTTGCAAATGGAAGGAGACATTTCAGCCAGAAAATATTATTTGTAAGCTTTAGGTGAATGATTTTCATAAAGCAGTTATACCCAGACAGGAATATTTTAATTATTTTCATTCAATAAAAATAATTTCATGTATAACTTTTTATTTTTTATTCTATGTCCCCCACTTTGAAACCAGGGGTGTTTTGTAAAAGCCTAGCATCAGGACGAGCAAAGTAATCTATTACCTCCTGCTCTCTGCTCTCTCGCCATGTCTCTCCTCAGCCGCACTGACATCATGTTCACTGCTCGGTTCGCCGTCGCCTCCATTAAAACCACCATCATATTTACCATCAGACACCGGAGCAGATGAAGGTCCTGCTGATGGGAACATGTCGGTCAGTTTGACACATTTCGCAGCGTCCGTTTGAAGAACTCGTTTCTTTTTTATCGCGCAGTTTCTCTGCGCCTCCCTTCCATTTCTTCTCCATTACTACAGTGAACACCGCTGCACAAAGTTCCAATGGAGAGTGAAGGTGTTTCTCTACTTTCTGATTGGCCGAGCCCTTTAGACTGACAGGGATGATAACCAATGGGCTGCAGTAGCCTGAGGGAAGGGCCGGATGATCGGCACAGACTCTACGCTGCTGATTTGATTTTTCTTCATGCATTATGCAAATATAACGAGGCTGATATATAATAATAATAATAATAATACATATTATTAATATCCATGTCAGTCTGCCGGCCCAAACAGCACGTCGGCCCACCGGGTAAATGCCCGGTACGCCCGATTACCAGTCCATGCCTGCGTAGCGATGAAATGATTCATTCTGCTGCTGCTCTCTGCACTAAAACTTCTATAAACTTCTCATATTTTTTAGTTTTTCAATATATTTAGCAGAGATACTCAGTTCCAGTTGCTTTTGAGTATTTTTAGCTCAAAGTTTTTAGAAAAGTGTAAAAGCTGCTGCAGACTGTATTAATAAAGGACTTTTCAAACCAAGGTTGATTTTTAATTTGATCGCATCTAAACCTGAACATGATCTGAAGGACAATGAGGAAGAAATGTTTCTTAATCTGCTTAACGTATCTTTATTTATTCATTGACATCATACCAGCTGATACCAGCTGTGTAGCTCAGGGATCTGCTGCTAGAATAATTGCGTATTTTATGGGTTTTCTGTACATTTTACTTGTGCAAAGCTACAAACGTTCCCCTAAAAACGCTTTTCTTTGCGCTATTGGAGCTCAGAATACAGACTGCATTTGTTTAAACAGACGAGCTGTATGTTGGAATCAAGGAAGCAGATTTCTCTGATGAAACTTGTTTCCAAACGATTAACACTAGAAGTTCCAGAGAATTCCAGTTTTCCTGCAGCCCCCCCCTCCCCTCTTCCAGTTTGACCTTGCTAACTGTCCTTGTTGTAATGCTAATAACCTGTGATGGGACCAGTCCTTCTACAGGAGGCTGGATTAGGCTGAAACTAACTGGCATCAGAACCAGAGCATGCTCCAAACACTTTTCATTACCTCCCCCTGCAACATCAGACCTTTCTGCTGGAATATCTTGATAAGTCAGATCTAAATCTTTTATTTAGGCAAAGCTATTGAACAACCAGATATCATACGGGTCCTAGTTCCTGAGCTGAGAACAGGTCATAACCAGCTTTTCCAGCAAGGCAAGGCAGAGCCTATTTATATTGTCCATTCAGCAACAGACTCATTTATATTGCAAAGCTCACTATGTGAAAGAAAGAACAACTTTTCACATCATTCAACATTTCAGCTTAGAAAATGATAAACAGTCTGATTTCAGTAAAGCAGTAACATTTATTTCACCCAAGGAAAAACTCTACATATGAAGCTACAATTGTCCCATTTAGCAGTTTCTACAACCCAAGCTGAGTCCTTCCTGCATGTGTGACAGGTATACTGTGTGCTGTGAACACAGCGCTCAGTGCTGTGGTTCCTGTTGCAGAGGTTGCACACCTGGCCTGCTTATAATAACAATGAAAAAATCTAAAAAAAATAGAGTTTAGCACGTTTTCCCAAAGTAAGAGTTGTAGTATAAACTAGATGAGGTTATCTATGTATCCTACAGGTTTGGTCGTACTACAATGATCTATATTATTCTAATAAAATATAATAATAATAGAAGAGCCATTTGTCATTTAGGACCCTAACCCTTTTGGAAATTCCTCAAAAGTTACTTTGTTCGAGTCCAATAAATGTGATAATAATCCACCTCTCCTTTTGAATATTTCTCTCTGATTATTTTGCAACTTGCAGACGGAGCATTTTTGGAGCAGCATGCTCTACATAGGGTCCAATGTAATTCTCCCAGCCCGATAGGAAACTCGTTTTTCGGAAACTGTGGTTGTAGCTCACTGTCTGCCTCGCTGTGGTTACAGAGTCTGTTTTGTAGAATAAATCATCCGCCAACGAGTTATTAATCAGGGAAAGCCGAATCTGTGAATATATTCCCAACTTTACTGCAGTTTCACGATGCCGTCTGCATGTCTGCAGCGGAGCAGAGAGAGAGGAGAGATTGCTTGAGTTATATTTACCCCGTAGTAAATAGGGCAGATGGTCATTATTGCATAAATATGCATGTTTTCTACTTCATAAAAAGACTTTGGTTTTTTTCCATTCTATAAAGCCTCAAACTCAGTGATAATTCTGACATTTTGAATTGAAAAAGTTTCCTGGATGGAAGAGAAACGTCTTCAAACTTGGAAATAAAGTACAGGGGATTGATCTTTACCTTTTTGAAAGAACAAGGTGGTTTTAAAAACATTTCTCTGCTCTCATCACAGCAGCTCTTATCGGTTAAAAGGGAAGGAAAACTTTCTAATTATGTTTAATAAAATACAGATGAACTTAGACTTTAGACTTAGACAACTTTCATTGTCAGTTTGTATTCAGAGAGTGGATAAAAAACCGCATTTTGTTTTTTACAGCTTTCAGAACATTTCCATTTCTTTAAGTGCAGCAATGATCACATGGAAACATGGTGGGAGAAAAAAACATGGTGCAGATAAACCCTTAGGGGTGAGGTCAGCTGAAAGCCTCATTTCCCTTCATCATCGTCTCCTGAAACCTTCCGCTTCTGTGGAAGGCAGCTCCTCTCCTTCCCTTCAGCTTCTCACCTACATAAGGAGCCTTTCCTTTCCTTTCCTTTCCTTTCCTTTCCTTTCCTTTCCTTTCCTTTGACTGGTAGAAGGGATTACCGACCCTGGAGCTCTGACCCTTCTTCCCTCTGCAGGACTTTATTTATCAATCTAGCCTCCATTAAAACTTCCAGCAAGAATCTGTTGAGGAATCCATCATTTTATGATTGGATTAACGCTGATGACACAATATGGAGAAGTTATCACAGAGTATAATACTGCCACCACCGTGTTTCATAATGAAGGAGCTTCACAGTGCAGTTTCTTTACAGAACAGGATTTTGAAAGAGGAAAATAACCCTTCAATGTCTTTGGACCAGAAAACGTTCTGCATCAGTAATTTGGTAAATGTTATCCGGGGAGGAATAATTAAGGTGGAACGTCTTTCAGGCCAGTTTGGCCAATAAAGGCGATTGTTGCAGAACTTGGTGGATATTTAAAAAGTTGCATTACCACCATATTGCTTTTTTTCCGATGTTGACAATTTTCAGCTTTTCAGTGTTTTATAAACAGGTTTAGTGACCAAAGCAGGAGCAGTTAGGACGCCCCGTCTGATGCTGCGGCTCTGAGGACGAAGCCGCTTTCGTCTCACAGCATCATTTTTATCTCAAAGGACTGTTAAATAGAAAAGAGCTAAATGTAAGTTAGGCGGTCGGTAGATTTTACTCTGAGGCCTCAAGAATAAAAAAAACTTTGTGTGTCGAATGAATGATGCAAAAACATGTTTATTAAAGACAGTCCTGATGTTGGAAAGATGAAGGTTAATATGTTTAGTGAAGACAGCCTGACAATTTAACTGCTCTGATGCTTTAAAAGAAAAGACTCCAAATATTATTTCAACTTTTATTATTTTTTGAGCCTGTTTGAGACTTTTTATACAAAACATGAATGAAAGCTGACAGAAAACAGCAAACCGTAACGTTTCTCCTTAAGCTTTTCATTACATCTCATCTTTATATGTTTATTTATTTTTTGCAGGATTCAAACTGGTATTTCTGTTTTTTTCAGTGACAGACTTTAGAAATCATTTTTTTTGTAAAACTGGGCTCTGGCGACAACATCGTTGGAGTAGTCTCCACCTGTCGTGCCGACGTCCACCCTTTCATACGTTTGGACGTTCCGATCCCCAAAGTTGTAGGCCGCTATCCCTCCTGTGAGAAAGAAATCAGCATTTAAGAATCAAGATGTCCAAAATTACAAAACATAAATGGAAGCAAACAGATGAATCTGTAGCGTTTATCGGATGACTGTCAGGATGTTTCTCTAGTCAATAATTAACCATAAATAAAGTTGGTCAGCTTCTTTTAAAGATAAACTTTATGTAAAGAGGGGCGGGGTTCCTGTCACCTGGGCAACACGAGGGGAATAGATGTTTCCCAACCTGGGAAATCTGAGTAAACCACATAAGCTCCAACTGATGTGGAAAAGCAGAGAGTTCAGGGTTTCTGACAGATCAGGGCGACTCGTTATGAATCGTTTCTAAAGCTTTTAAATCGCAGGAACTTTCAGATGAATCACAGGGAGATTTAGGAGAATCAAAAAGATCTAGAGGATTATTGCAGACAAAGCTGAGCCTCTGAGTCACCAACATCTAACACAGATTAAAACTGTTTCTCTTCAGAAATCACGCCTCTGACCAACCAACCAACTATTCCACCAACCAACCAACCGACCAACTGATCAACCGACCAACTGATCAACCAACGGATCAACTGAACAACCAATCGACCAGGATTATTGAAATCTGGAAGCTTTTTAATGAACTCTTCTTAGGTTAGGGTTAGGAAGGTGTGAATACTCTTTAAATACATTTTATTGTGTTAATATTTCTTTACTTTATGCAGGTTTACTAGTGGTTCCTAGAATTTCTAAAAGTAGAATGGGAGGCAGATCTTTTAGTTCTCAGGCTCCTCTCCTGTGGAACCAACTACCAGTTTTAGTCCGTGAGGCAGACACCCTGTCTACTTTTAAGGCTAGGCTTAAAACTTTCCTTTTTGATAAAGCTTCTAGTTAGAGTGGCTCAGGTTATCCTGATCTATCTCTATAGTTCTGCTGCTATAGGCTTAGACTGCTGGAGGACATAGGGACCCCTTTTTCCTTTTTCTATGTCTGCTTCTGTCTCCTTGAACCCCAGTGGGCCTCAGCAGATGGCCGCTCACACTGAGCCTGGTTCTGCTGGAGGTTTCTTCCTGTTCAAAGGGAGTTTTTCCTCTCCACTGTCGCTACAAGCATGCTTAGTGTGAGGGATTGCTGAAGAGTCAATGAGTTGATGCAATCAGCTGGTTTTCCTTAGATAGAAAACTTTGAATCAATCTGACTGGATGATCTGGTTGAATTATCTCTATAAAGTGACATGATGTGAATTGGAGCTATAGAAATAAACTGAATAGAATTGATAAAGAATGATGGAAATTCAAACCATAAAATAAAATAAAAATGTGTTAAAAACTAAATAGAAAAAGCAGTTTATCAGATCTGGTTTTCATGGCTGCTCATAGGAAGGAAACTGACAGAGTTTAAAGGTTTTGGTCCAAATGACCATAACAGACGATCGCTTTCAAAATGGCCGCTACTGAAATCCACAGCAGGAAAATGTTCTTGGACTTTTTTAACCACCATGTTCCTGTAGGGAATGTTTCCCGCCATTTTGGCGGTCAGGCTCGACCCAGGGTGGGATTTTCTGTAAACGATATGAGTTCTTTCACCAAACGGATGCATTTATTAAAAGAGGAAATATTTGATCACATTATGAACACTTTGTGTTTAGATTCGTTCTAAGAACTTCCTCTATTCCTTCTACTTCTGCTTCCAACTGTTCCAATAAAAGAAGCATTGATCTGCAGAAAAGGTTTTGGATCAAGTTAGAAACTTTCCATTTCCTTCCTCCTGACATGCAGAGATAAATCCCAGCTTCACTAAAGCATCAAACCTTTCAGCTGCTGCTCTTTGCTCCATCCAGGGAACTTCCTCTGAATGGTTTTAATGAAGTTCACCAGGATCCCTGTTCCCTGGCGGAGATGCTCCTCGCTGTTCCAGGCTCCGACTATCGTGTGATGTCTTTTATCCACCTGCAGATTAAACACAGGATTAGAACCGAGCCTTTGGGTCACATTGCCATTGAATCTTTTCATGTGGACATAAACAGCCTTTACCAACCTGCATGAGACCCCAGCCATTGCCGTGGTCCCCCCAACCATCATCCAGGGCGTTTCCTGCTCTGGATTCCCTGGAGATGATGCCAGCAATCAGGGCAGGATCGACACCCAAATCATTTCCCACTTTTCTGATTGCTGATTTGTAATTGTTCATTCTTCCCAGATCCATTCGTGCCATTTCTTCTGATGCCCTCACACCTGTCGGGGGGGGGGGGGGGGGGGTTGATGAAAACAGCCACAACGTCATTACAGAGGAGAGTTTCCCGTCCTGGTGGGAATTTCAGGAAAGCTGTTTTCATTCAGTGTTTACCTGAGTAGCTCAGCCTATCCTGGCGAGACGTCTCAGTGGAAGCACCACTAGTTTCAACTTTACTAATATCTCCAAAACCTGTGAAAAGTTAATCAATCAGCATTTTAATAAAGAGAATTAGAAAGTTAAATAGTTCATAGAAATGCTTCCTTAATCCCAGAGAGTTTAGCAGATAAATGTGGATTAAAGCAAGTTCAGCTCCCAAAGTATAAACTGGAAAGATAATCCCTCCTGGATCATTAAAGCATTTCTGATTCTGATCCCATCGTCTGTATAACAGGAACCACTATTTTATTAAATTATAGGTGATTATAAAAATGAAAAATATTTAGCCTCTAAAATAAACTCTGTAAAACACCCATAAAGCCCATTAGAAACTCTGGATGAACCTCAGACTTTATAGATCCACATCTAGACTAGAACTAAAGCTAATCTGGACTGAATAGGATGAAACATGTTTGTTCCACAAAGGTTTTAATGGGCAGGGGGCTGATTTTAGCACAGTGGTGCCAAAAGTGGCCAAATTATGCAAAAATGCATTATTTCCACTCATAAAAAGGAATCTGGTCAGACAAATATGCTGATTTCCATCATTGGAGACCTTCTGCATGAGGCGAAGCCTTTGCTGCTCAGATTTAGTCGTTTAATCTTTTAAATTTACCAATAAAATCATCAAACTGGATAGAAAATAAGAATAACAGAGCAGCTTATGGAACGCATGAAGGTTACATCACCTGACATGGTTGCTCAATGACCTCTGACCCCTCCTTGGAAAGGTCTGAGCCTCTAGTTTCCAATGATGGCGGCCATTAGGGGGCGGGGCTAGCAATCAATACCTGCTGTTGCATTACTCCCGCAGAGTCACATGTCAGGTGGAATTTTAAATTTTAAATCTCATTTGATTTGTTTACACAGCTATAAAACAAAAAGTAATTCTGAAAAAATTATTTTGAAATGAACTGAAATGTTTTAGAAATGTTAAAGCCTCATTTTAAAGGCGTTCCCCTGTAGATCATGTCCTGGTCCCTGTTATGGCCGCCGTACTGAAGACACGACACTCAGAGAAGTTCTAACGATGATCTGCGCTGGAACAGACACGGTTACTGATTGGTCCTTTGGATCTGAGTCATTTTTTTATTCTGTTTTACTAATTATTTATAAACAATAAGATAAAAGCTTCAGTGGGATTGAGACGGGATCCCAGCTTTTATCTGCTGAATGTTTTTCAAAACAAATTAAAAAAAATGCTCAAATGTTTTGTTGCGTTCTAATTCAGATTTTAGAGAAAACGGTAATTTTAACTTCAATTAAGTCAAAAATATGTAAAATTGTAAAATGTATATTGACATAATAAGAAATATAATTTCTATTGAACCTAATTTAATAGAAATGTCCCTTCATGCAGCTATATTAATATATCTGAATCTCTTGCCCTGTTTTTTATTTCATGCTTTGTTCCCCCATGAAAACACGCTGCCCCCCCAGGCCCCTCCTGGCCCCCCAGGCCCCTCCTGGCCCCCTCCTTGGCCCCCGGTACATTCGTTCTAGAACCGCCACCGTCTCCAACTGAAGCTGCTAAGGATGAAACACTCACTCATTGTTGCTGGTTGACCGTCTGCAGGGACCTGAAGCAGAAGTTTCTGTTCTGTCGTCCGTCTGGCTGCAGGAGGAGCTTTTATTCCTCGACTTCTTTCACTTTCACTGTCTGTGTTTCCTGAACCAGTCATTCTGGGAAGTCCCACTTTAAACACTGAGGGCGTTTCTAAGTCTGCCCTGAACTCGCTCTACAGGAATTCCTTCTTTTACCATAATAGCTGTCGTCAAGGCAACCGTGTGAGCACGTATTTTCCAAACATGTGAGCAGATTTATGCAAAGAAAGATTTACAGTTCTTAGGTTTTAGTGTCCAGCCATTTATTCTGTGACCGTGCAGATCGATGCCATCGATGTGTTTTTAGTTTAGGAGACGAAAACGATTCATAAAAGGAGGAAGTCACTGAATCTGAGGAAACACATGAGTCTGAGCAGGAAACTAAAGGAACGTGAGAGAATGAATGAAGGCAGATGAACTGACTCACATATAGAGAAGGTCTATAAAGAAAATAACATGAATAATGGAATCCAGTCTGTTTTCCTTTGCTGCATGTCTCTCCCTCATTCCTCCTTTCCTCTCAGCCTATTGTCCAAACAACGAGCCACTAAAAAACTGGATCAAGTTAGAATCAAAGTTACAGAAAATAAAGCATTACTAATAAATGTATCACCAAGGAATGAAGCTTCATGATAAACATCCCTTACAGATAAAAAAAAAACAGAATTGGTGCCAAAAACACATTTACCTTCAGATCATTTTCTTTTTAATGTCTTTCTGGATTCCAGGTTTACTGTAACTTAGAGACAAACTTTCGTTTTTACAGCTTTCAGGCAGTGAATGAGCAGCTTAGCAGTAAAACGAACATTTTCACCTGGAATAAATCAAGAAAGGCATCATTTCAACTTTTATAAAGTGCTGATTTTTAACTCACTGCAGAAATCAAACAATAAGCTTCTAAACTGGAACTTATCAGCAAACATCAGTGAATTAAAATCAAAGCTCAACCAATGTCCATAAACAGCCGCTAATCTGTTACTGACGCGCATTTAAATAAATACAGCAATAACCCCCCAGATGTTTGTGTAAAATGTGATTCTAAAGGGTTTCTAATAAACTGCATGTTGGAATGGAAACAAATTAAAGCATTTTGGACGGAAGTGAAAGATATAATTGAAAAATTCTTTTAAAAAGTCTCAATGGATCTTAAATTGTCCTATTATACCCTGGGGAACATAACTTTAGTAAATCAGAATGTACTTTCATAGATATAAGCTCATTAGTTGCAAAAACAATGTATTGCTTTGGCTTGGAATCAGTAGACGTCGCGCCACTCAGTGCGTAACACACATGTCGTCTAATTTGCTGCTAGAAAGAATAAAACATGTTAGGAAATCCAAACGGTTTCTTTTGGAAAGGATTTCAATAATTTTATTAATGACTTAAACTTAACAGAATGTTTGTTTGAGTTTTGATTGACCAGAACCTGTGGTGGTCCAGGTTATATATTTATATCTGACCAATCTGTAATGTGCGTTTTTCTTTTTATTTCCTTGTTGTTGTTTTTTTCTCTTCTCTCTGAGTAAAAATAATAACTATCATGTCATTACAATGAGAACCTGTTCCTATGACATGTTTGTATTTACAAAATGAAAAAGAAAAAAAAAATATATACATATATATATAAACCATTTCTATTTATAAAGTGCAGCAGTGATTAAAATCCAATCCAACTTTATTTATAAAGAACTTTAACATTTCTCAAAGGATCAAAGTGCTTTATAGTGAAAAAACATAACACCATTAAACAGAACTATAAAATCTATAATAAAATAAAAATAAAAGTAATTTAAAATAGACTAAAATCAACATCTCACACAGTTTAGAAAGCAAAGGCAAGGAGACGAGTTTTTAAGAGCGATTTAAAATCAAAGAAGCAGAAAATTGAATTTGCAATGGAAGGTGGTTCCATATTTTGGAGCGCAGAGAAGAACCATCGCCCCTCAGCTTCTCTTTGGGTTTGGGAACCTGCAGCTGATTGGCTGACCTGAGTGAACGGGGGGGTGCATGAAGGGGTGGCAACTCAGAAAGATAACATTTAGCAAGACCATGGAGAGGCTTAAAATCTAATAAAAAAACTTTAAATGAATCCTAAAATGTTCAGGGAGCCATTTTAATATCGGGGTGTAAACAGTGTGGGAGATTCATGGTGCAGAAAGGCATGTGGAAGGTCAGCGCAGTGCAAAAATAAAGCAATAGATTTGGTGCAAAAGCAGTAAAATCATTGAGTTTAGTTCTATTTAAAGGGATTTTAAAAATCTGCCATGAAGAATATGATGTTTTCATGTGTGATGCAGAATCATTAGTTCATCAGTGTGATGGCGGTGGGGAAGAAGCTGCTGCAGAACCTGCTGGTCCTGCATTGAATGCTGGGAAGCCTCTTCCCAGAGGGCAGCAGTCCATGGTGGGGGGGTGAGGGGTCATTGATGATGTCACGGGACACGCAGCGCTGGGATGAAATGTCTTTTTTTTTTTTGTGGAAGTGAATCTGTTTGTGAGAGTGCACTTGTTCCAAAGGAGAAATGCTCAATAGTGGTTGTGAAGAGCCGAAGAGGCGCCCCGTCCCCCCTCCCTGACCCCAAGAGCGAAGGCGCCCAGGAGGGGCCAACCCAGGAAATCCAACCCCCACCAAGGGAGGAGGAGAGACAGCCCAGAGGAAGCCCCCCCCCCCGCCACTGCAATGCTGGAGCCTCCAGGAGCTGCGGGGAGGAGTCCGTGGGCTCCGCCGGCCACCCTGAGGTATAACAGGCCATGGGCCCCAGGGCCCCGCTGCCAAACCCTCAACTGCTATACATTAATAATCAGAAAACTTTATTTCTGTTTGTAGACAAACTTTTTTTTATTATTTTATCATCAGTGATTTTATCTTTATTATTATTTTTAATTATTCTGCATCGTCCTTTACCAGGGTGTTTCGTCTGTTACGTACTTCAGTACTTAGACTGTCCTGCTACTGAAATGTGAAACAGAAATAAAGCTGCGCTTCCAGTCCAAACCCGCAGTGAGTCACTCCGTTAAGGCTGTCAGGTGATGAAACGGGGAAATTAAATGTTTACCGGGAAAGTAGCTTAAAGGCACCACCCTTATTATTACCGCTAACGTTCCATTTTAATCCCTGGTTATTTCCAAGCAAAGGTTGGTTTTTCTGGCCGAAGGTTATTTCTCCTTGGTTGACTTTTCTTATAGCTCATCCAAAACAGTCCTGATCTATCTCTATAGTTCTGCTGCTATAGGCTTAGACTGCTGGAGGACATAGGGACCCATTTTTCATCATTCTGCTTCATTCTATCTCTATTCTCCCACTCTGCAGAATCTGTTTGCTCAATCCAGGTTTTTTTATATTTGATATATATTTATATTTCTTTTTTGATTTGTTAATTGAATAATAAACCCTGATCTAGTTGATATAAGCTCTTAGTTGAAATGATTCTCAATAAGAGAACATATCTTGCTTGATGAGGCAATTCATCCTTGTGTTAAAGATAATAATATAGATTATCTTTTCATCCTAATCTAATATCCTGCAGGTTAAATTAAAGTTAAGTGTTTCACCAAGCAGAAGAGAAATGTAACACATAGATGTAAAATTCGGAGGATTTTGTTGATCAGATTAGTGAACCAGGCAGCAGAAGATTGATCCTTTATTCATCTGCATTTGGAAAGTAACATTGCATTAAATCACATGGTAATCTTTTTCCTTTTCTGCTCCACTTTCAGCAAAGTGTTACCGTCCTATATTTCCAAACTAGTTTAAACTGCTTGGGTCTTTATTAAACTGTGTTAAATTAACCAGTTCACATTCATCAAAACCAGTCAGGAACCAAACAGATGTTTAAGAATCTCAGCAGCAATGGCGACGGTTCCCATCATTCCCTAAAATGTTCCCAGCTTCTTATCTCTGAAAACAAGGCGTCTCCAGGACAGGAGGTGTAGTTCACCACCTGTCTGTGGCCTTGGATGGTGAAGTTAGCTGTGAGGGCTCCTCCGTTCACAGCACATCGCACCAACCGATGACGCAGCAGGTCCATGGCGTAGCGAGAAGGCAGCGCGGCCGTGTAGTTTCCGATGATTGACACGCCGTAGCCGACAGCGTTGTGTCCCCTGGTGTGTCTGCCGACGTGGCTCCACCCCTTTCCTTCGTAGATGTAACCATCGGATCCAACTACGAAACTGAAGAGATAAAATACTTCAGTCTAAAGTAAATAATTTAAAACACGGTTCTACAAAAGTTGACATAAAATATGATGCGTGTTTTAGAGCAGAACTGGTCAAAATGGTGGAGAAATAGAAAGATATTTCTAAATGTATCAGGAGTCTGAAAGCATGTTTTTTCTCAGCCTATTTGTGAGATTAAATATTTAGATTGATCCTTTTCTCTGCCTAAAGGAGTGAGTTTAGAGAAACCTTGTAGCCGCCTCTATGCTGCGATGTTTAAGGTAGGGATGACAGAGAGCAGGTCCTCCTCACTCTGGACAAGCGTGAAATAAAGATAACCTGCCCTCTAACGTGCTTAAGGCTCCTTCATGCCGTGAACAGAAGACGGCTGTTATGAAACGTTTATCTGGTCAGTGAAAGATTTATTAACCTAACAGGGAAGGTCCTTGATGAACTGAAAATGTTCGACTGTGAGAAAGTTCTTTATGCAGGGGTGGGATAGTTCCCAGGGAGAGAGAGTGTGTTGGGAGTTGCCCAGTATAAATGTGTGTGCTGGGATTGTCCCAGTCAGAGCTCTATCTCTCCATATAAGGATGTAAAATAAATTTGAAATTTCTCTTGCAAGAGTCTCAGGCCCCGTCCACACGAAGTCAAACCCTGGCCTAAACGCACAAATTTTTCACCAAACCAGCTTCTCATCCATACCAAGCCGGCGTTTCGGGGGTCTGTAAACGATCTTTTTTTTATTCAGCCTTCACAGTGGGAAGATTTTGAAACGGCGTTTTCGCGTTTCCATCTTTAAGCTCTAACCGCATTTTTTTTCTTACACGCATGCGTCATAGCGTCGCCTCTAAACACGCATGCGCGACACAGTATCACAACAACAATGGCGCCGTACTGTGTTGAATGGTTGCTGCTCATGCTACTCACCCTGCTGTCGGGCTTACAACAGAATCTTCTTCTTCTGGAATATCTCCAGGAAGAACAGAGCAATATCGACCACATAGTTCAGCACCTGAATTTGACTGAACCACGAAAATGGACCCGCAGGGCAACCATGTATAGATATTACTGCGCATGCCCAACATTTCGTCGCCTAATTTTGCTTTGGCACCACAGCGCCACTTACAGGCCTGGCATACATTTTGCAGCGTTTTCATGCATTCGTGTGGACGATCACATTTATTTTACGTCTCCGTCTTTACGACAAACGTTCTGGAAAATATTAGCGTTTCGTGTTCGTTTTGACTTCGTGTGGGCGGGGCCTCAGTTTCTCCACAACTTCACAGGAGTTTCAGAAACTCAGAGGGATTTTCTCTAAACACAACATGCCAGTGAATTTCAAACACAGCGACAGACAAAAACGGGTCGATCTCAAAGACAGAGCCGAACCAAAGCTGAGCGCTGTTGTTGATGCGGTGAGGAATGCTCAGACTCCCACATGGGAGAAACCAAACACTTGGCGCAACACAGGAGGGTCGGCAGCACTGAGCGCGATGTTCCGCTTCACAGTGGCACTGCAGGAACAAGACGCACTCCTCTGATGACAGAAATGTTTATTACCGTCTGGAATGTCAGCAGCAGGAGGGGCCTCCATGCCAGAGCTGCTCTAAAGCTGCTCTAAAGCTAGCCCACAGAAAGTATCAAATGTTTTCAGAAAAACGTTTTCAGTCCGGTTGCCTCTGGTTTGAACCTGTTTTGTGGTTGCCATCACCCAAATGACTGAGAAATGAGGCATAAATTCAATCTGGATGACTCAGCTTCACCTGAACCTGCTTCGCTGTCCCTCGTTCAGCTCAGCCAATCAACTCGCAGGCCGCGCCTTATCCAAAGCCAATCGTCTTTCCAGATCCTCTTCTTTTACCTGCTGACCTAGCTTCTCTCTCAGACACTAGCAAACTTTCACCCACCTCCCCCATCTCCTCCCTCACTCCCTCATCCTCCTGCTTATTCCACCATCTGGGGGACGACTACTCTAAACATCTTCTAGGTTACGTATGTTAATTCACAGCATTCAATTATTCAGCCGGGGTCTGAGCACCAAAGAGCCTAATTTGTTTATATCTTCATCTGCTTCTGTCTCCTTGAACCCCAGTGGGCCTCAGCAGATGGCCGCTCACACTGAGCCTGGTTCTGCTGGAGGTTTCTTCCTGTTCAAAGGGAGTTTTTCCTCTCCACTGTCGCTACAAGCATGCTTAGTGTGAGGGATTGCTGAAGAGTCAATGAGTCGATGCAATCAGCTGGTTTTCCTTAAATATAAATATTTTGAAATATGATTGTTTCCTGTATAACTAGATTTTCCCTTTGTGAGTCTCCAGGTTGAATCTGTTCAGGTAGACCTCAGAATTTCTAAATCCAACCTGAACCTGTCTGAAGCAATGGGACGCTAGATTGCAAAAGTATTTATATCCCTTAAAGTTTTTAAAATCTAGTTAGATTGCAAATACAAATTCAGTCTAGTTAGGAAAGACAAACACTTAAAGCATCTAAGTTCAGGGCAGGGATGATGTTTGATCTGTGAAACAGACTAAAATCCTATAATCCACAGATAAAGCTGCCATTCTGGCATGATCCTTTGTTTTGGTCGTTTCCTTGGATACTCCATGTTTTTCTACCTTTCTCCAGTTGCTGCCATTTTATTTGACAAGTTTATAGATAAGCTATTTAGTTCTTTATTAGTTTCTATGTGTATTTGATCATTTTAATATTTGTTAGGTCATTCTGCCTCAGCTGTCTGTCCAAATTATGCTCCGCTGTTTCTTCTTCACATGATTGCTCTTACTTGCTTTCCAATCATTTCCCACTGTATATAAGCTGTCTGGTTCTAATTGTTTATGGGCTTTTTGCCAAACTCCCCCCCCCCCACCCATGGTGCCTGGATGCACTTTGGTCCAGCAAACAACCATGGCATCATGAAAAAAGCTTTGGGTTTCAGTAATCATTCGTTTTACTGGATAAAAAAAGGAATTCAATGTGTAAAAAAATTCTGTGTTTAAAATACAGCGTTAAAAAGAATTATGTGCTTAAAATTCAGTGCTAAAGAAATCTGTTAAATATTCGCAGCTAAACAGAATTGTGCTAAAAAAAAATGTGTTTTTAAATTTGGTGCTAAAAAAATCTGTTTAAAATATGGTGTTAAAAAACTTAGTGTTTAAAATTTGATGCTAAAACAATTATGTGTTTAAAATTTGATGCTAAAACAATTATGTGTTTAAAATATGGAGAAATTCGGTGCTAAAAAATGTCTTTAAAATTCTGCGGTAAAAAAAAAAATTGTACAATCATTACATCAGCTCAGCGATGTCAAATCATACCTGGAAACCACGTATTTCTTTCTTCTTTATTACCTATAGCCAATGTCGTTCCATCCTCGATCTTCTTGGTGAAAACGTTGCATGGACCTCATGTTACGGGAGCAAGATGAGAAGGACAAACATGGCGATGAAGGCTGATAGGTATGGTGAACGTAGAGAAACCCAAGGGGGAGAGAGAGAGGAATGGGAATATTCTTGTGAGCTTTTGCTCCCCACTGACAGCGAGGGATGATCTGAGGACAATCTGCATTCAGGGGGAAACATTTAACTGGTTAACAGCTCACTTCATACTGTCCTGCTAAAGTATTTTCATGCTTTCAATGTCTTCGTTTGCTACTTCAATTTTACGGATTTCCATATTATTGACCCAAAGTGTTTAAAAACTGAAGCTAATCAGGCCATGAGGTTTACAGGAACCTTTTCCAAAAATAATCTAATATTTATTGCCGGCAAATATAATCATCTGTAGACCCATAGATATTAATACGTAGACGTCTCATTGGACGCTGTTGGCAGCGAGGCTGACGTGCCTACAGGGCGGCCATCTTGGATCAGACTACAGTTCAGTCAGCTGCTGTCAGAACGAACTGGAGGCGCCTTAGATCTCGTTTTAATCCCATGAAAGACGAGTCAGAGATATTAAAATATTATAATTATTATAACATTTTCTCATATTTATAAATTATTATAAAAAAACATAGTTTAAAAGAAAGAGTTTTCAACGAAGTTTAGACAAATTTATAAGGACAAAAGCCTTTAGTTAGATACAACATAAATTTACCAATCATTACAAGTTGACAGAAAAGTCTTTACAATTACAAAAGAAAAAGAAAAATTAACATTGAATTAATAAAAAATAAATAAATAAATAACTTTACTCTTTTGTAAATCACATTACAACAAATTTTCTCTAGATCATAATACTCATTATCCAAGAACAATCCTTTAAAATACTGAATAAAAATAAAATACTATATAAATATATAATAATTGTAAAACATAATTTCATAATATATTAATAGAAAACTTTGTGTTTATCATATTAATATTTGATTTAAACACTTTGTAAATATCTCATCTAGTTTGAGATCAGTCTAAATAGTTTTTCATCTGAATAAATATGTGTAATTTAAGAAAAGGTAATTTAAAAAATATGTTTTGTCTATTAAAGGGTTGTGATGATTCAGAGATTATCGTGATATTATCTCTGACTCGTCTTTCATGTTATTATAATTAGATCTAAGGCGCCTCCTGTTCATTCTGACAGCAGCTGTCTGAACTCTGGTCTAATCCAAGATGGCCGCCCTCTAGGCACGTCGGCCAGCGTCCAATGAGGCGTCTACGTTTATAATGTCTATGTGTAGACCAACCTTTTTTCTTTCCATTTGGATTTATGGCTATAAAAACTAAGCCGCATTGTTTGTCTCGGATATCTGGATAAATCTCACGGTTATTGGAGGCTCATAAAATCTATCATTTCTTATTCTTTTGCTATTCCTTATTTTCATTTCTGAAAGGTGGCAACTCTATAATCTCAGAATGAATAGAAAACTAAGGCTGTTGTTTAAGATTTTTTCATATCAAACGTATAAAAATGTTTGGAGGTTTTTGTAATGTGACAAAAAACTCAATATGAGACGATGGCAAGTTAAAACCTATTAAATCGATATATAATATCAGCAGACTTCAAAAACATCTAAGGGAAACAACAGTTCAGTATTTACAGGCAGTGGCGGCTGGTGGAGTTAAACAGCAGTCTATGGGTGAGAGGCAGAGTCAACCTGGACAGGTTGCAAGTTGAATTCTGTTCTATTCAGTCTGTCACAGAGCAACACAGACACACAACTAATCACACCTGAGACGATCTAGAGAAGCCGATTAACCTAACAGTCCTGGTCTTGGACAGTAGGAGGAAGCTGGAGTACCCTGAGAGAACCCGCGCATGCACACTCCATGCAGAAAGACCCTGAGCAGGGAATCGAACCCAGAACCTTCTTGCTGCGAGCTATAATTGCAACAAACTGCGGCACCGTGCAGCCCTAGATAGGATCATCTAAAGTAAATGCAACTTTCTGCCATGTTTACGTCTAAAAAGTTGTTAAATAAAACCATTGCTCACCAAAGTATTTGTGCGTAAACGTCTGCAATCCATCCTGCACCACCTTCTCCAGACCAGTGTCCTGAGCAATCCATTCTGTGTTCTCCAGCTTCCAGACCAACGCTAGCGTCGTCATCACTGACGTGTGGAGGTCGAGCGGCTCCAGGAGTGACCTTGAAAGCTCCCTTCTCCGTGGACTAATGTGAGCGGTCACAGCATCAATGCCCTGTTTCTCAGTCAGAGTGAAAATATAGTACCCTGTTAGGAGCTCACTGAGGGCCGGGGGCTCCTCTGATGCCGGTAAGTTGCTGAGGTGCATGCCCAGTATAACTCCATCCATGCCACCGTTGATTAGAGCGTCAGTGGCAAGAGTAGCAGGACGAGACAGCTTAAACACCTTCGGCTGCTCCACGCTGTCCCAGCAGCCGTTGGGCCCCAGACGCAGAGATGGTGGGATGTCCTGGAGGCTGAGGAATGACAGGCCCAGCGTCCTGCCAAGGGTTAAAGCGAAGATCCCAAGAGCTTCCGTTCCCTCCATCTTGGCTTTCAGTCCCGATTCAATCCCTAAAAGTAGAGGAGCCAGAGCGACTGTGGTGCCGTCAGGAGCGAGGACCACCCCCCTCTCCTCTCCATGGTCAGTCACTATGTGGTGGATAGCCTTGTCAAAGAAGCTGAAGGATGTGGTATTTAGGATGCATCCCTCTAAGCCTTCTGTTTCACTCAGGTTATATGACGCTCCCAGGAAATGGATGGTCATCGGATCGTCATGGCCGGCGGTCCTCCGCAGAGCTCTAACCAGAGCCAGAGGTGACAGACCAGGGTAGAAGTCTTCAACCTGCTGCACAGCTTGGATGAAGCTCTCCATGTTGCGTAAGTGGACACCTGAAAGAGATGCAACCAGTTTAAAATCTGGAAACTAAACATTTTTCACCACTGTGGGATGTTACAAAATCACAGATTACTAAACTGGGAAAACTGGTCTGATCTATAAAGTAATTTCTGGTTTCTGACCTTCCTGTCATGGTTTTGGTTCTTTTTAAATTTGATCTTTGAGTTTTCATGGGTTTTATTTATATTTTTGTTTTCTGGTTATTTTTGATTATATTTGAGTTTTTAGGTATTTCTTGTTTGCCCTCTGCTGCCCTCTTGTGTCAGTCTCCTTCTCCTCGCTCCCTTCCTGACTCCTCTGTTCACACCTGCTCCCAATCTGCTGATAGTCTGCTCTTTGTTTCTCTCTCCCATATATACACCTCCTGCTCAGTCACTGTTAGCTGGTTTTTCATCATTTCATCGCCTTCAAGTGAGTTTTATGTTTTTGGATTTTTACGTTCGTTACCCTCTTTGGTTCATTAACTCTGCAATTAACCACCTTCAGCTTCAGTTTCTGCATTTGGGTCCTCCTCTCAAACCTCCACCCACTGTGGCACTTTCAAACATCTGATTACAGCAGAACCAGAGAAGCAGAGAGGGAGATTTTATTCGACCAAACTGTCTTTTCTGTTTGAGCTGAAAAGGATCCAACCAAAACCTCAATGCAAACATTAAAGATGCAGCTACAGAAATGATTGGCAGTCAGAGCTGCAGACTGACATCAGCCTTTTGCTGCCCCCCGCTGACGCCTGCATTCTGTCTTTGTCTGTATAATTGTGGATGTTTTGTGTTTTTCTTCTGCGCATTTTAGCTTAATGTTGTAAATACGTAATCTTACTTCTATTGTTTCAGGCTGAATTTTACCATCTGTCTACAGGAACTGCAACTTAAAAATATCCTTCTGGCATGTAGACACAGAAATGAATTATGATATATATATATATATATATATATATATATATATATATATATATATATATATATATATATATATATATATATAAAAAAACACATTACTCTTCTGTGCATTGTGGCTTTTGATTTTCCGCCTCCAGCCTAAGTCCAGTAACATTAACATTTTTAAATGCTGCATCTTTTCTTACCACCTTTTTTTTTCTTCCTCTCTAATTTTTGTGAATATGTAAAGTTTTTCTCTTAGACTCTAAGTTTTGGTTTTATTTCTTGTGACGATGAAACTAAATGATAAAAACAGAGCTTCGTTCCTGTGTTTCAGAAAAAACCAGCTGTTTGGAATCTAAATATTGCTAAATTAGTTTTTATTACCTTTCATTCATACAGGAAATAAAAGGTAATTGTTAAAATTACAAAAGGGAAAAATGTATTTTCATTTTTTGTGTTTTCTTTTTTACAATAGATGCTAAATTATTTTATGATGAATATATTCTTATTCAACATTTGTTGTCATTCCCTGTTATCTAACCCCTCCCCTTGGGGAGCAGTGGGCTGTCACTGTGCGGCGCCTGGGGAGCAGTGGGGGATTAAGGGTCTTGCTCAGGGACCCAGAGTGGCAGTCTGTGGGAGTGGGGCTCAAACTCACAACCTCAGGATTCCAAGCTCTATGCCCAGACCACTATGCCGCCTCTCCACTATATTCCTTATTTCATAGTTTTACTTTGCATTTAAGTTATATTAATACTTGTTGAACACTAATGTATTGGAAACAACTATCTTCCGTATTTCCCTGTTCTTTGAAGACACCATTTTCTCTGAGGTTTATCTTTGATTCAATAAAATATCCTCTTTAGATAAATGTTCTGTTCTTGAACTAAAACTGTAAGATCAACCCAATAAAGGAGCAACAGAAGAGTTTACACTGATTAAAAACTTCTGCATCTTTATTAAATATCCACTGATTTCAATGTTGGAGTAATTAATAATCTATGAACTTCACTAGCTTACCTGCTGTCCTGCTGCAGACGGTTGAGAAGCTTAAAAAAGCAAGAACAACAAGTGAAAATGCCCGAAAAGTCATGTCGTATATCCTGGTTATCAGCATCTAAAGTCCCGGTGGGTTAAATAAGATCATATAGTTCTACTAGAATAAGCCTGGAAGAGAGATTTGAAGAACTTCTGGCATTAAACCCATTAAAGGTGGCAGGAACAGCCTGAGGGGCTTCTGAGGATTTATTCTCGTGTGTCGGTGTACGTGAATGACAGGAATGCTGTTTCCCAATAACTCTGTTTGCACTCAAATGGCTCCAAATATTGATCTGGCCTCCAGTCAAAGTCTGGTCTCCTGGTTACTGAGAGGAGCCATTATGAAGATCTGATTGTTTTATCATCGGATCTCATGTGCTTTTTCTCCTCATGAAGCTTCTTCAACTGTGACTGTTGTGCTTTTAGTTCAGTTAAAGTTTTTTTTTTAGTTTATATTGGTTTCATCTCCATTTAGTGATATTCTACTTATTTTTAGCTTTATTTCAGTTCTTAATTTGTTGTTTACCCTCTGTTGCCCCCTTAGATCCCAGAATCCCCAGGTGTTCCCAGGCCAGCGATTAAGATATTCAATTCAGTTTATTTATATAGCGTCAATTTACAACGCGTCATCTCAAGGCGCTTTACAGTTCTTTATCAAAAAGGAAAGTTTTAAGCCTAGCCTTAAAAGTAGACAGGGTGTCTGCCTCACGGACTAAAACTGGTAGTTGGTTCCACAGGAGAGGAGCCTGAGAACTAAAAGATCTGCCTCCCATTCTACTTTTAGAAATTCTAGGAACCACTAGTAAACCTGCAGATTGAGAGCGAAGTGCTCTGTTAGGAACATAAGGAACGAAGGCTCAGAGACTCTGGTCCAAAGACTATAACTTCTGTTTTATCTGCATTCAGAAGCAGAAAGTTAAGAGTCATCCAGGTTTTTCTGTCTTCAGACATGCCTGTAATCTATGTAATGGGTTAGCTTCATCTGGATTATAGACAGATATAGCTGGGTATCATCAGCATAACAGTGGAAATTAATCCCATGCTGTCTAATAACTCTACCGATTGGGAGCATGTATAAAGTAAAGAGAATTGGTCCTAGCACTGATCCCTGTGGTACTCCACAGGTAACCTTTGAGCGTGTTGAAGATCTATCACTAACATGAACAAACTGAATTCGATCAGATAGATCAGATTTAAACCAGTCTAGAGCTGTTCCTTTAATTCCAACAAAATATTCAAGTCTTTCTAAAAGAATATTATGGTCAACTGTATCAAATGCAGCACTAAGATCCAACAGGACGAGCACAGATACAAGTCCATTATCTGAGGCCATGAGAATATCATTAGTGACTTTCACCAGAGCTGTTTCAGTGCTATGATGAGCTCTAAAGCCAGACTGAAACTCTTCAAAAAGTTCATTATGGTGGAAGTGATCGCAAACTTGTTTGGCAACTACTTTCTTAAGAACTTTAGATCAGAAAGGAAGATTGGATATAGGTCTATAATTAACCAAGTCATCTGGGTCAAGAGACGGTTTCTTAAGCAGAGGTTTAATTACAGCAATCTTAAAAGCTTTAGGTACATATCCCTGTAACAGAGATACACTATATTGCCAAAAGTATTTGCTCACCCATCCAAATTATTGGAATCAGGTGTTCCAATCACTTCCATGGCCACAGGTGTATAAATTCAAGCACCTAGGCATGCAGACTGTTTTTACAAACATTTGTGAAAGAATGGGTCGCTCTCAGGAGCTCAGTGAATTCCAGCGTGGAACTGTGATAGGATGCCACCTGTGCAACAAATCCAGTCGTGAAATTTCCTCGCTCCTAAATATTCCACAGTCAACTGTCAGCTGTATTATAAGAAAATGGAAGTGTTTGGGAACGACAGCAACTCAGCCACGAAGAGGTAGGCCACGTAAACTGACGGAGCGGGGTCAGCGGATGCTGACGCGCATAGTGCGAAGAGGTCGCCAACTTTCTGCAGAGTCAATCACTACAGACCTCCAAACTTCATGTAGCTCAAGAACAGTGCGCAGAGAGCTTCATGGAATGGGTTTCCATGGTCGAGCAGCTGCATCCAAGCCATACATCACCAAGTGCAATGCAAAGCGTCGGATGCGGTGGTGTAAAGCACGCCGCCACTGGACTCTAGAGCAGTGGAGACGCGTTCTCTGGAGTGACGAATCGCGCTTCTCCATCTGGCAATCTGATGGACGGGTCTGGGTTTGGCGGTTGCCAGGAGAACGGTACTTGTCTGACTGCATTGTGCCAAGTGTAAAGTTTGGTGGAGGGGGGATTATGGTGTGAGGTTGTTTTTCAGGAGCTGGGCTTGGCCCCTTAGTTCCAGTGAAAGGAACTCTGAATGCTTCAGCATACCAAGACATTTTGGACAATTCCATGCTCCCAACTTTGTGGGAACAGTTTGGAGCTGGCCCCTTCCTCTTCCAACATGACTGTGCACCAGTGCACAAAGCAAGGTCCATAAAGACATGGATGACAGAGTCTGGTGTGGATGAACTTGACTGGCCTGCACAGAGTCCTGACCTCAACCCGATAGAACACCTTTGGGATGAATTAGAGCGGAGACTGAGAGCCAGGCCTTCTCGTCCAACATCAGTGTGCGACCTCACAAATGCGCTTCTGGAAGAATGGTCAAAAATTCCCATAAACACACTCCTAAACCTTGTGGACAGCCTTCCCAGAAGAGTTGAAGCTGTTCTAGCTGCAAAGGGTGGACCGACGTCATATTGAACCCTATGGATTAGGAACGGGATGTCACTTAAGCTCATATGTGAGTCAAGGCAGGTGAGCAAATACTTTTGGCAATATAGTGTAGATTAATCACATCTAAAATGGAGGAGGAGATCAAAGGGAATACCTCCTTAAATAACCTGGTTGGAACTGGATCTAACATCCAAGTTGAAGGCTTAGATGAAGACAATAATTTTGCTAATTCAGAAAGTTCAACTGGATCAAAGCAGTCTAAACCCAGTTCAGATTCCATGACTACCTCAGGTACAATCACGGATAGAGGAGTGCTTATGATCTTATTTTTAATAATATCAATCTTATTTATAAAGAATCCCATAAAATCATTGCTGCTAAGAGCAGGTGGAATGGACGGTTCAACAGAGCTATGGCTCTGGGTGAGTTTGGCAACTGTATTAAAAAGAAATCTAGGATTATTCTTATTCTCCTCTATTAATGAGCAGAAGTATGCTGCTCTTGCTTTACAAAGGGTCCTCTTATACAGCAGTAAACCATTTTTCCAGACTAGGAAGGACTCTCGCAGGCCTGTGGAGCGATATTTTCTCTCCAGTTTCCTAGCATTTTGCTTCAAAGTACGCAGCTCTGCATTAAACCAAGGAGCCAGCTTTCTATTTTTAATGTTTTTGATTTTCAAAGGAGTTGCGTTGTCTAAGGCAATACGCAGAGAACTAGCAACCCCATCAACAAAATCATCAACCTGTGAAGGGGAAGAAATTTACTGTTAAATACTGATATATTTACTATAAAATACTATAATTTTAACAGTAAAGTACTGTGATATGTTTACTGTAAAATACTTATATACCTGATCCAGCATGGCCCCAAGTTCCTGGGGGCCCCATAAAACTCTGTTTCCATGTGTGGTTAATACAACTATTCCTTATTTCTGCACATTAATTCTGTTTTTGATAAAAATCCTTTGGCTAAAATGCCATCAGAACGCTGATAATATTAAGTGTGTCTCAGCCCCCCCCTTCAGTGTCCACCATATTGGATCAGTCCATTTGCTGCACATGTTCAGAAAGGTCCAAACAGACAGCAGCAAACCATTTGAAAACAAACCATGCAAAGAGCAGTGTTGCCAACTTAGCGCTTTAGTCGCTATATTTAGCCACTTTTCAGACCCCTCTAGCACTTTGATTTCTAAAAAGCTCCTAGCGCCAAATCTAGAGACTTTTTTCTGCTACTGGAGACTTTGGAGACAACATCTAAAAGCAGCGAACTCTGCTCTCCAGAGCGAGTAGATTGGTAACCCCGCCTCCTGCTCTCCTCTATCTTGTCTGCTGTCATGATTCATGCAGCTATTATTTCATCCAAATGAAAAATGGAGAACAGATAAGCAGATCATGGCTTGTCTACAGTGAAAAGAAGGACTGTCACATAGTTAGTTAGTTATTCAGTTAGTTAGTTAGTTAGTTAGTCAGTTAGTTAGTCGGTTAGTTAGTTACTCAGTCAGTCAGTCTATTTTATTCCAGTAATGCTCCTCTGATGTAAACAGAACAGTTAGAAAGTGTGGTGATCACGTGCTCACCACCTCCGCCCAGTCAGCTGAGCAGATCGCAGTCACGTGACCAGCAGAGCGGAAAGGCTGGTGAGCAGTTAGAGCTACAGCTGCTGTTGTTTTAGACTTTAACAGAGTAGATTCTGTGCTTTTAAGATCTATCGACCTCTTTGAAGCTCCATGGCGGCGGCAGGACGCCGGAACTCTTCCGGTAAAATGTTTATTTACTTTCATCTCTGCTCACGCGCCTCTTTGTTTCTGCCTGTTTTCTGTTCAGGAAAAAGATCAACATGTTTTATCTTGATTTAGTTTCTGAAATGTTGGAGGAAAACTTTGTTTAATCTGCTGTAGATCCCAACAAACCTTCAGTTGATCTCAGTGTTTCTATCACCATCATCATCATCCTCATCATCATCATCATCATCAGGCTGTAAAGGAGGAATAATCAATGGATCATTATTTATACATAAAACTCATTAGTTCATGAATTTAGCTTTAATCAGTAAAAACAATAGTGAATTCTGAAATCTGAATATGTTTGGACTTTTCCTTTAAACTGGAAAACAGGCAGAGTTGGATTATTAGAGCTGAAAAGCCGATAAATGCATCCAGGAAGCAGCTGCTGATGTTTTACACACAGAGTGACGTCAGCTTGGGTTTCCCCCCATAAACTGACCATCAGTGGCTTTAATAACAGACTCACCTGATGTAATAACAGCCACTGCTGCATTTACTGTCTGACTAACTGCAAACATGGCGACTTTCTGCAGGTTTTACTAATCCAGGCTGCTGGATAATCCAGACATGTGAGTCTGTTCATGCAGAATAATTGCTCCCTTAAGCTGCTCTGTTGGTTTTTCCTTCAAGTGATTTAAATTGGCCTCATTTTCATTTCAGATAGAAAAGTCTGCTTGAAAACTAGAAGCAGTGTTTCCTCCTGCTGCTACCGTTTTTAGCTCATTTAATTATTCTCGAAGAAGATTAATAATTAGTATAAATTAACCCTCTTCCAACACGGCCTTCCTACGTTGACCTTTGAGTTAAATCAGCAGCTGCTGGTAAATGTTATGCTGTTAAAATGTTATATTGGAGGTTAAATGGTTAAACATTGCTGAACAGTAAGTAAAGTGTCTCTAACCTTCAGTATCTCTAAGATCACACTGCTGTGACATGTTTGTGCTTCCTGTTATCTCTTTAAATTCCTGCTCTCTCCTTCGGGTTTGAACCTGAGTGAAAAACCTCCATCTGTCATAAGAACTCCTCTCCTTTGAGCAGCTTCCTCGGCCTTCTTTTGTTTCCTGTCTTCACTTTTCCTCTCAAGACCAGAACAGTTCAGACTTTATGAAATCGGACATTTTTGCAATCAGAAACTCTTTCTTCCTTTTTTCTTCCTTCAGTTTGAGGCATTTATTCGTTATTGCAGCGTTTTGTTTGTTTGTCTCTGAAGGTGAAATGTTCTGGGCTCCGTGGGGCGATAATAGAAAGTGCTAAATGTGAGTTTTCTAATAGTAACTTCTTCCTCCTCAGGAAGCAGGTTCTTCCTCAGAGTGAACTCTTACCGATGGTTATGGTGCGTTCACTGACCCCCTGATTGTAAACATCATTTAGTAAAGCTGGGATCCTTTTAGCTTAACCCTTTAAAGCCAAGGGGATCATGTGTGACACATGAGTTTATGAAACTTCATCATCATCATCATCATCATCATCATCATCGGGATGTTTTTGATTTAAAACATTGATTTAAATATTCAGACACATGAAGTGAACAGAAAATGTATAAAAGATTATACCCACTAGCCTAATGTATCAGATCTGATGCAAATAAATGATCTAATTTAACTTATTCAACATTTTTCGGAAAGTTTAACGACATCCTGATTTATTTACAATAATTTCATGGTTCAGGATTTAAAGGGTTAAATGTTCGGGATAAATCTGGACGACCGGAGAGAAATAAACTCACTGCTAAAGTTTGGGTGAAACAAACTAAACTGTGTTTCTGAACCAGATTTATCCATCTCTCTTCTGGGTGGTCAGATTAGATTGCATCATGATTGACAGATTCGCAGGCAGCTCCATGACTTTATCAGCAAAGGCGACGGAGGACCAGAAGGACTGCATATTTTCAGAGAGCCGGCTTGTCTGAGCGTCCTTCGCATCAAACCTGCTCCCACTGCGGTCGGTCAGGCCGTGGCGATGGACTCGCTTTGGTGGCGTCCAGGCCCCGCCCCACTGAGAGGATTCTCCTGCAGCGCCGCCTGACTAGCAGCTGAACTCATTATGCAGAGGAGGATAATGGACTCCAGGAAAAGTGATTGATTGTGAATAGTTTTCCTTAGAGGACATCTCTAAGTCCTGTGAGGAAGTAGCCCTTTAAATGCAGCTTTTTTGCACCACCTGAAACCCAATAGTGGTAAATATTTGGCTTTAAGCCGTTTCCTCCTGCAGCTGTAGAGCTGTCTGCAGGACAGAGGTCACGACCCCATTCGCACTAAAGTGGATGTTTAACTTCACACTTTTTTTGGCTTTTCGAAATAGATGTTTAAGGAAGAACAACTTTGCTTTGAAACTCTATATGCATGATCAAAACTCAGAATAATCATCTGCTGTTATATGAATCTATATATAACCCCATCTGATTGGTGCAAAACGGCTCTAGCTCTAATTCTAACAGTTAAACAGAACATTTTTATTATTTGTTTCTGTTTTCTTCCAGCGGAGCAGAATTTAACGAGACAGAATAAGTTTATCAAAGAGTTTCATCTGACTTCAAACATTTATTTATAGCTTCTGGTTTTCCTGTTTTCGTTAGCACAGGTTAGATGCACAGAGCTAACACTGAGGCTGGTTAGTTGGGCTAATGGGGGGGTAGCTAGCTAGCCTGCAGCTAGCAGCCACTAAACGAGGCACGGTACCAAAGGAAAGGTGCAAAATGTCTTTGAAAGCAGGGAAAATGAGCCATTTTATTAACCAGCTGACAGGCAGTGCACAGCTTTAAATGGAATCAGCTGACTGCTGTGGGACGCTCATTCAGCTTTTCAGTCCAGACTCTTCTGTTTGCTTTGCTGTTGAGTTTAAAGTGGCCAAACTTTTTCTCACTCTGTCCTTTTATCAATTCTTCTTTCTGCAGCTGAAGCTGATAGATAATCACAGTTAGCATGTAGGTTTCAGCAGCGCCGGCTATCGTTAGCAGAAGTGAAAACGTTGTGCAGCAAATAACACGGTGCACCAAGCATGTCAGCAGGATTTAACCAAGCGAGGCAGATGATCTGCCTTTAGCTAATTATAGTAATAATTCTAGTTGCTCCAACCAACCCAGAATTAGTTTCAGCTCTGCAGCTAAAACACAGAGTTTGACTCGGTTAACAGGCAGCTATAAATTCAAAATAGACGTATACTAAGTTATCCCACCAGTATATTTATATGAATGCAAACATTATAAAAACACTTTATAAAAACAAAACAGAATTTAATGTCCAGGTTTACTTTTTGTCCATAAATCTTGTACTTCTGAGGCTGTGAAGGTTAATCTGTGTTTTTCATGCTCCAATATTGGGTCACAAACCTAAAAAAATATTGAAGCAGTTTAATAATCGAGAAACTATTACTTTATATATAAAAACTATTTTCTGAGAATGTGTTTATTTAAGAGCAACCATGCAAATGAACAAAGCTCTAGAAAAAGTCCACTATATTCTATTATTTTCCATGTGTATTCTAGATTGTTCGTTCTTCTTTGCCTTTTCTACAAAGTGCTTTAAATCAGTCCTAGCTGTCTTTATCCAGGCTGGATCAGATCCTGATGTTTGAACAAGGAGGCAGGATTCAATTCAATTCAATTCAGTTTATTTATATAGCGCCAAATTCACAACACATGTCATCTCAAGGCACTTTACAGTTCAACCAGATCATACAGTCAAATTGATACAAAGTTTTCTATCTAAGGAAAACCAGTTGATTGCATTGACTCATTGACTCAAATACAATCCCCCACACTAAGCATGCTTGTAGCGACAGTGGAGAGGAAAAACTCCCTTTTAACAGGAAGAAACCTCCAGCAGAACCAGGCTCAGTGTGAGCGGCCATCTGCCGAGGCCGACTGGGGTTCAAGGAGACAGAAGCAGAGATACAAAAAGCAGCTGTAAAAGGCGGCCCCGTCCAGGAAACACACAGCCAGGCAGACGAGCTCCAAGGCAGCTCCCATGCCAGAGGATGAAGAGAGCACATCCACTCAGTCACGGTCAGAGAAACAGGACCACACTGGAAAACAGGCCGATCTCCAACATCTATTAACAAGGGTGTTGATAGAAGCAGCACAGCTGATGTTTTTTTCCAGGATGACGTCACAGCCAAACAGGAACAGACGAGGCAAAGCTACTCTGAGGAAAAGCAGAGAGAGCAGAAGGTTAGAGATTGAACTAACAGATTCTGCAGAATAGGAGAACAGAGAGAGAATGAAGCAGAATGATGAAATGGGGGTCCCTATGTCCTCCAGCAGTCTAAGCCTATAGCAGCAGAACTATAGAGATAGCTCAGGATAACCTGAGCCACCCTAACTATAAGCTTTATCAAAAAGGAAAGTTTTAAGCCTAGCCTTAAAAGTAGACAGGGTGTCTGCCTCACGGACTAAAACTGGTAGTTGGTTCCACAGGAGAGGAGCCTGAGAACTAAAAGATCTGCCTCCCATTCTACTTTTAGAAGTTCTAGGAACCACTAGTAAACCTGCAGATTGAGAGCGAAGTGCTCTGTTAGGAACATAAGGAACAATCAGATCTCTGATATAAGATGGAGCTTGGCCATTTAAGGCTTTATATGTGAGAAGGAGGATTTTAAATTCTATTCTGGATTTAACAGGAAGCCAATGAAGAGAAGCCAGGATAGGAGAGATATGATCTCTCTTTTTCATTTTCATCAGAACTCTGGCTGCAGCATTTTGGATCAGCTGAAGGCTTTTAACTACAGTTTGTGGACTTCCTGATAGTAAAGAATTACAATAGTCCAGCCTTGAAGTAACAAATGCATGGACTAGTTTCTCAGCATCACCCCTGGACAGGATATTTCTAATTTTTGTAATGTTCCTCAGATGAAAGAAGGAAATTCTAGAAACCTCTTTGATAATAAAGCCTTAGCCTCGCTGCAGGCAGTTAGCCTCGCTGCAGGCAGTTAGCCTCGCTGCAGGCAGTAAGCCTCGCTGCAGGCAGTTAGCCTCGCTGCATGCAGTTAACCTCGCTGCAGGCAGTTAGCCTCGCTGCAGGCAGTTAGCCTCGCTGCAGGCAGTTAACCTCGCTGCAGGCAGTTAGCCTCGCTGCAGGCAGTTAGCCTCGCTGCAGGCAGTTAGCCTCGCTGCAGGCAGTTAGCCTCGCTGCAGGCAGTTTGCCTCGCTGCAGGCAGTTTGCCTCGCTGCAGGCAGTTAGCCTCGCTGCAGGCCGTTAGCCTCGCTGCAGGCCGTTAGCCTCGCTGCAGGCCGTTAGCCTCGCTGCAGGCCGTTAGCCTCGCTGCAGGCCGTTAGCCTCGCTGCAGGCAGTTAGCCTCGCTGCAGGCCGTTAGCCTCGCTGCAGGCAGTTAGCCCCGCTGCAGGCAGTTAGCCTCGCTGCAGGCAGTTAGCCCCGCTGCAGGCAGTTAGCCTCGCTGCAGGCAGTTTGCCTCGCTGCAGGCAGTTAACCTCGCTGCAGGCAGTTAGCCTCGCTGCAGGCCGTTAGCCTCGCTGCAGGCAGTTAGCCTCGCTGCAGGCAGTTAGCCTCGCTGCAGGCAGTTTGCCTCGCTGCAGGCAGTTTGCCTCGCTGCAGGCAGTTAGCCTCGCTGCAGGCCGTTAGCCTCGCTGCAGGCCGTTAGCCTCGCTGCAGGCAGTTAGCCTCGCTGCAGGCAGTTAGCCTCGCTGCAGGCAGTTAGCCTCGCTGCAGGCAGTTAGCCTCGCTGCAGGCAGTTAGCCTCGCCGCAGGCAGTTAGCCTCGCCGCAGGCCGTTAGCCTCGCCGCAGGCCGTTAGCCTCGCTGCAGGCAGTTAGCCTTGGAGCTAAACCAGGTCCTGGAGAAACACAGGGTGAAGCGTCTGTCTTTGGACTGATGATTAATGTTGATGTTTGGTTTCATAGTGTGTTTAAAATAACACAGTGTTGCTTTAAGGACTTTGTTTGCATGGAATCAGTTCATGTTTTATTTAGCTCCATGCATGGGCGGACTGCTATGCTAAGCTAAGCTATGCTAAGGTTTTACTTCATTGTTATTAGTGTATTTTTCATCATGCATTGTTCACAGCTTTTAAGCGCTGCTCCAACCTGTGAACCTGAAGGAAAACCCGCGTTAGCAAACTCTGACAGTCGGCCGTTCCTTTGCAGCATATAATCCCAATCCTGTAGCTGCCATTTTTAAATCCTGCATCACAAACAGACGGATGCACGCGCTCTCCTGAGGATTCGTCTTTGCTGATATTAGGCAGCGTTCAGGAAACAAGGAACCCAAAAAAGAAGCAATTTCCTGGTGGATTGCTTCTGGTTGCAGAATCTTTCTGACTGTTGATGATCAAAGTCTCTCATTTCTATTTTATTCTTAGTGAGGTTAGAGAAACGCCAGTGAATTCATTTTGCTCTCCGTATCATAATCTGCAGATCAGCATTATGTATCATTTTAGCAGCAGTGGGAATAGTTTCCTGATTATTGATGATAACTGATTAAATTGGTCAAAGTGTTTTCTGTGTCATTTAAACATTCAAATCAAACCGCATCTCTTCTCTTCAGCTCCGTCTCACTTCTCCTCCTTCATACGGCGACAGCAGCAGACGCACAGCGAGCTGCAGGTTCTGCTTTCAGAGTTTCTCTCTCGCTATGTGGGAGTTTCCACACCAGCGATCAGGAGGAGGGACGGCTGCAGTCAGACTTCAAGCTGATCACTGCTTATTGAAGCTGACCTGTGCTGCAGGTGGAACACCTTTAAAGGAATCTGCTCCCAGGTTTAAAAGTTTTAGGCCTAACCTAAATTAAATCTGTCAAAGAAGATGGAGCCAGCAAGACCAGCGTTCCACCTTCTGCCCATTCTGGCTGTTTAACCAACAACGACTGGAATCTGGTTGGCTTGTTGCGTTTGATCCTCAGTAGGAGATTTCTGCACCGATGAGGGATTGCTGACATTTTTTTACCCAGAATCGTCCCAGAGAATCGTCCCAGAGAAACGTCCCAGAGAAACGTCCCAGAGAAACGTCCCAGAGAAACGTCCCAGAGAAACGTCCCAGCAGCTCCAGCGCCGTGTTTACATCTGCTCCGCTGTGGAAACCTGCTGAAACGTTTCAATAACAAAATTTTTACAGTTTCTTTCTGTTTCTCTCTTCACCTAAAGTCTACGACGGAGTATTAGGTCCAGGCTCCAGATTATTTCTTTTTAATACCAGAATAAAGTCATAACATTCAGAGAATAAGATTATAAGATTATAAAGGCATTATATTATGAGAATAAAATCATAACATTCAGAGAATAAAGTCACAAAATTATGAGAAAAAAGGAAAAATGACGAGAATGAAGTCATGAAACCTTAAGCAGTTTCAGAAAGAAAGCTTCCAGTTCCAACCAGCAACCTGAGGCAGAAATACTCCTTACAATTTCCTGCTGTTTTGCTAAAAAACAAAATATTTCCTTATTTGGGAAAATTATGCAAAACTTCACAACTTCCTCATTTTAGGGAAGAGTTGTCATAAAATACAACTTTATTCTCATAATATTAGGACTTTATTCTTGTAAATTTGTGACTTTATTCTCATAAAGTTACATCTTTATTCTCAGAATTTGACGTTTATTCTTATTATTTTATGAATTTATTCTCGTAATTTTACGTCTTTGTTCTCAGAATTCTATGACTTTATTCTCATGAATATACGACTTTATTCACATTATTTTATGACTCTGTTGTCATATTTTAAAAAATCTCTAGCCTGGCGCTAACACTCTGTCCTAAAGGTCGGCTCTCAAAACAACAAACTAACCGATAATAATTCGGATTATTACCTAATTGTTGTAGATGAAAAGAAAATTCATTGATTCTCTACAAACTTTCTGTTATTTAATATTTTCCTGCACAAGTGAATTATTTTTTTTGGATTAGTTGGTTGATAGACATAGATATTAGATATTTGAGCAAAGTGCATCTAGTTTCTTTAAATCGAATGATATGCGTTGTTTAATGCAGCATTAAACATTTCTGAAGGAAAAATGGTGGAAAGTTTGGAAATTCATGGAAGTTCAGCTAATTTATTAAGCAGAAGTAGTTTTATAATATTTTCCCAGGCTGCTCGATAGCGGCGGTAAAACCCCACCTTCACTTTCTGAGCTATTAATTAATTAAGCTATTAATCAATAAATCAGTTAATCAAATTAGTTTCTGATCATTTCATGTAAGGAGAATCTGGGATTTTTTCCATCCATCCCCTCCTCGTCCAATCAGCTCATTGCTTTTTGTTCATAACTGATAAACTGCTAACAGCTGCTAACATTTACTGAGCTCTATTTGCTTTGTTTTATTATATTATATTTCACAGCTTAAATATTGTTTTCCTTTAAAATAAACTCTCACATCATTTGATTTTTTTAACAGCAATTTATCAGTTTTAGACTTTTAGGCCCATTTTTATGTAAACACCTGAGAAAATGTTGCTTGTTTTACGATTGGCTTCTGCAGTGAATGGAAGCGGAAACTCTAGTTTTCAGCGGGGGGGGGGTATTTATTTTTGAAACCGTGAATCTTTCTCTATTTTACGCCACTTTATTTTGTTAGTCAATGAAAATCCAATAATATTCATGGAGTTTCTTGCTGGGTTGTGATTTAATGGGAAGCAGATAATAAACACATTCACTGTAAAAACGAAGCATTTATTCTGTTAACTTTTCCATTTTTTATTATTTCCCCAGAGGAACAAGCAGGCCTGTTCTCCTCGGGGACCCACTATGGCTCCACAGAAAGCAGCAGCAGCAGAACGCACGATCACCTGGCAAACAGCAAGCACAGCTTCCCCCCGTCGGCCGCCGCCCACTGGGTCGGCGCCGATCGCGAGGAGGAGGCCATCCGCAGGAAGCTGAAGTACTTCTTCATGAGTCCGTGTGATAAATATCACGCCAAAGGACGCAAACCCTACAAGCTGATCCTGCAGCTGCTGAAGATCATCATAGTCACGGCTCAGGTACTGGGATTCCATTCTATTCAGTCTATTTCTATAGCTCCAATTCACATCATGTCATCTTATTGCATCGACTCATTGACTCTTCAGCAATCCCTCACACTAAGCATGCTTGTAGCGACAGTGGAGAGGAAAAACTCCCTTTGAACAGGAAGAAACCTCCAGCAGAACCAGGCTCAGTGTGAGCGGCCATCTGCTGAGGCCCACTGGGGTTCAAGGAGACAGAAGCAGACATAGAAAAAGAAGCATAGATACAAAAGGCAACTGTCAACCAGCTCCACAGGCGGCCCCGTCCAGGAAACACACAGCCAGGCAGACGAGCTCCGAGCCAGATCCCATGTCAGAGGATGAAGAGAGCACATCCAGTTAGTCACAGTCAGAGAAACAGGACTACACTGGAAAACAGGCCAAGCTCCAACATCTAGAAACAAAGGTGTTGATGGCAGCAGCACAGCTGATATTTCTCTCCAGGATGGAGTCACAGCCAAACAGGAACAGACCAGATGAAGCTACTATGAGAAAAAGCAGAGAGAGCAGAACGTTAGAGATTGAACTAACAGATTCTGCAGAGTGGGAGAATAGAGATAGAATAAAGCAGAATGATGAAAAAGGGGTCCCTATGTCCTCCAGCAGATCCTATAGCAGCAGAACTATAGAGATAGATCAGGATAACCTGAGCCACTCTAACTAGAAGCTTTATCAAAAAGGAACGTTTTAAGCCTAGCCTTAAAAGTAGACTTAACCTTCTCTTTAACTCTGAATAACAAATAAAGACGGAGAAATAAACCCGGCTTCACCTGCTTTCACATTCCTGTCCAGCTTTTCTGTTTTGCAGACATTAGATCAGTCCTTCCTGATACCAACTTCTGCTCCCTCCCTCCCCCTCAATCATGTCTTCTGTCTGCAGTTAGCCGTGTTTGGCATTAGCAACCAGGTGGCCGTCACCTTCAAGGAGGAAAACACCATGACGTTCAAGCATCTCTTTCTGAAAGACTACGATCCGTCATCAGATGACTCCATTGCTGTTTACACCCAGCAGGACGTCTACGACCACATGTTCTACACCCTGGAGAAGGTAAGAGGAACCCTAGCCTGCTGACGTTGACAAATCAGACGTCTCGGTTTCCCTCACTGCCTCTGATGTCATCCCTCAGTACCTCAGCTTACCAGAGACCACAGTGGGGCGCTACGCATACGTCTACAACGTGAGTGGAAACGGCAGCGCCCTCTCCCTCTGCCAGCAGTACTACAAGAAGGGACAGATCGATCCGGCTAATGATACCTTCAACATAGACCCTCAGATTGTTACAGGTGCGCTAACCGTAGGATGATAGCGGCGTGCTAACCGCACGCCTCTGAATGAACGCTGCAGTTTAAGGAACTGTTCTATTGAGACGGAGATGAAAAGAGATCCTGGCTAAATGAAGCTGCTCCACATGTTGTTAAACCTTAAAGGTTGCAAATGTTTTAAAAGGCCAAACCTCTCAGATTAAATACAGAATGAACATGAACAACTCTGTTCCTGCTCCCGAGAGGGAACGCCTATTTAATGTGTGCGAGAGCGTGCACATTTCTCCTCGTGCACATTAAACTGAAATATTTAAAAATCACTTAACTTTTTTTTATTCTAATCCTCTTCTGTATAAATGTGACTCTAATGTTACTATTAGTTATAAAACTAAGAAAATGAAGTCTAATGAAGTTATCATCCATGAGTGTAGAAAATGTTCCTTTAATGCAGCAAAGCTTCTGTTCTTAACATTTTTCCTGCATTACTTTTACTTTTATACTTTAAGTCGTTTTAAAAATGGTAATTTTACACTTTTAAAAGCTGAAGTTGATCCTACAGTTTTTAAACTGTTGGATTTATGCTGGAAGAATAAACATTTATTCTTTGGTGACCTGCTGACCTGTTTCTGCTCAGCTGTTGGTGGATTCATCAATCCCTGGAGGATTCAGCCTGCAGGCCACGTTACCTTCAGCAGATTAAATAAAAATGATTGGAGATGTTTTGGGATCCCAGTCAGTTAACAATGTAAAGCTGTTCTGCAGCCATGACGGTTGATCTTTAGACCTGCTGGTACCAGCGCCGTGTGAGAATCACTGGACAGGATTTACCTGCAGAAAGATAAAGCAGAGAACAGAGACTTTAAACATGTAGGTCCTCAGAAACGGGGGAAACTCTAAAGCTCATCAGCGCCATTAAGCGGAGTGAAGTCCATCATGTGTGAGGCTGGGCGATGGGCGGCCATGTTTTACTGGGACGCGGCGGCAGGCAGATTTCTGAGGCGTGAGAATAAACATAAACCAAACGGCTGGAAAACAAAGACCGCCACGGACAAACCGCCCGACTGATGCGATCCTCCGCCACAGGTTGGGAAGAACGTTCAGAAGGTTTCTGTGATGTCACCAATGATGTCACCATGTTCAGCTGAACACATTCTCTGTTAATTTAATCCAGGATTTCCTTTTTAACTCATTAACTTCTTTGTAATCTTTATTTTTCCTCTCAGAGACGTGAGGCTGAATCTTTTTCATTCCAGACTTAAACATTAGAGACATGTGAAACCTTTCAGCAGCGCTACATGTTGAGCTTTTAGACTCCATCCCTGTATTAAACTCTCCTCTCACACATAATGCTGTAATTAACGCGTCTTTATCCTGACCTCCCTGCCTGTCGGCTTCGTTTCCAGACTGCGTCGGCGTGAATCCGCTCTCTGTCCCACAGACTCAGCTCACCAACAGCTACAAGAACTTCACACTCAAGTTCCACAAGTAAGGCTTCATCTTTCTCATGGTTTCTGTCTTTGTTGGCGAGTCGTCGCTGGGCTGCTGTATCTGATGAGGGTCACATTCGCTCCCTTATCTGTTTGCAGATGGTTCCTGGTTTCATGGATGTTCTCCGTTTGTTTCAGGTTGATCAACGTCACCATCCAGTTCCAGCTGAAGGCCATCAATATACAGACCATCATCAACAACGAGATCCCAGACTGCTACACCTTCCACATCACAGTAGGTTCAGGTGAAGGTTGTCGGAGCAACTCTCATCTCTCTGCTTCCATACGAAGGAAACGTTTAATCCTCTCAGGATGGTTAGTTTTGCACGGTTTGTGTTCTGCTTCCAGATAGTGATGGACAACAAGGCTCACAGCGGAAAGGTGAAGATCTGGTTAGAAAACCGGGCGGTGATCAGAGAATGTAAAGATCCCAGCGTCTCTGGACACGGTGGGTCACTGCAGCCGCCGTTTCCTGTCATCAGTTAAACACTCTTCACTGATAGAGAATAAAAAACATTTTGTTTTTATTCCTGTTTTTGTAAAGCTTTGATCTTAAAGGGATTCATTTAAACTTTTAGTTTTTAGAGTTTATTCTGCATCAGTCGCTTCAGTTAGCATAACTAGCATCACATCATCCAGACATGGCTGCCGCCAGATGCTGCTTCGCCGGACTGTCGGTCAAAGACGCACCAAAGGACGGCAGGGTTCAGAACATTTCTGTAAATATTTTTATTGCTAGTCTGCCCTGTTTGATAGAAAATAAAATGATGTGTTTAAGGTTCCATAAAATTAAAACCGTTTGTGGAGGAAATAAAAATGGCACTAAAGCTCCTCCTCAGGGGATTTATGGTAACTTAGGTGGCTGTTTGACGTACTTCTATGGTCGGTAGCGGCCAGATGGGATTTTATCGTTCTTGTTGCATAATCCAGGTCCAGAAAGTAGGAAACAGAGATTAGCTCCAATTATTTGCAATTTCAGTCAACAGGATAAAGGAAAACTAGGCGGAACTTTCTGGACCTGGATTATTTCTGGACCTGGATTATCCTCCTCAACTGCCGCGTCATTAAACAACATAAATTAAAGCATCTTTTGGAGGAATCATAATCTGAGGTTATATATATTAAACCTACCTCTGAACAAACGGTGATAAACTGCAGTTTAAAGCTCTATAATGGATCATAAGGAGACTGGTCACTGCTTGGGTCCCAGACGTTCTGAGTTCAACTCCCACAGACTGCCATTCTGGGTCCCTGAGCAAGACCCTTAATCCCACGCTGCTGCCCAGAGCCATGGGTTAAATGCAGTGTGGATCAAATTTAATTGTATATTAAAATCAGACAGTGGCCGTCCTGTTGAGACGTGTTCAACAGTGGAGGATATATTAAAACTCTTTCTATTGTGTGATGATGAAGATTCTTGGTCAAAGTCATTCTAAAAAAAAGTAAAAAAAAAAAAAAAAAATCCACTGATTTTTTTTTTTTTTCCCGTTTGAAGACGTTTCTCTTCCATCCAGGAAGCTTTTTCAGTTCAAAATGTCAGAATGATGTTGAGTTTGAGGCCTTAAGCCAAAATAAGTCTTGGTTTCTGGTCCAATCTATAAAGCCTTCCTGGATGGAAGAGAAACGTCTTCAAACGAGGAAACAACGTCCAGAGGATTGATTTTATTAACTCTTTGGAATCTTTCCATTGTGTGAGCTTAGAAATATGTTAGTATTTTTCAGTCAACAAAATGATGATAAACAGACAACAGTGAGACAGATCATCTGTGTGTCATTCATTCATTCTTTTAGTTTTTGTGTAAAATTTGCACCAAGAATGAAAAACCAGGAAATGTATAAATTCAGGTTTCCAACTCTGAGGTGAAGGAGACTCAGAGTCTCGGCTGAAGCTCCAGTAAAGAACATTTCCAGACTGCATCCCATGATGCTTTGAAAGTGCTTAGAAATGGAGATGTTAGAAATGTTGGAGTAAAAGGTGCGTGACGGACGTTCGACCTGAACCTGCATCCATTGCTGATGTTTCTCAGACAGATGTTCCTGCTGTTATCAGTTATTAAAGGTTTTAACGTTTCTGCGACGTCACAAACTGAGAATATAAAGCATCCAGACCTTCGCAGACCTCCACTGCTTCCGTCCCAAACTCCTAAAAACCTGCAGGTTCCTTCAGATCCAAAAGCAAAAACAGAAAGAAGATGAATCTCTTTATTAGTTTTCTCCATATGTGATTTAGCAGGTGTAGCGGGAAATCCAACCGCACAGGTTCAGATCCTGTTCGTCACGCCAAATTGAAGCGGGAAAAAAAGTGTTCAACCGTTTATTCCAGTTAAACGGACAGAGATCGATGGATTTCACTCAATCAGCATTTTATTTTATCTTTGTAAAGAGAGAACAGTTCATCTTATTGCAACGTAATCAGCCCTGATCTGATCCAGCAGCGTTCGTTCCTCCTTACTGACAATAATGGAAAGTAGTCAGAGTCAAAACTAATTACAGACACTTTGGTTAAACTAACATGTTATGAATAAACCTGAGAAAGAATCTGGTTTGTTATGAGAAGAAGGAATATCTGGTCTACAAACAAACTTTTTTGTGAGTAAATAGGATGAATGAATATATGAAATAAACTTAATTCTGACCACAGAGGAAAATGGAAAACATGTTTTTTTTCTAGATCTATTTTTATTTTTTTCTTGTTTTGTTTTTTTTTTTTTTCATTTTTGGTTTCAGTTTAACAAACTAGTTAAACTAATCAAAGATTCGCGGCTTGATAATGATGGTTAATATTGCTTTTTTTTTAAAACTATGCCTCAGTTCTGTGTTTATCACTAAACACTAGTTTAGATCCAAGCTTTTCCTGTCTTAGAACGGCCTAGTCAAAGTTCAAAGTTCAGTCCAACGAGGAACCCGCCTCTGTGATCTGCAGACATCTAAAGTCCAACCGTGTTTCCACAGCTGAGAACTTCACACGCGTTGCCTTCGACGTGGCCGTCTCTCTGGTCTGCCTGCTGTCTCTGCTCCTGTGCGGACGCTCCGTGCTGCGCGGCATCGTGCTGCAGCAGGTATGACTGATGACGATGAGGATGATGATGGTGATGATGATGATGATGATGGTGATGATGGTGATGATGATGGTGATGATGGTGATGTTGGGCTCCCTCTACAGGAGTTTGTGCAGTACTTCAGGGAGACTCTGGACCGTAAGGTGTGCTGGGCGGACCGGCTGGAGTTTATCAACGGCTGGTATATCCTCCTCATCATCAGCGACATCTTCACCATCACCGGTAGCGTCATCAAAATCGGCATCGAATCAAAGGTCCCGCATCACCACAACAAACTATGGGTTTTATTTGCTTATTAGTGCAGTAAAAGCATGATGCTGCCACCGCCGTGTTTTATTGTAAATAATTGGTGCAGATGTTGTTTTTCTCCTGGCAGATGTTCTCATCCTATGACATCTGCGGCATCCTGCTGGGAACCTCCACTCTGCTGGTGTGGGTGGGAGTCATTCGCTACCTCACCTTTTTCCAGAAGTACAACGTAAGTCCCCCTCACTGCGGCTCTTATGTCGGAGAACGTTCCTGTAAACACCTCCATGATTCCGGCAGATTCTCATCATCACCCTCCGAGCGGCGTTCCCCAACGTGATCCGCTTCTGCTGCTGCGTGGCCGTCATCTACCTGGGCTACTGCTTCTGCGGCTGGATCGTACTCGGACCGTATCACGTAAAGGTGAGATTAGAAAACCTCTCTGACACGACTGGAGGGACCGGGATGGTTTCTGGTGACGAATGGAAAACCGAAAACCGCCAGTATTCTGAGATGCTGTTCAGAAGCAAACCATGCTGGAGGCCTGGATCCAGACCTGCATCCAGACCTGCATCCAGACCCGCATCCAAACCTGCATCCAGACCTGCATCCAGACCTGCATCCAGACCTGCATCCAGACCTGCATCCAGACCTGGATCCAGACCTGCATCCAGACCTGCATCCAGACCTGGATGCAGGTCTGGATGCAGGTTTGGATGCGGGTCTGGATGCAGGTCTGGATGCAGGTCTGGATCCAGACCTGGATCCAGACCTGGATCCAGACCTGCATCCAGACCTGGATCCAGACCTGCATCTAGACCTGCATCCAGACCTGGATCCAGACCTGCATCCAGACCTGGATCCAGACCTGCATCCAGACCTGCATCCAGACCTGCATCCATGGACCTGGATCCAGACCTGCACCTAGACCTGCATCCAGACCTGCATCCAGACCTGCATCCAGACCTGCATCCAGACCTGCATCCAGACCTGGATCCAGACCTGCATCCAGACCTGCATCCAGACCTGGATCCAGACCTGCATCCAGACCTGCATCCAGACCTGCATCCAGACCTGCATCCAGACCTGCATCCAGACCTGCATCCAGACCTGCATCCAGACCCGCATCCAAACCCGCATCCAGACCTGCATCCAGACCTGCATCCAGACCTGGATCCAGACCTGCATCCAGACCTGCATCCAGACCTGCATCCAGACCTGCATCCAGACCTGCATCCAGACCTGCATCCAGACCTGCATCCAGACCTGCATCCAGACCTGCATCCAGACCTGCATCCAGACCTGGATCCAGACCTGCATCCAGACCTGCATCCAGACCTGCATCCATGGACCTGGATCCAGACCTGCACCTAGACCTGCATCCAGACCTGGATCCAGACCTGCATCCAGACCCGCATCCAGACCTGGATCCAGACCTGCATCCAGACCTGCATCCAGACCCGCATCCAAACCTGCATCCAGACCTGCATCCAGACCTGCATCCAGACCTGCATCCAGACCTGCATCCAGACCTGGATCCAGACCTGCATCCAGACCTGCATCCAGACCTGGATCCAGACCTGCATCCAGACCTGCATCCAGACCTGCATCCAGACCCGCATCCAAACCCGCATCCAGACCTGCATCCAGACCGGCATCCAGACCTGCATCCAGACCTGCATCCAGACCTGGATCCAGACCTGCATCCAGACCTGCATCCAGACCTGGATCCAGACCTGCATCCAGACCTGCATCCAGACCCGGATTCAGACCCGCATCCAAACCTGCATCCAGACCTGCATCCAGACCTGCATCCAGACCTGCATCCAGACCTGCATCCAGACCCGCATCCAGACCTGGATCCAGACCTGCATCCAGACCTGCATCCAGACCCGCATCCAAACCTGCATCCAGACCTGCATCCAGACCTGCATCCAGACCTGCATCCAGACCTGCATCCAGACCTGCATCCAGACCTGCATCCAGACCTGCATCCAGACCTGCATCCAGACCTGGATCCAGACCTGCATCCAGACCTGCATCCAGACCTGCATCCAGACCTGCATCCAGACCTGCATCCAGACCTGCATCCAGACCTGGATCCAGACCTGCATCCAGACCTGCATCCAGACCTGGATCCAGACCTGCATCCAGACCTGCATCCAGACCGGCATCCAGACCTGCATCCAGACCTGCATCCAGACCTGCATCCAGACCTGGATCCAGACCTGCATCCAGACCTGCATCCAGACCTGCATCCAAACCCGCATCCAGACCTGCATCCAGACCGGCATCCAGACCTGCATCCAGACCTGCATCCAGACCTGCATCCAGACCTGGATCCAGACCTGGATCCAGACCTGCATCCAGACCTGCATCCAGACCTGGATCCAGACCTGCATCCAGACCTGCATCCAGACCTGCATCCAGACCTGCATCCAGACCTGCATCCAGACCTGGATCCAGACCTGCATCCAGACCTGCATCCAGACCTGCATCCAGACCTGCATCCAGACCTGCATCCAGACCTGGATCCAGACCTGGATCCAGACCTGCATCCAGACCTGCATCCAGACCTGGATCCAGACCTGGATCCAGACCTGCATCCAGACCTGCATCCAGACCTGCATCCAGACCTGCATCCAGACCTGCATCCAGACCTGGATCCAGACCTGGATCCAGACCTGCATCCAGACCTGCATCCAGACCTGCATCCAGACCTGCATCCATGGACCTGGATCCAGACCTGCATCTAGACCTGCATCCAGACCTGGATCCAGACCTGCATCTAGACCTGCATCCAGACCTGGATCCAGACCTGCATCCAGACCTGCATCCAGACCTGCATCCAGACCTGGATCCAGACCTGCATCCAGACCTGCATCCAGACCTGGATCCAGACCTGCATCCAGACCTGCATCCAGACCTGCATCCAGACCTGCATCCAGACCTGCATCCAGACCCGCATCCAAACCCGCATCCAGACCTGGATCCAGACCTGCATCCAGACCTGGATCCAGACCTGCATCCAGACCTGCATCCAGACCTGCATCCAGACCTGCATCCAGACCTGCATCCAGACCTGGATCCAGACCTGGATCCAGACCTGCATCCAGACCTGCATCCAGACCTGCATCCATGGACCTGGATCCAGACCTGCATCTAGACCTGCATCCAGACCTGGATCCAGACCTGCATCCAGACCTGCATCCAGACCTGCATCCAGACCCGCATCCAGACCTGGATCCAGACCTGCATCCAGACCTGCATCCAGACCCGCATCCAAACCTGCATCCAGACCTGCATCCAGACCCGCATCCAGACCTGCATCCAGACCTGCATCCAGACCTGGATCCAGACCTGCATCCAGACCTGCATCCAGACCTGGATCCAGACCTGCATCCAGACCTGCATCCAGACCTGCATCCAGACCCGCATCCAAACCCGCATCCAGACCTGCATCCAGACCGGCATCCAGACCGGCATCCAGACCTGGATCCAGACCTGCATCCAGACCTGCATCCAGACCTGGATCCAGACCTGCATCCAGACCTGCATCCAGACCTGGATCCAGACCCGCATCCAAACCTGCATCCAGACCTGCATCCAGACCTGCATCCAGACCTGCATCCAGACCTGGATCCAGACCTGCATCTAGACCTGCATCCAGACCTGGATCCAGACCTGCATCCAGACCTGCATCCAGACCCGCATCCAAACCTGCATCCAGACCTGCATCCAGACCTGGATCCAGACCCGCATCCAAACCTGCATCCAGACCTGCATCCAGACCTGCATCCAGACCTGCATCCAGACCTGGATCCAGACCTGCATCTAGACCTGCATCCAGACCTGGATCCAGACCTGCATCCAGACCTGCATCCAGACCTGGATCCAGACCTGCATCCAGACCTGCATCCAGACCTGCATCCAGACCTGGATCCAGACCTGCATCCAGACCTGGATCCAGACCTGGATCCAGACCTGCATCCAGACCTGGATCCAGACCTGCATCTAGACCTGCATCCAGACCTGGATCCAGACCTGCATCCAGACCTGCATCCAGACCCGCATCCAGACCCGGATCCAGACCTGCATCCAGACCTGGATCCACACCTGCATCCAGACCTGGATCCAGACCTGCATCCAGACCTGCATCCAGACCTGCATCCAGACCTGCATCCAGACCGGCATCCAGACCTGCATCCAGACCTGCATCCAGACCTGCATCCAGACCTGGATCCAGACCTGCATCCAGACCGGCATCCAGACCTGGATCCAGACCTGCATCCAGACCTGCATCCAGACCTGCATCCAGACCTGGATCCAGACCTGCATCCAGACCTGCATCCAGACCTGGATCTAGACCTGCATCCAGACCTGGATCCAGACCTGCATCCAGACCTGCATCCAGACCCGCATCCAGACCCGGATCCAGACCTGCATCCAGACCTGGATCCACACCTGCATCCAGACCTGGATCCAGACCTGCATCCAGACCTGCATCCAGACCTGCATCCAGACCTGCATCCAGACCGGCATCCAGACCTGCATCCAGACCTGCATCCAGACCTGCATCCAGACCTGGATCCAGACCTGCATCCAGACCGGCATCCAGACCTGGATCCAGACCTGCATCCAGACCTGCATCCAGACCTGCATCCAGACCTGCATCCAGACCTGGATCCAGACCTGGATCCAGACCTGCATCCAGACCTGCATCCAGACCTGCATCCAAACCCGCATCCAGACCTGCATCCAGACCTGCATCCAGACCTGCATCCAGACCTGGATCCAGACCTGCATCCAGACCTGCATCCAGACCTGAATCCAGACCTGCATCCAGACCTGGATCCAGACCTGCATCCAGACCTGCATCCAGACCTGCATCCAGACCTGCATCCAGACCTGGATCCAGACCTGGATCCAGACCTGCATCCAGACCTGCATCCAGACCTGGATCCACACCTGCATCCAGACCTGGATCCAGACCTGCATCCAGACCTGCATCCAGACCTGCATCCAGACCTGCATCCAGACCGGCATCCAGACCTGCATCCAGACCTGCATCCAGACCTGCATCCAGACCTGGATCCAGACCTGCATCCAGACCGGCATCCAGACCTGGATCCAGACCTGCATCCAGACCTGCATCCAGACCTGCATCCAGACCTGGATCCAGACCTGCATCCAGACCTGCATCCAGACCTGGATCTAGACCTGCATCCAGACCTGGATCCAGACCTGCATCCAGACCTGCATCCAGACCCGCATCCAGACCCGGATCCAGACCTGCATCCAGACCTGGATCCACACCTGCATCCAGACCTGGATCCAGACCTGCATCCAGACCTGCATCCAGACCTGCATCCAGACCTGCATCCAGACCGGCATCCAGACCTGCATCCAGACCTGCATCCAGACCTGCATCCAGACCTGGATCCAGACCTGCATCCAGACCTGCATCCAGACCTGGATCCAGACCTGCATCCAGACCTGCATCCAGACCTGCATCCAGACCTGCATCCAGACCTGGATCCAGACCTGGATCCAGACCTGCATCCAGACCTGCATCCAGACCTGCATCCAAACCCGCATCCAGACCTGCATCCAGACCTGCATCCAGACCTGCATCCAGACCTGGATCCAGACCTGCATCCAGACCTGCATCCAGACCTGAATCCAGACCTGCATCCAGACCTGGATCCAGACCTGCATCCAGACCTGCATCCAGACCTGCATCCAGACCTGCATCCAGACCTGGATCCAGACCTGGATCCAGACCTGCATCCAGACCTGCATCCAGACCTGGATCCAGACCTGGATCCAGACCTGCATCCAGACCTGCATCCAGACCTGCATCCAAACCCGCATCCAGACCTGCATCCAGACCTGCATCCAGACCTGCATCCAAACCCGCATCCAGACCTGCATCCAGACCTGCATCCAGACCTGCATCTAGACCTGCATCCATGGAGCTTTATGCTGAGTCATCACTGATCCTTCAGGTTTAGGAAAATGGTTCAGAGCTTTATAGAGCAGCCCAATAAAAGCCTTTAATGGCTTAGAAAAAATACACATTATAAACTGGAAAACAAGCTCCGCCCCTTATTGATGGAGGTCACTGAGGTCATTATTGGCCTGAAACACCCGATACTGGCCTATTCCTCTGAAAAGGCGGTCGTTAAGGTCATAGTTGGCCTGGCTGACCTGGAGAGATCAACTATCGCTGCATTGAAGGTTTTTATTTTAGAATTGTTGGTTTTTAACCCAAATTTAAAGGATAATTAAAGAAAGTAGAATTCTGCTAAAAGTTTTTTATTTTATTTATTCTTTAATTTCCGTTACAGATTTAGAGGAAGTGACTTTCATTAAAAATGACGTGTTTGATTCAAAATGAAATAAATGCTCTTAGTAATAAATTAATGAATATTTCATCCAATACAAAAAATCCCTAATAAATAAAACTAAATACAAGTTTTTTAATATAATTTTGTAATTTATTCATTTTTATCAGCAGATTAATTTATTTTACGAAATGTTTAGTGAAGTGACGTGAGGGCGGGATGATCGGTCCTGGAAGGTCTTTAATAGGTTGGAAGGTTTTCAGCCACAGTCCGTCCATCATAGATCCGCCTCTTACAGAATGAGCCTTTAGGGGTTTGGATCTCTGGAATCTGCAGTTCACCTCATTCTCACAGCATGATGCTGCCACCACCGTGCCTTACGGTGGGGACGGTGCGTTCAGGGTGCATGTAAAGTGTTGGTTTTGGAGCAGAAGCTTTAGTTTGTGATGGAACCAGAGAAGCTCCTTCCTGAGCAGCATCATGGCGTCTGGTTTATAAAGGTCGCTCTCCCTCCTTACAGTTTCGCTCGCTGTCGATGGTGTCGGAGTGCCTGTTCTCCCTCATCAACGGCGACGACATGTTTGTGACGTTCTCAGAGATGCAGGAGAGCAGCACCCTGGTGTGGGTGTTCAGCCAGCTCTACCTCTACACCTTCATCTCCCTGTTCATCTACATGGTGCTGTCTCTGTTCATCGCCCTCATCACAGGCGCCTATGAGACCATCAAGGTGAGTCCCTGACCCGTTCACCGGTTCTCCTTTTTATCCAGGTGTAGTAGAGCTCTGCTTTCTGCTTTCAGCACCAAACCCAGGAAGCGATCCACATCACCGACCTGCACGCCTTTATAGCCGAGTGTACGGACGCCCCGACCTCCGGGAAGTTCAGGGGGGTGGAGACGTCTCCCTGCTCCTTCTTCTGCTGCTGTGACAGGTCAGCTGGGTTCATTTCCAGGAGGAACATAAGCAGAGGAGCGCCGCTCTGCATCAAACACGCCTCGCCATCACTGATGTTCAGGTGGAGGGCCGGGGGGGGGGTAACATGGAGGCGGGTCCAGGTAGAGGAGAAGATCAGACGGACCAGACCATCAGCAGGAAGAGCTGCAGGGAGACTGAAGCTTAGGAGGCTTCAGCTGAATCACATCAAATGTTTCTATAAATACCTGAAGATGGTCTGGAGGAGCTCCATCAGCTCCTCCAGCAGCTCCTCCAGCAGCTGATGGAGGAGATGCTCAGGTTCTCCATCATGTTCTAGATGCTTCTATAGAGGCTTTTCCAGAACAGAGGCGTCCATCTTTATCTGCTCCTCATTTTAAATCTCTTCCTATGAAAGATTAAAAAAATTATTTTTTGCTTTTCTCCACCGAGGCTCACAGCAAACGTCCAGATCAGACTTTAAACTTCCTTCTGATTCACAATTTAGAGTTTGATCTTTAAGTTTTGATCTTTTGTGATTTTTTTTTCTTCTTCTCATTTTGACTCAATTCTATTCAGTGTATTTCTATAGCTCCAATTCACATCATGTCATCTCAGGTCACTTTCCAGTTCACCAGATCATCCAGTCAGATTGATTCAAAGTTTTCTATCTAAGGAAAACCAGCTGATTGCATCGACTCATTGACTCTTCAGCAATCCCTCACACTAAGCATGCTTGTAGCGACAGTGGAGAGGAAAAACTCCCTTTGAACAGGAAGAAACCTCCAGCAGAACCAGGCTCAGTGTGAGCGGCCATCTGCTGAGGCCCACTGGGGTTCAAGGAGACAGAAGCAGACATAGAAAAAGAAGCATAGATACAAAAGGCAGCTGTAAAAGGCGGCCCCGTCCAGGAAACACACAGCCAGGCAGACGAGCTCCGAGCCAGCTCCCATGTCAGAGGATGAAGAGAGCACATCCAGTTAGTCACAGTCAGAGAAACAGGACTACACTGGAAAACAGGCCAAGCTCCAACATCTAGAAACAAAGGTGTTGATGGCAGCAGCACAGCTGATATTTCTCTCCAGGATGGAGTCACAGCCAAACAGGAACAGACCAGATGAAGCTACTATGAGAAAAAGCAGAGAGAGCAGAACGTTAGAGATTGAACTAACAGATTCTGCAGAGTGGGAGAATAGAGATAGAATGAAGCAGAATGATGAAAAAGGGGTCCCTATGTCCTCCAGCAGTCTAAGCCTATAGCAGCAGAACTATAGAGATAGCTCTGATTCTAAACCTTTTTCTCTTTTTTTTTAGAACAACAACATATGAAGATGTTCTATTGGTGAACTGAGGATGACCGCTAGCTCACCGGCTCCCCCTGCTGTCCTGCTGGGTGTATTGCACACTTCATTCAAACATTAAACAGCAGATCAGCGTTCATGTGGTTCCAACATGCAGCAGTGAAGGAGGAGTCTCCATCAGCTGGATGTTTCTGTCTGCTGAGTCCATGAAGGACAGACTGAGAGAAGCTGCTGCTGTCTGAGCATCAGGATGACTGAAACTCGCTGCACAAACATTTCTGTTCGTTTTTAGTTGTTTTACAGCAAAACTCAGTATTTCTGTCTGTGTTGTCGGTGCAGAAACCAAGTGGCCAGAAGTGATAGAAAAGCTCTGGTTCCGCTGCTGCTGAATGTTTTTATCTTTTTTATTCCTTTTTCCCTGTTTTATAAAGTTTCCAAGTATATGCATTATTATGTCCAATTTTAGTATTACGATATAAAAATAATTAGGATAAAATGACAGGAACTTATTGATGCTGCCTGAGCATCATTTAGTGTGAAGCTCTGCATCGTCCTGCATCTCCTGTTTCAGGCCAGAGTCCTGCAGAGTCTTTCTCTAAACCATCTGCACCTGTTTCATGATGCCAGAATAATTGGAAGTTAAAATGTTTTAAAGCGACCCCCCCCTTTCCCCCACGGCGAGGCGGCCGCTGACCGTTAACTGATTGGATCTGACCTGAATAGCTGGACTCAGACTGAAAACAATGATGGAAACCGACGGCAGAGAAGAGCTAACAAAGCCTCGTCATTCTGATTCTTTTTTATGCTCTTTATTAACGTCCAGCTGCCCTTTTGAGACCTGAATAAATTAGCTTTAGCACAATAGCAGTGAAGACGCCAAGCTCTGGTTGGTCCAGGATGGACTCGTTTGTCTCCCATTTGGTCCAAAATAAGCTAAATATGGTCAGATATTAAGAAAAAAATGAAAAAGTGCCTTTTTTATCAGTGGCTTTAATGAAGGATGCTCTGTCTGTCTTTATGTTGTCCTTTATCACCAATATGTTCTTTTCTTTGCTTTAGTTTTTGTGTTGATGTGCCTGTACTTTATTTAAGTCCCAGTTTAAAGTGTTGCTGCTTTGTGTCATATCTGGTTTATAATGATCTATTCCAGTTGCTAAATTACTAATTAAAAGTTCTGGCGCCTCCATCATTTCCTCTGTTTTCTGGTTCTGTTTATTTGTTGGAGTCATGGTGTAGTTCTGCTACCTCACCAGTAGAGGGAGCAAAGGTCTCTCTGTTAGACAGCTTCTATGGTCATTTTCTATACAGGCTGTCATTTGGTTTAGTCCAGCTGTCAGACTGAATGAGCAGCTTAGCAGTGAAATGAACATTTAGATCAGCAGCAATCAGAATGGAAACAGTTTGAGAGAAAAAACTCATAGATCTGGAATTTCAGAGCATGAATATCTATGCTGCAGATCTGCAGTATGTTGCTTTGGTGTGATGCAGAGTCTGTGACGTGATTTAGAGTTTATTCAGTGTGATGGCGGTGGGGAAGAAGCTGCTGCAGAACCTGCTGGTCCTGCATTAATGCTGGGAAGCCTCTTCCATCATCATCCATAGTGGTGCTGGTCTCCAGCTGTCTGCAGACCAGCGGGGTCAAAAGTTCACATGTTTGTTACTTCAGTAGAAGTTTAGATCCTGCAGCTTAAAAACACTCTGGTAAAAGTTAAAGTATCAACTTGACCTCTTTACTCAAGTAAAAGTGAAAAAGTATGTGCTCCAAAAACTACTTAAAGTATAAAAGTATAAAGTAACCTTTAAAAAAACAGCCAGATGCCGCTATATGAACTGAAAGCTCTATTTCTATAATCCTCTGAGATAGGGCCAAGGATGAGGGAGGTCTGGTTGGTCTCCGTCTCCCGATACGCTCTCGCCTGTGTCCGACCTTTCAGACATTTCAACATCTTTTTCTGAATCCCACATTGTAGCATGGCAGAGACAATTCACGTTAGCAGTTTGAAGAACACCTGCTGGCTTCTGATGATTTCCTTTAGCTAACCAATGAGTGTTTGCCTTCTATGACTCATCCAATCACACTAGTTTTCACTGGATGTGGGCGGAGCCAATGATCTGCATTGGATGGAGCACATGACGGGAAATAAAGATTTAGAAACATTAAACCGAAGCCAAGAGGAACGAGTAACGATTGATTTAAAAATGTAAGGAATAGAAAGAACAGATACTGGTGTGAAAATGAGTAGAAGTCAGAAGTAGGAAGAAAAATAAGTAATGGAGTAAAGTATAGATACCTAAAAGTTTACTTAAGTACAGTAAGGAAGTATTTGTACTTTGTTACTTGACACCCCTGTCGGGGGGGGGGGGCTGGACAGGTCTCCAGTCAATCGCAGAGCAGCAAAGAGATAAACAACCATTCAATAATGGCTCTGTTGGAAATCCTGGACTGGATCCTTCCAAGTCCTTGAAAATAAGGAGAACAGAAGAGTTCTGGCTGTGGATTCGAACAGGTCTACCTTTCAGCGGGTTTTACTGCCATAGGCTCTGTTGCTTAGCAACCGTGAAAGTTGATACACCAAGTAGGAAAAGAATGAATACCGAGGTTTTGTTTGTTTCTTTATTTCTTTTTTATTGTAAAGTGAACAAAGACTGATTTAATCCAGAGTGGAATAAAGGTTCCAACCACCGGCAGCAGGAACAAATCAAATCAAATGTAATGATAGAAACCTTAGTCAGTTAAATAACCTGCTGCTGTCATTCTGCACATCTCTGATGTTGCTGCTATTTTCAAATATCCATTACTGTAAAAATGTCCATAGCTGCATATTGGTTATTTATTCTCCAGTTTTATATTGTTAAAACACTTTACAGGATTTTATTTTTTATATTTTAACTCTTCCCTATTATGTTATTCTTATACATTTTTCTAAGGTCCTCATCTGTGTGACCATTTTCAATAATCTTTCTGCTGCTGTAAATTTGCCCATTATGGGAAAATAAAGGGTTTTTCTATTCTATTCTATAAAAGGGAAAGATATAAGTAAATCTAAACAATGTATTTATAAAAAATCTATCTGCAAAATTTCTAATATTCAGCAACAAAAAATACTTAGTTAAGCATATTGTGCAAAACAGCAATAAAAATCTAAAAATCCTATCAGATTTATAGTCCCCACCCTGCAGATATATTAGAATCTGTCCTTAAATTCCAGCCAAACCCATTTAATCAGTAACAGATTAAAACCTTTAGATAAATCAAACATTACCGCCACATATCTGACTCTATAACCATTAAAATAACTATTTTCATTCATCTCAGACGGAACTATTCACTGACTGGATTATATTAAACTGAACTTCCAATATTCACCACTGGTCGGCATCATTTCCCTCTTTCCTTTGATCACGGCTTGCTTGGTCTCGCAATGAATCCTGGGTAAACCAAGGCTACGGAGGATACATCGGACCCGTCCTTCAAATCGGGTTAGGGACGCATTTTAAGGTCGCATAACGAGGAGTCTTGGAATCCAACCAGACCTCAGCGCAACGCTATGACGTCATAGGTCTTTGAATCTGACCTTCGAAGGACGCAGCCCATGATTTCGAACAGAGACACTCAGACCTAAGGAGAATTTAGAGAAGCCAATTAACCTACCAGTCATGTTTTTGGACTGAGGGAGGAAGTTGGAGTACCCGGAGAGAACCCACTCATGTTTAGGGAGAACATGCAGACTCCAAGAAGAAAGACCCCGGGCTGGGAATCAAACCCGGAACCTTCTTGCTGCAAAGCGGCTGCAAACTGCACCACCCTGCAGCCCTATTTACAAAAAACTTTATTTTTTATTTCCAATAAAAAAAAAGATAAATCTAACAGTCAAACATTTGAACCTTAACATCAATGAAAACAAGAACAAGCCGAGAAAAAACAGGTCATAGCAAACAGACAGGATATGACATCAGAAAATAAATGAATAATAAAAAGAGAGAAGAGAAAAAATAAAGCAATGCATCTTAAATCACCATTAAACACTTATGATTAAAAATAGAGCTAAAAAAATAAACCGAGAATCTTTCTGCTGATGTGAGGATCTGATTTCTTCTCTTTTAGACAGGAAATGATGTCATCGCCACCAAGGACAGGATATGCTGCTGGTTTTTTCCTTAGATTCACACCAAACAGACAAACGTTCGTCAGGCAGACGTGACCGTCTGAAACTTTTTATTTTTTTTAAACCGTGGATCGGGGGGGCCTCAGGATCCCCTCAGCTGCAGGTTTACCTTCTCCTTCCACATTTCTTCCTTCCACCAAACCTTCTCTGAATCCAACCTTGAACAGTTTTTTCCTGAGACATAGAATTATATGATATATGAATATTAAACTTGTAAAGATTTTGATTTATTTTTACTACTTTTTTCTACTTTATCAACACAGAAATATTATAGAAACCATTTATTATTATTATTATTATTATTATTTAACTTCTTTAATGAAAACTTGACTTATAAGATTCTAATATCACATCATAGCAAATAAAAAACAAGTTTTTAAAACTGTTGAGTCTTAATAAAAGTATGTGCAATACCTGCTAATAGGAATTTAAAAAAGGTATTTTTAATTGAGCAATTTTGCATCATCTACGCCGTTATTTTATTTATGGAATCTGATTTTATTCGGTGTTGTTTGTTTCTAAATAATTTTATCCATAAAGTCTGCATATTATCAGCATCATGTTAAAAACATCCTGTTTCTGCTGCAGCTTGAAGCTGAAATAAATCGTTTTTTTTTTAGGATTGGTTGAGTTTCCTGGTTTCTGTTCTTGCTCAGCAGTGAGGAGCTGAGGCCGTCCAGCGTTTCAACCACTTAAACTAATAACATCATGCATTATGCAGTCGTCTGACTGAGAGGCAGGAGGAAATGTTCCTGGTTTAATGCATCCAACAAACTGGCCTCGCCTGTCTGCAGCGACTTTAATCCAGACTGAAAGCCCAGAGGAAGCCGCTGCTTTCAGATGGTCCGTCCGCCTCTGTGTGCTGATGCCACATCCTTTGTTGAATCCCAGTTTGATCTCTGTTTGAACTGGAATATGCTCCATTTGCTCCATTGTGACTTTGTGTTTGAACTGTAAGGCCTTTACACCAACAAAGCAGCTCAGATCAAAAGCAGCAGCAGCAAACTTTTCCTGTTAGATTGGAGGCTGAAATAATAGAAGCTGCAGGCACCTGAGTGTCCTTAGCAGCTTTGTGGTGCTGAGGTGTGTTTCTTTGCAGGGCGCTGTCCTGCAGACCACACAAAAGAACAAAAACATCTGAAACAAGCAGGTCTCTCTAGAAGAGTCCATCTGAATCCTGCGCAGCGTTTTCAGAGGCCGGTTCTGAGCCACACCCCTGAGTAACAACATGATGAGGCCATCTGACCCGCAACGGCAGGATGTGCAGCATTTCAGGCTTCCCCTGTAATTATGGAGGCCATTACTGTCAGGTTAGGAGGAAATGGAGAAAACAAACTAGCTCAAACTAATTCAGATTAAATATTATTTGTCTCACACAGAACAGACGAGTACAGAGGAGGATTAGGGCCACTGAAAAAAAACAAAATTAACTGATTTATACATATTGTTTCAGTATAATATGGGTCATTCTGGCTTTAATCTCAGAATTATGACTTTTTTCCATATTATACTAAAATAAAATGTTTAAATCAGTTAACTTTTTTTTTTCAGTGGCCCTAATTGTCTTCCGTAGACGATTTTTTACTGTATTAGCCTCATTTCTGGATTTTTCATGGTGGCCAATTATATTTCACCTGGTAAAGATTTAGAGTTTTTCCAACTTCCATCTATGGGAGTAAATCTGATACAATAGTTTAAATGAAAAGTTCAGTCAGGAAGGAATAATCAATGGATCATTATTTATACATAAAACTGATTAATTTTCATGTGAATGTGCTTTACTGGAGGCATCCATGTTTGTCAAAGAACACTACTGCCACCTACTGGTTAGTGACATTGTCACGCTGCGGTATCGGCTGTTGATCGATCAAGTCCCAGTGCTGTATCTGGTGTTTGTCACAACGCGCTATCAGTGATGGGCAGTAGCGCCGCTACATGTAGCGAAGCTATTAGTTTAACTACATGTTCCAGTAGCTTGACCGTAGCGTCGCTGCTTTATTTATCAAGTAACTTTCCAGTAGTGACGTTATTGTTTTTATCCAGTAGCGACGTAGCGTCCACAAACGCTACAAAATCCAGGGCATAACTAAGTTTTCTATTTTTGAAACAACAATCGGAGTTATTCGTTGGACATTCACGCATGAGCCTCTATTCTGCCTCTATTCTATTCTGAAATAAATAAGCATTCAATTAATTACCCCCCAAAATACAATGAATAAATATGTAGGTAGAAATTAAATTATACAGTGAGACATAAATGTATATATAATCTTAATTAGCTTCTTTATTTTTTCACCTTCTTTGTAAACACTTTCATTTGTTCCTTGAATCGACTGTTTAATTGAAGTTTTCTCTAAGGGAGACCCTAAAGAAATCAGATGCCTTCTGTAGGGATTGTTTTCCCTAGAGATGTCCATTGAATGCAAACTCATCGCCATGTCTCCATGTGTAGAACACTACACAGTACCTTTCATTTGGCTCTAATAACAGCAGATTGGTTACTAGATTGTCTATTAGTAATTACTTTAGTTTTTATTTTAATGTGCTGATCATAAAGCAATGTTTACACTGTGATATGTCATTGGCTGATCTTTAATAAATGTTTTAACCAGTGTATCAGACTCATTTTGAATTGATATTAGGTTGGTACAATGTTAAGTAGCTTCTGATGTAGTTAAGCTACTTTTAACACATTAGTGTAACTTAGCTTGCTATAATTCTTTAGGTGGTAGCTTTGGTGTAGTGAAGCTTAACTGATAGCTTAGCTCACTACACTGGACAAGTAGCTAGCCCAACACTGCGCGCTATTATCCAAGTCATCTTGAAAACATTCTTCTTCCAAATGTTGGCTACATATTACGGGTTTTTTCTCTGGCCAGAAGTTCGATGGCATCCATTGGATCCATAATTGGAGGTGAGACAGACAGTGGGGAAGTTCAAAGCGTTTATGGCAGAAAAATCCCTCCATATCCACAGCAGAAACGGGTCACAATCAGGAAAACACAACAAGATACAGATCACTAGTTAATCTCACCAAACTGCTGGAATAACCTGCCGCTGACGGAAGGACAGCAGGCAACATCGATACTGAATAACCAGGAGGAAATGATCGGGATTAATCAGCTGCAGGACCAATTAGACAGAGGAGCAAGAAGGAAAGGAGAAACCGAACCATCATCAGATCATTTCAGTTTCAGAATCATTTAAAATAACCAGCTTCCAACTTCATGCAGCATGTCGATTCAGATGAAAAACTAAAACCAAACAGAATCTGGATTAATAGAGCTGATGGCTGATTTTACGTATGGTCATATCGCTGCATGCTTCCTCCACCTGTAGTAACCCAGAGTTATAGATGATTTAATGACGAAGGGAAAAACAGGAGCAGAACTCCAGCAAATATCATGTTAGACCTGCAGAGAACTGATCAGTCAGTGATCAGTCATCATGAAGACCAGTTTTAAGAGAGATTCTACATTACAGGCTCCAGTAAGCGTAACCAATTATATAGATACAATTTCATAAATGCGAGATCAGTATCTCATAATTACGAGATCTTTATCTCGTAATTATGAGATAAGCTGTCAGATTTTTTTTTTTTTTGGTGAATGCAATACGCTTCCGTAAATTGGCCCAAGTTTTTAAATTTAAAGAAGAGCAGAAATACCTTTCCAGACCAGTAGGGTGTTAGTGTTGATTACTTTTAGTCTTTAATCTTTTAATCTATAGTTTTAAGATGTTGATTTTTTTACAGTTTTTTTTTATTTTCAGAGATGTTTTTTTTTTAATCAGTGCCTTACTGCAGAAAAGTAGAGTAGATGTTGGATGTCAGAAGCTCTCTAGAGTTTCTCTGCCCTCGTGCCTCCTGCATTGTGCTGGTTTCTCTCTGCAGCTGCGTCTTGAAGGATCAGCGTTCAGACAAAAAGCATTGATCAAGCATCCATTCAGGCTCGTACCATCGGAGAGTTAAAGCTGCTGGAGCAGGAAATTAACAATGTGAAGCTTACAGAAGCTTTCCCATGGCTCATGTTTCAGCTTTCTAAATGCAGCCTAACAGAGACTCCTTTATGCAGCGGTTGGGTTTCTCACATATTAGCTGTTTTTTGTTAAAAGCAGGAATGAAACACGGTGTTTGGAGAAGAAGCAGAGCGGAGAGGAGCCGATGTTCAGGTTTGATTGATGCAAACCAAGGTTTTGGAAAAGATTTTTAAAATGTTTGTTTCCTTTCACATGTGCAATAAAAATATCTGTAAAAAACTATTCAATGAAAGACTTCATCCAGTAATTAACTCAGGAGGTTAGGATTAAGTTTAGATCTACGGAAGAGGATTAGGGCCACTGAAAAAAAAAGTTAACTGATTTTTAAATCTTATTTCAGTTTAACATGGGATTCTCAGAATTCCGACTTTAATCTTAGAATTCTGACTTTAATCTTAGAATTCTGACTTTAATCTTAGAATTCTGACTTTAATTTCAGAATTCTGACTTTTTTTCTCAGAATTCCGACTTTAATCTCAGAATTCCGACTTTAATCTTAGAATTCTGACTTTAATCTTAGAATTCTGACTTTAATCTTAGAATTCTGACTTTAATTTCAGAATTCTGACTTTTTTTCTCAGAATTCCGACTTTAATCTCAGAATTCCGACTTTAATCTCAGAATTCTGATTTTAATCTCTGAATTCCGACTTTAATTTCAGAATTCTGACTTTAATCTTAGAATTCTGACTTTAATTTCAGAATTCCGACTTTAATCTCAGAATTCCGACTTTAATCTCAGAATTCCGACTTTAATCTCAGAATTCTGACTTTAATCTCAGAATTCCGACTTTAATTTCAGAATTCTGACTTTAATCTTAGAATTCTGAAATTAAAGGAATAGTACACCCAAAACATGATTAGCCTTCATTTTCTACTCACCCCCATGCTGAACAACACTCTGGAGTACTTTTTTGATATCTCAAATGCATCTGGAGATCTGGGAGGCTTCTTGCTGTCTGCTGACATTCAAATAATGGAGGTCTATGGCGCCCGAGGCAGAAAGGTCCATAAAAGTCCACAAAAACTTGTCAATATTCCTCCATACTGCTCGTCCAATGTATTCCAAGTGTCCTGAGTGGGTAGCGTCCAGAATTTACTCGAAACGAAGTCATTTAGAATGTTTTTAGAGCATAAACAGTAGTGTATAGGATTTCCTAATAGCGCCCCCATGCGCGCTCACGATTCTACGGAAGCCGGCAGACCAAACCGGAAGAAAGTGCGCATTCAGCGTCTGGTCTGCCGATAATGCAAGCGTAGAAGAAGAAATGTGCTGTTTACCTGTGCAAAGAAAGAAACAACGAAAGAAAAATGTCTGAGGACTTCAGTGTTGAGGAAGAGCATGAGTTCTTTGCCGAGCTGAATGCGCACTTTCATCTGGTTTGGTCTGCCGGCTTCCGTAGAATCGTGAGCGCGCATGGGGGCGCTATTAGGAAATCCTATACACTACTGTTTATGCTCTAAAAACATTCTAAATGACTTCGTTTCGAGTAAATTCTGGACGCTACCCACTCAGGACACTTGGAATACATTGGACGAGCAGTATGGAGGAATATTGACAAGTTTTTGTGGACTTTTATGGACCTTTCTGCCTCGGGCGCCATAGACCTCCATTATTTGAATGTCAGCAGACAGCAAGAAGCCTCCCAGATCTCCAGATGCATTTGAGATATCAAAAAAGTACTCCAGAGTTTTGTTCAGCATGGGGGTGAGTAGAAAATGAAGGCTAATCATGTTTTGGGTGTACTATTCCTTTAATTTCAGAATTCCGACTTTAATCTCAGAATTCTGACTTTAATCTCAGAATTGTGGATCTTAATGTAGATGGGCACCATGAAGGCAGAGATGTGGAGCACTCAGCTTCACTGACATAGATGTGAGCTGTTTGAGGCGGCCAGTGACACATTGGTGGAAAATGAGGGAATTAGGCAACTTTTTAGTTGCCAGAGGGGTCGCCACATTAATGGGGGAGCAGAAGGTCATTAAAGTCAGAATTCTAAGATTAAAGTCAGACTATACTCTTTATTTAGTAGAAAAACAAATAAAAATAAATAAAGACATGTGAATGTAGAATAGAATAGAAAAGAATAGAATAGATAAATCTGAGTCTAAATCTGCTTTAGTCTAAATTCAAACTTAAGGTCATAATCTGTCCATCTTTCTGCTGCTCTGGATTATCAGCAGCCCCTAATCTGCTCTGGTTCCCACTAACATCCACCCCCCCACCCCCCCTCTGAGTGGGCGGAGCTCCTGAACCCTGACACCGGAAACCTCCAGCCTCATTGTGACGTCACTTCTGTTTTGCATAACCATCAGTGTTTTGATTGGAGCTCTGGCGGGATTTTGGCTCCATCTCAGTTTATTCTGCTTTAATCTGAGCAGCTGGACGCTACGTCACTGCCCCCCCCCCCTCCCGCTCCTCCTCCTGCTGCTCCTCCTCCTCCCCACTCGCGTCCATCCTTCAAAGAGGAGCTGCAGGCCGCGGAGGGAAGGACACGCGGAGGAAGGAGGCCGGCATCCATTGTTGTTCTGACTGTTTGTTTCTATTTATCGCTTCAGGCGGCACCGCTGCTTTCATCTTGCTTTGAAGGAGCCGCTTCGACGGTGAAAAAGGTAATTTAGAAATTACATTTCATCTCATTCAGCTTTAGTTTCTGTTTTCGATGCTTCAAAGTGCGAAAACTGGACGATGTGATGAAAGAGGTTCTGCTTTGGAGAGAGGAGCTGATGGAGGGGGGGGCTGCAGGCTGGACCGGTTCGGTCCTGCTGGTTCTCTGCTGCCGCCCAGTTTTCCTGCCTTCAGTTTCTTCATTAATGTGAAGCTTCAGCTCCTCCAGCAGGTTCTACCGAACCGGGAGGCAGGTTCGGTTCGGTTCGGTTGTTTGATTTTAAGTTTATAAAAATCCACTTGTCGCCTAAAAAGCGTTTCCAGTTGCCCCCCCCCCCACCTGCTGGTAATCTGCATAATCTGTTATTTCTGTTTATTTCTATTAAAATGAAATAAAATGTTTTTCTTCTAATCTGTTTGCAAAGCATTCTGGGAAAAGTCAACCTTCCTCAGAATTCAGATAGAATCTGTTTTCATATTTCTATCCGGCTCCTCCAGTGATGCAGAGATGCTGCTTATCATCCCAGTCTGGATTACATAATCTGTGGGTGTGGCTGGCAGGTTTCAGACGTTCCCACGCGGCGTGGAGCTTTTCCTCCTAACTTTAACGCCCTGCTCATCCCCACGGCGTGGACGTGGGTCCTCTGTGGGTTCTGATTGGTTGACTGACCTGCAGGGTGGAGGTCTGCATCCATGGGTGGAGGCGGTGTGGGTCAGGGAGCCGCATCAGTTCAACAACCTGCAACAATCCTGAAGAATTAAACCCTCATCTAAAATGTTAGGACTGGTTTAAATCTATATGCTGTGGTTGCTTTGGTTTTGTTGCTTTGGTTTAGTTGCTTTGGTTTGGTTTAGTTGGTTTGGTTGCTCTGGTTGGTTTAGTTACTTTGGTTGCTCTGGTTGGTTTAGTTGGTTTGGTTGGTTTAGTTACTTTGGTTTAGTTGCTCTGGTTGGTTTAGTTGCTCTGGTTGGTTTAGTTGCTCTGGTTGGTTTAGTTGCTCTGGTTGGTTTAGTTGCTTTGGTTGCTTTGGTTACTTTGGTTGCTTTGGTTACTTTGGTTGCTTTGGTTACTTTGGTTGCTTTGATTACTTTGGTTACTTTGGTTGCTTTGGTTGGTTTTGTTACTTTGGTTTAGTTGCTCTGGTTGCTTTGGTTGCTTTATTTGGTTTGGTTGGTTTAGTTACTTTGGTTACTTTGGTTACTTTGGTTGCTTTAGTTGGTTTAGTTGCTTTGGTTTAGTTGCTCTGGTTGGTTTTGTTACTTTGGTTTAGTTGCTCTGGTTGGTTTGGTTGGTTTAGTTACTTTGGTTGCTTTAGTTACTTTGGTTGCTTTGGTTGGTTTAGTTGGTTTGGTTGCTTTAGTTACTTTGGTTGCTTTGGTTGGTTTAGTTGGTTTGGTTGGTTTAGTTGCTTTGGTTTAGTTGCTCTGGTTGGTTTGGTTGCTCTGGTTGGTTTAGTTGCTCTGGTTGGTTTGGTTGCTCTGGTTGGTTTAGTTGCTCTGGTTGGTTTAGTTGCTTTGGTTTGGTTGCTCTGGTTGGTTTACTTGGTTTGGTTGCTTTGGTTGGTTTAGTTGCTTTGGTTTAGTTGCTTTGGTTTGGTTTAGTTGGTTTGGTTGCTCTGGTTGGTTTAGTTACTTTGGTTGCTCTGGTTGGTTTAGTTGGTTTGGTTGGTTTAGTTACTTTGGTTTAGTTGCTCTGGTTGGTTTAGTTGCTCTGGTTGGTTTAGTTGCTCTGGTTGGTTTAGTTGCTCTGGTTGGTTTAGTTGCTTTGGTTACTTTGGTTGCTTTGGTTACTTTGGTTGCTTTGGTTACTTTGGTTGCTTTGGTTACTTTGGTTGCTTTGGTTACTTTGGTTGCTTTGGTTACTTTGGTTGCTTTGATTACTTTGGTTACTTTGGTTGCTTTGGTTGCTTTAGTTGGTTTGGTTGGTTTAGTTGCTTTGGTTTAGTTGCTCTGGTTGGTTTTGTTACTTTGGTTTAGTTGCTCTGGTTGGTTTGGTTGGTTTAGTTACTTTGGTTGCTTTAGTTACTTTGGTTGCTTTGGTTGGTTTAGTTGGTTTGGTTGCTTTAGTTGCTTTGGTTTAGTTGCTCTGGTTGGTTTGGTTGCTCTGGTTGGTTTAGTTGCTCTGGTTGGTTTGGTTGCTCTGGTTGGTTTAGTTGCTCTGGTTGGTTTAGTTGCTTTGGTTTGGTTGCTCTGGTTGGTTTACTTGGTTTGGTTGCTTTGGTTGGTTTAGTTGCTTTGGTTTGGTTGCTCTGGTTGGTTTACTTGGTTTAGTTGCTTTGGTTTGGTTGCTCTGGTTGGTTTAGTTGCTTTGGTTTAGTTGCTCTGGTTGGTTTGGTTGCTCTGGTTGGTTTAGTTGCTTTGGTTTAGTTGCTCTGGTTGGTTTGGTTGCTCTGGTTGGTTTGGTTGCTCTGGTTGGTTAACTGTGATTAACTAATTTGATCTAAATGATGATTTAATTGGAAAAATCCCCAGATTCAGATAATCTCCACCAATGGTGGCGCTAAGAGGACATCAGGTCATTTGTCAATAGGTTCCATAGGCGGTTCTAGACGGGGTCATTCCAGACCTGCAAAGCTGGAGTTTCATCCAGCTGCCAATCAGCAGTCAGGGCGGGCTCTCTTTGTCTCAGTGGTTCATCAGGAAGTCCTTCTCATCCAGTGTGTTTGCAGCTAACCAGACCACAGAGCTGCTGTGTTTCCCTCCCCTGTTTTCTTTTCATCCATGCTAACAATCAGGATACGGTGGTTTTGCTTTTTAAAATGGGTTTCTGCCCCCCCTCTCTCTGCCGTCGGTTGTCATGGTTACCATTGCCAGGCTTAGAGCATATTGTAACCCGTTTCCCTGAAGCCCTGGGGGGCGTCTGCGCCGCCAGCAGCCCGGCTTCCTGTCATGGCGTCCCTCGGCCACCTGCTCCTCACTGAGAGCCTGACTTTCACTGCCAACGGGTCTGTAGTTTGATTCCAGTAAACTTCCTCTATCTAACTTCTCCACATTTTACAGTAGACTTTGTTTTCCTTTCCTCTAAGAAACATGTATATTTTAGTTTTATTCTTTTTGGCAGATGAACGTATAAATCGATGAAATCAAGAAAATTATAAACATATCAGTTTTCTTTCCTTTTGAATAAATCAAGGAAACGACGACAAAAAGAAAAAACAAAGGCTGCGTTCCCCCTGCAGGCCCTGATGCTCAGATGCAGGTTGCATTCAAACGGATCAGATTCAGAGCTGAGGGGCGCAGATCGCATTGGAAAAAATCTGATCTGTTGTTCAGTCATGAAAAGATCAGATCCAGGTTAAAAAAATCAGATTTGGGTGACTTCAGGCTGCGGAGTGAAACCCTAACCCTATTCCATATATCCAACCTTGACCAATAGTATCAAATATATCACATTTATCCCCTAATATTTTCTATATAATTCAAAAATATCCCCAAAGCTGATTGAACAGATCTGCTACTGAAGGTTACCCTCTCATAGATTACCCACAACCAACATCACATAAATTAGAAAAGGAGTAAATCATGATAATCTAATTGAAATTAAAATAACTAATTAGGGAAAAAGTTGAAACTTACAGAAACCTGGCTGCAGCAAGCGGATTATGGGAGCATAAATGAGGCAACTCCTTCAAGCTATTTAGATTTTCACATCCCCAGAAGTTCTGGGCGAGGAGGAGGAGTAGCAAGAATCGTCATCCGCGCGGCGGACTGTAGTAGTGAAAGGCAGGCCGGGCCACAGGCGGCGACGCTCTACCCCTTCTATTCATTCTAGCTCATCTGAATCGTTCATCTAGAGAGCGAGATCATCTGTGGTGGCAGCACTTGACATCTTCCAGGCATGAGAGGAAAACTAGCAGCAGTTCAGCGGACAGGAGGAATGAACGGTAGCCGGCGCACATGGATGATGTCATACACACTCCGCTTTATTTTAAAAAGATTTAAATATAAATAATCTAACGGTGGATGTCTGGGGGACAGTGATTGTCCTCCATGTTCTGAATGCTGGCGTACCATAAAGAATAAATGATGAACAGTTTAGTTTGTGCCTTCAAGTCGTTGCTCATAGGAAGACGTTACTGGATATAACCTAACGGAATATCTTCAGAACGACTCCAAATGACACTAAACTCATATGGGAGAGTAGAACATGATGGAATAACGGAAAATCAAGGAAACAATGGAAAAAAAAACGGCGTTCCCCTTTAAACGATGTTCAATCGACAAACTTTCTGAATATGAATGAAAGTAAGACAGAAATAATAATGTTTGGTTCCAGTCCAGTTATTTTAATTTTTTGCCTGGCCCGTTGGGCTGTCTTAACATTCTTTCATCAGTAAAAAAATCTTGGTGTAATATTTATCCACCCCTGGATGTTTTAAATGTGCTTTATAAATAAAGTTTGAGTTGAGATCCTCCTTCAAAGCTCATGAAGTCGTCTAGAGGAATAAAATCCTCCATTAGAATCTCATCAGTGTTTCTATACATTTAAGAAAAAAAGTTGAGTTTCAGTCAGAGAAATCCTCCAATAGTCCAGCAGAGTTCGTGTCTCGGACGTGTCGCGCCGCGGCGTTCCTCTGACGATCTGTTGGCTCCAGCAGCAGGTTTGGTTTCCTCTCCTTGGCGTCCGTCCTGCCTGCGCCAAAATTCACACAGCCAGGCAGACGAGCTCCGAGCCAGCTCCCATGTCAGAGGATGAAGAGAGCACATCCAGTTAGTCACAGTCAGAGAAACAGGACTACACTGGAAAACAGGCCAAGCTCCAACATCTAGAAACAAAGGTGTTGATGGCAGCAGCACAGCTGATATTTCTCTCCAGGATGGAGTCACAGCCAAACAGGAACAGACCAGATGAAGCTACTATGAGAAAAAGCAGAGAGAGCAGAACGTTAGAGATTGAACTAACAGATTCTGCAGAGTGGGAGAATAGAGATAGAATGAAGCAGAACGATGAAAAAGGAAGAAATACATTTTCCACTCTATAGCTATGCTGCTATAGGCTTAGACTGCTGGAGGACATGGGGAACTCTTTCTGCACGTTTCTGAGGTTCAGTCTGTCGATGGCGTCTGAACCTCAGCAATGATTATCAGGGTTTAAGGTTCAGGTTGATGCTTCCTGGTTTGTATTCACCATTGACCATATATGGTCTTTCCTTTGGTTTTTCATGCACACATTATCATTATCATGTTTTGGTGGCTTGAAGATGATGTTTCCTCCTCTGCAGGGCTTTGCAGTGTTAGAGCGGCAGTTCTAACGCTGATCCACCAACCTGCGGCGGGGATGAAGCCGGATGGAGCCACTATGGAGACCTCAGAGCCTGACCAGGCTGCAGCAGCGCATCGCCCCCCTCAGGAAGCCGCCACAGAGGAAGGTCAGCCTGCACCTGCAGCCGCTCAGAAGGCCAACGGGAAGCCTGTGGCTGTAGAGCCCAAAGCCCGACTGAAGGCAGGCGGGAGCAAAGTCCAACCATCTTCCACTGGTGTTGCTGGATCCGGCTCTCGACCAGGAACCGCTTCGCACCGAGCAGAGAAGGACGCTAAACCTTCTGCAGGCAGGAAAGCAGCAGGAAGTGCATCTGCTGCAGGAGCTGCTCCTAACAGGGCAGCAGGAGCCAAGAACCAAAGCAGAGTTCTGGACAGGAGGCCCGTCGGACCCGTCAAGACGTCCTCCTTAGCTGATGCAGCAGCATCCAATGGCACCAAACCCAGAGGGCCCAACGGCGCCGCAAAGAGGGCCCCTGCTCAGGCTGCCAATGGAGCAAAACCAAAAACCAGTGAGTCTCCAGAGAGAAAAAAAAAACAGTTTAAAGATTTCCAGTCATTGATTCCTTGTCTTTGTTCTTCTATCCAGCTGCTCCTAAATCCAACAACTCAAACTCAACCAAACCTGCAGCTCCAGCAGCATCCAAGACGACGACGACGACGACAACAACAAGGTACCAATCCTGCTCTCTAACGGGCTGAGGTGGGAGGAAGCTAGCGGAGGGTGGGAGGAGGCTAGCAGGCGGTGGGAGGAGGCTAGCAGGCGGTGGGAGGAGGCTAGCAGGCGGTGGGAGGAGGCTAGCAGGCGGTGGGAGGAAGCTAGCAGGCGGTGGGAGGAAGCTAGCAGGCGGTGGGAGGCAGCTAGCAGAGGGTGGGAGGCAGCTAGCAGGCGGTGGGAGGAAGCTAGCAGAGGGTGGGAGGCAGCTAGCAGGCGGTGGGAGGCAGCTAGCAGGCGGTGGGAGGCAGCTAGCAGGCGGTGGGAGGCAGCTAGCGGAGGGTGGGAGGCAGCTAGCGGAGGGTGGGAGGCAGCTAGCAGACCACGCGAGCCGAATCAGGCCGTCTGGGAACAGGTTGCTTTAAACGCTGCGGTTTGTCAGCCTTTAAAATCGCCAGCCGTCCAGCTCAGAGCGGCAGGAAGAAAACCTGCAGATTAACCAGATCAGCCGTTACCTGCCTGAACCAGACGTTCGTCATCGTGTTGAACTGCTGAGGCGTCATTGTGACGCTTCTGACATTTTAAGGGGAAAGAACTTTATTTACATTAATCATAATGTTGCTCGTGTTAAAACATGTTTCTATATTTCCTTCATTTTCATGTAGATTTTTTTAAATAAAAACTTAAAAAATAAACGGGGTTAATTTTACCTCGATCTAACACAGCCATCATTCTGACGGCTCCATTGGTTGCATTGGAAATTCTTCCTGTTGATTGACGTTTGTACCGTTGCCTAGCAACCAACATTCTACCTAGAACTCTTTGGCTAATTCAGAAAATCTAGGAGAGAAACAGGCGTTAGAAAGATGGCGATTTGGGCGGAGAGGGAGAGACGGATGGGGAGGATCAACGCAGACGCATCAGTGACCAATCAGACAGGAGGGAAACTTTAGTTCAACCTCAGGCGGTCCATTAGGACCCGAAAGCCAAACTTGAGCCTTTGGGCTAATATAACCACACACAGGTTGCCATGCCGACCACATTCACATGTCATTGATGTGAAAAGTCAGCGGGAAATGTTAGGGGGAATTCAGTTTTTGTAAAAAATAAAATTGTAATTTTAAACTTGGAACCTGTGTTGGAAAACGGTCTGATTTTACTGATTTATTTTTAACCAACAGCCTATAATACAGCCTTTAAAAATGTATATTAGACCTGTTCTAGTTTCTTTATATCCACAAGAGTTTATATCGCACACTAGAACCATTTCAGTTGATGACATCATCGCTATTCATGCCTTTTTATTGGGAATGATGTCACCTGTCAAACTGGGGGCCAGTGGGAGCTCTGGGATCGGGATCCTGGGTGTTCTGGTGTTAAAGAAATGGCCTCATGTCTCTTTGCTTCCTCCGTGTGTTTGAGGTGAAATGTTGGTGCTTCTTTCCAGGGGAGGATCTAGGATTCTAGGAGGTCAGGGGCTTGGCCCCCAGGGTGAAGATGAGAGAGTAGACTCTCTGGTTAATCCAGTTCTAACGTAAAATATGACAGATTACTGGATTAAGGAAATTCCTAGTATACTACATGCTTCATTTGTTTTATAATTTAGTCAGCAGCTGCTGATTAAACTGGACGTTAAACAGTGAGATGATTATAGGAGCTGATTTTAGCCAGAAATCGATCAGCGGTGCAGTAAAATGGTTCCATCCATCATGGCCGCCTCTCTGGCTTCAATGCGCCTCCAAACGCAGAGGGAACAGAATTCCATGGAACACCGGGACCAAGAAGGTCTGATGTTCCAGGGATGTGAAGCTCTGACTGACCTCCAGTCAGTTTAGCCACAGCTAGTGGTGACTTCTTCCTCTGCACGGTAATACTACAGTCTGCTTTCCTGCATTCTGCCACCATCTGGTGAATTCCAGTACTGCATATTTTACTCAGATCAGCTCAGAAGGGAGACCGGTAGCCTGACGTAGTCCTACTCAATTCTAGTCAGAATGAGTCTGATGCTGCTCCATAGAGCTGTGATTATGGGGCGTGTTTTGAACGAACCAGGAAAAAAAATGCCTCTGCACTCAATTGGATAGACCTACAACCAATCAGAGCAACGGAGTGCGTGACGTATGTTAAGCCACGCATAGTTGTTGTCAACAAAAATCAAAGCGTGCAGTTGCACGCCTAGAATAAGAAGATGAGCCTTGATCGCGTTTCTCTGTTCCTCTTTTAAAATTAATTTGCTGTCGATATCTTCTAGAACAGACCTAATAGCAGAATCTACTCACCTCAACTCTCCAGCGGCAGCCATTGTTGTTGTCACCCAAGCGCACTTTGGTCACGTGGTTGATTACGTTACTGTTGATCATCTGTCCATCATCGTATAAAGCCCGCCCTGACAATTTGATTGGATCGCCTGACAGTGGGCTTTAATACTCGCGCTACTATGGAGCAGAGCCAGACCGAACTTCCCCGAACTCAAACCTTGTGGGTGGGACTAAGTTCGGAATGGCACCCAGGCTAGGAGACCGGGGGCTCTGGGGCAAACATCCGGGGCTGCAGCCCCCTCTAGATCCGCCACTGCTTCTGTCTGAGGATCAGCGCTGGGCCGTAGTTCACCTTCAGGGGAGGTGATGCTGAATGATTGCATCATCAGATAAAGAGGGTCACTGTGGATTTATTAGGTTTTACTTTGAATGCAAAGCAGGCAGAAAGGATTGATGTTAAACCATGAAGGAGAATCAGAAAATCTCTTCAGTCTTTGTTTTTCTGCTGTTTAATGTTCTGCAGACAAACTTTGTCCTTTATTAGCCCCGTTTGGAGCAGATGGTTCCACATATCAGGGTAAAGTAACAGCCAGCAGTGGACCCGCCCCCCCTCCAGGCTGCAGAGCTTCCTCTGAACTCGGGTCATCTCCTCCACAAAGAGCGAATGCCAATCACCCACACAGGAGTCAGGAATGTGTGGCGCTCTCAGGACTCGTGGATCTTTGGGCGCGTTAGCAGCCAATCAGAGTCCAGGGTCTGGAGTAACGAGTCATGCATTAAAGCAGAGGATTGATTTTGTTTTTACCGCCTTTCATTGAAGTTGAATCATTTGGGACCGTCTGCCTGCAGGGATGTTAGAAAACTAAATATTTAGCATTTATTGTTGGATTTGAAGGCGGCTTCAAGCTTGGGGCCAAATCAGAACGTTTTTGTTTAGGAGCCGCTGTTTATTCATTAATGCATATGGAGGCCTGTCATCCTGTTTAATCTGGTTTCTATTGATCTGAGCTGCTGCTGGCAGGAAGTGGAAGGACGCAATGACATCACGGGTCGCCAGCGTGCTGGGTTTACAGGAGTAAACATGGATGGTAGCGCAGAAGAGCATCTAGCCATCTTTCCTAACCTTAAAAACTCAATCTTTCAAGATGGTTAAATATAAATGCTGCTGTTCGCATCATCGTCCGCCATGATTGTTGTTTTTTTCTTGCCGCTTCTGCATAGCTAGACCCAGAATCGTGACCTTTGTCGGGTATTAATGGCGTTCAGGTCGGATAAATGCGACCTGGCCTCTAAAAAAATATCCGATTTGAGTCGGATTCAGGACCACAGAGCCAAGCGGCCTGGATCGCATTGGGAAAAATCGGATCCATGTTGTTCAGACTGTTATGAAAAGATCAGATCCAGGTTGCTACGGGCAACAGAAATCAGATTAGGGTCACTGCTGGGTGAACGAGCCTATAGACGTTTATGGAGGCAGAATGGCGGCGTTTCAGTCGACCGTTTAAACGGAACCAATAAGAGAAACCTCCATTTTTCCAGATGAACGGAGCGTTAGAGCTAAAGGCTGCTTTATGTTTGGTTCTGCAGCCTGACGTCTAGACGTTGTTGCGCCCCGTGGTTCAGGGCACGTCGCTCAGCTCCATGTCAGACGAGCTGTCATCATTTTAGCCCAAACTGGAGTCCGGTTCTACGGCTTAATGGGAGCCAATTAGAAAATGCCGCCGCTCTGACTTCATGTCTGTGGAGCGTCCGTCTGATGTTGGAGGAACAAATGCTCATTGTAACGTCTGCTCCGCTTCAAGCCGTCCTTTATTAGACGCACTGCTGCGAGCATCGGGGGGGAAACGATGCAGATTATCGGCTTTGAAACGGCAGAAAGCGTCTGCAGAAGGAATGGATGTTAAAAGTTGATCTGATGGATGTCAGGCTCTGACGGTCTGTAGACGATAAGAGGAACAAACGCCTCCTGGTTTCCATCCTGAACGCCGTTCGTTCCAGATTTTCAGGCCTGATTATAGAAACTAAACCTTTTCCAGTGAAAAACAAAACTGCTGCATTCATTTTTAGTTATTCTAAACTTTTTTTCTTTTAACTTGTTTCTTTACAAGACGATTAAGATTGAAACACAAAATAAAAACTAAACCCTGTTTGTTCATTTCATCTTTAAATGGCTGAATAAAGGAGAAGCTGCAGTTTGGAACAAACTTTGTCCAATTCTGCATAAAAACTGAGATCCTGCAGAAAAAGCTGCATGTTTTTAAAACCAGATATTTTCCCGTATCTCTGGAACATCTAGAAGAACTCTGGAACTACCGGAGTTCCAGTGACTTGGTCTGGGTTTAGATTTAACGTCTGGGATGGGAGAACGAGGACCAGATGGTCATCGGTGGCGTTACTGCAGCCACCTGTGCTGAGCGGCGCCTAGTGATGAGTCGGCCATGGATCCACGGCGATTAAACGTAACCATGGAAACCGTCCTGAAGCCCAGAGGACGGAATGGAGCAGATGGAAGATTGACGGATTCACCAGTGAAACCAGTGTTTTTGGTTTACTGGTTCTGAAACAGGATAACCTTTCATGCTGCGTTCAGACGGCGAACGCTGGAAGCTTCTGCTGCCGCAGTTCTGATGCTCGTCCACATTAAGCTCAGACGTCCAGTTAACTGAGTCCAGGTGCGTCTGGAGTGGCGGCCCAGTGGGTGGGGCATAGAGCCTGGAATCCACAGGTTCTGAGTTCGAGTCCCACTCCCACAGACTGCCACTCTGACAATAGTTGAAGAAACATTGGCTCTCAAAATGGTATCAGTGCCCCATTTGTTGGTACTCACCGATACGATACCACCATTTTATTGCTGGATCGACGCCCCCCCCCTGATACTGGTATCAGTGAAACATTAATAAAAAGTAGTTAGAATCTCTGTTGAAGTGAGAAAGTCCTCCTGAAAACATGGTCTGTGCAGTCAGTTCATCCAGATCACCATCCTGCCTTCAAAGATTATTTCTCTGTGGGAGCCGCTCAGACCCCCACATACCGGCGCTGCGCTGTCACTGGGAATCCCCAGCAGCAGCTGCCTCAGGCCCGCTCGCCTCTCCAGGGTTTTCCCCTCCTGTTGGTGGCGGCTGGAAGTAGATGTTAGCGTTTTTCAGGTCTGTGCTACAAACTGCAGGCAGCAGGATAATAAAAGCCAACATATTCTGCCGGCAGGTTTCTACATTTGAAGTTAATTTAGGCGTTAATAAACTGTTTCAGAGGAGTGATCATAGCGCTCTGCATCAGCAGTGCTGCGTCTGACTCCCTGCCAGCTCCCAGATCAGCTGCTCTCATTGGTTGATGCGGCTCGCTGCTGCTTCTGAAGCGCCTCAGATGCTCAGTAGCTCATGAGGCGCCGCTCCTCCTGCTGCTCCTGCTTCTCTAGACGCTGCAGGACCTTCTGTGGCGCCCTGATGCGTGTTTCATTATGGGCTCTGCATGTAACTGCTGCTTTCAGCTTCTGTTCTTAAATTAAAACCTGAAGCTGTTTGAAGGTTTACTTCTGATCTTCCCTTTGCTTTTAATAACCTGGATTAATGTTAAAAGTTTTAACTAAATGATGCATCTCCAGATTTTATCAGCTTTTCTTTGAGTCTAACTTTAATCATAGAGCTGCAGTCAAAGATGCTGTGAAGCTTTTTTTTTTTCTTCTCAAACGTGTTTATTTCCTTTCAGGCCTGCTGCAGGTTCCTTAACATCCAGACCTGCATCCACCGTACCAAAACCTGCTGCTGCAGCAAAGCCTTCCATCCCTGCAACTGCTAAAGTTTCCAGAGCCGCTGCACCGCCGCCTGCTGGTCGGACTGCAGCAGTGCAGCCCAGTAAAAACACTCCTGCTGCAAAGAAAGGTGAGAAGGTCATCTTCTATGAGCCGTTTCATGTTTGCGTTATCTTAAATGCAAAATGTTTATATAGATTCACTGGTTTATTATGGAACGAATGGAAATATGTTTAACTGCCGTATTTTTAGAATAAAAAATGCAGTAATTTAGATTTTCCTTTGCATTAAACCTGAGCTTGAAGATGTTTGACCCCAGACTTAGTTTTTTTAAAGCTCCATGGTTACAGGACTAATCTCTACCTTACTGTGTGGCCTGACCTAGAGGCCTAGAGGGAGATGTCATTAACAATCACAGCCTCTGACATTTATTAAACTGTGATTATTTTGCAAATGCTTTTAATTTTCCAGCCTTAGTGCTGAATTTAAATTTGATCCTTTTCTGTGTTCATGTTTTAATGATTCCAACCGTTTCAGGTTATAGAACTTAAATCATGTTAATGTTTCCCTCTTTTTGCCGCAGATGTAAGTCGACCGCTTCCTGCTGCCAGGAAACCCGTCGCTGCCGCTGCAGCCGGACTTCCTTCCTCCAAAAAGATTGAATCCTCCAGATCAGCGAATGCAGCAAAACCAAACTCTGCACCTAAAGCAGCGACGGTGACCAAGGCTGCAGCCCCCAAAGTTCAGCCGCCAGCCAAACCAGCGCCAACAAAGAAGCCTCCGGCCGCCGCTCGCCTTCCGCTGGCGAGCAGAGCGCCAGGCCGGACGCCGCCCGCTTCTCCTGCAGGCAGACCTGCTGGCGCCTCCAAACCTGCGACTCCTGCCACCAAACGTGGAGCCAGACCCCCTCAGACGGGCTCGCCCTTCACAAAGAAGACGTCAGACCCCCCGGTGCCTGAAGCCCCGCCCCAAAGGACGGCGGCTTTGGTGCTGGCGGCAGAGCCGGCAGCTCCGACCGAGAAGCCAGAATCGGCCGCTGTGGAGGAGGTTCAGACTCGGGGTGACGGGGAACCAGAGGAGGTCGCTCAGCGTGAGGAAGCAGCCCCCCCGCATCCCCTTACCCCCCCTCCTCAACAGGAGCAGACGACAGTGGCCCCCTCTGGTGCCCCGCCCAAGGGGCCGGGGTCCCCAGATCAGACCCCCGCCCCGCCTGCGGCGAGCTTCGCCCCTAAGGCGGCGCCGCTGAATCTAAACGAGGAAGAGGAGGAGGAGGAGGAGAGGGAGGGCAGCCAGCTGGTGTCGGTGTCGGAAATGAGCGGAACCACGCAGCCCACCGAGGAGTCCCGTCCTGGGTCAGGGGGGGCGGTCGGCGGCGCTGCCTGGAAAGCCGGAGGCGTCTGGTTGTCAGAGCTGGACTCGGAGGAGGTGAGCGGCAGCCAGCAGGGGGCGTCGGAGCTGAGCGCCCCCGGCGTCCTGGAGGGAACGGAGAGCACGGACGAGCTGGGCGACGGCAGCCTGAAGGGAGCCATGGACATGGAGGGGGCCTCGGCGGGGTCCCCCGACTTCGAGAAGGTCCCCGACATCCCAGCGAACGAGGACGACGACAGCGACCGCGTCTGTGATATGGAGGTGGGCTCGGAGCGCACGGATGAGCCGCGTGGACCCCGCCACGACAACGACGTGGACGAAGAGGACGACGAAGACGTGGAGATGGCGAGTGAAGGCGTGACGGAGAGCGGACTGGAAAGCTACGGGAACGCGGACGAAGACGACTTTGCCGACGATGAGAGGCTGGATAATCTGAACAGGGTGGTCCAGCCGCCGCCGCTGCCGCTGCCCTCCGCCCCGGCGGCCCAGTGGGACCAGCAGAACCCGCCAGACTGTCGGTGGGCGGGACCCTCGCAGTCATGCCTTCCTCAGGGTCCAGAAGGAGAACCGGAGGCTCAGGCCTGGCCAGGGGGCGGAGCTTCAGCCTCTGCTCCTGAAGGACAGGACGTCCCACACCCCCCCCAGACTGCTGATCCCCGGGGCCCCGCTGCGGCCCCAGGGCCGTCTCCGTCCAGTGAGGCGAGCACGCCTGAGGAACGCCACCAGGAGAGGAAGCTTTCCTCTCCGGCGTTTGAGGCGCCTCCTCATTCCTCCCAGGAAGTCCAAACGGAGAGGGAGGAGGAGGAGGCGGAGCCAGAGACCCTACCCGCTGATGAAGTCCTGGGGGGCCCCTCAACGGCCCCTACCTCCAACCCCTCCTCATCCTCAGTCACAGAAGATGAAGCCAGCGACACGGAAGGAGAAGCGCAGCTGGAGGCGTCTTCTGCAATCTGTAACCTGACCTTTGACCCCATCCCTCCCCCCCAGCGCTGTCTCTCCACGGTGGAGGAGGAGGCGGAGCGGGCCCCCGGCGACGAAGCCGCTTTGCCGGCGTCCTTCATCTTCGACTCCAACACCACGCCGTCCACCAAGAGCCCCGGCATCTTCTCCCTGGAGGAGCTCCCGCTGGAGGCCAACAAGGAGCCGTACATGGAGGCTGGGCGGCAGGAGGCGGAGCCAGCCAAAGAGGCGGGGGCCAGAACGGCGTGGATCCAAAGAACCCTTGGAGGAGACGACGGACGTCCAGCCTCAGTACTACGCTATCTGTGAAAAGACTGACGACTCTTTTCCAGGTAACGTATAGTAGCACCCGCCCCCCCGTGTTGTCTCTGTGTTCCTCGCCGTCTGGCGGCGGATCCATTTAAACGCCATCAGAACAAAAACAGATGAAAGTTGTTCCTCCATGTCTGAATGTGAGGGATCCTCCTGTCCGTGCAGCGCCCCCCCCCCCCCTGGCACCCTGGGTGGGGTGGATGATGCGGCCCCCTCGCCTGGCATGGATGTTCCTTCCTGCAGTTTACAGTCAGACATCAAACTAACGATCAGTTTAACGTGTTTCTATCTACTTTCATTCTGTGTTTCTGTGGTTTTTAAGCCAAACTGTTGAATCTTTAATCAGGTTCTTCTCCTTAAAGGTGTTTTGCTCTTAAATGTATCCAGTTCTTTTGAAACAAACCTTAAAACTTTAAATAAAGATTAGATTTTTTACCATCATGTTTTCTTATAGTGTGTCGAGGAGAAGCTGAAACTGGGAGAAAGTTCAGATTATTTAACGTCCTCAGATGGAGATGAAGCTCTGACTGAGGCAGCTTTACAACATTTATACAGCTACTCCCAACCCCCCCCCAATAACTGCTGACCCCCTAAAAATTACCTGCATCCATCTCTATACAGTAACATTCACAGGATCTGGAGACGAGGCTCAGGTTTACCTGCAGGCTGCTGAACAGACATGCTAATAAGTTGCTAACATTAGCTTCAATTCTTGTTATTCTCACACTGAGAATCAGATTTATTTAATATATGTGTGAGTGTGTGTACACATACAATATAAAAGTACCAATATATTGTAGTATATAGCTATATAATAAATAGTCAGACATACTCTGTACAATTTTTTTATAATTTATTTTTTAATCAGTCAGTTTTACAGAAAGAACTCCATTTCACTCATTGCACCCCCCCCCCCCCCCCCCCCCATAGGCTAGTAAACTAGCCCCGCCCACCAGCGGCCAAAATGGGAGTTGGTCTAGCCTCCATCAATGCCCCACGCCCTAGAACTGGCGGGCCAATCACAACGCAGAGATGTGTTTTGAATGACTGGATGCAAAGTGGGCGGGGTTTTAAGGGCGTGACGAGAAAGCTGCGCGCCGCTGCAGAAAATACAACAAGGAAGATGGCAGCAGCTGTTGACCAGCAGCGTGATGGACTGCTGCAGCAGCAGCTTACCATGGAGCTGACCCACTGGAAGTTAAAATATTCTTTTATTGAACAACAGCAACAGAAAGCGAACTTTTAAGATCATTTGAGGCCAGAATATTATACTTTAAGGCGTCACTATATGATCCATTTACCGATTTAATGCGTGATTAAAAGACTATTTCTGAAGTTGAGAGGATCGGGGCAACCAGCGGAGCTCTGAGGCTAATGGTAGCCCGTCTGCGGCGGCGCTCTCTTGGCGTAGCGGTGTGAAGGACCGCTGGCTGCATGAAGTTTGAATTAAGTTTGAATTAAAATTCTATATCTTATTAGGTCAAACATTCATAATTTAGGAATATTACATATTTTTGAATTCGTTAAAGTTAGTTTTCTATAAAAATCTGAATTAAAACTCAAGAAAAACTAAATTTTTATTTGTTCTTGGGGAAAAAAAAACATTTAGCAGATGAAAACCTTATTTATTTTAAATAATTAGAAAACCAGAATTTATAAAGGAAAAAATAATGGATCCAAAGGACCAATCAGTATCCATGTCTGCAGATCATCATTAGAACTTCCAGGACAGGATCTACAGGGGCACTGGCCCCCGTGGGCCCCCGTCTAGAACCGCCCATGCCACTAATTATGAAAGAAATCTGTCCTTTGATCTTTTTAAGTGAAGGTTTTTCATAAACCTTGTGGATTTTATGTAATGTTTGCAGCTTTGGATGGTTGGGTTGCTGCATTAGGAGGGGGCGTGGCCAGTTTAGGGCCCCGCCCACAGAGCTCTGGGGTGCAGATTAATTACTGCAGACGTTTATTGGCGTCTGCAGCATTAAATGCTTTATTTTAGCGAATGGAAGTCATGGGATGTACGGTAGCTCGGCTGCCGACGCTTGGAGCTCGTCACTGACCTGTTTGGCCCCCCCCCCCCCCCCCCCCCCCCCCCTCGGGGCCATTTAATGCAATATAAAATGAATGCAGGAAATATTCTGCTGTGAAAAGACAAGCAGCCTTTCCAGGACTGCGCCGCCTCTCTGCACTAGGATGGATCTGTCAGGGCGCCCGCTCTTCCCTCCCTCCCTCCTCTGGACCGAGTCGCCTCAGGATCGGTGGCGGCGGCGGCGGCGGTTCCCCTCCCTGTGGGTGTGTTGTTTGTTTTGTACTTTGCTGCACTGTTCTCTGGAGCTTCTGCATGTCACCGCTGCGCCTCCTGTTGATGGGCTGCAGCATCCAGGCTCGGTTCTAGGAGGGGAAGCGTTCCTCTGCTAAAGCCGAGCCGCCAGGCTTCCTGCTGATGCTGGAAATGCATGAGGAGCTTCTGCATGAATCAGGAGGAGCCAAACAGGAAGTTCTCCTCCTTTTCTTTCTCTGGGTCTCCAGGTTTGCTCTCTGCTCACCACCTCCACCCAGGCACCACCCTGTCCCTCACCCTTCTACACCCAGAGTCACCGTTCTGTTCAGGAGGGAATGAAAACCTGCTGGTTGATTTTGGGGCTTTTCTTCACCTCCCTCCTCCTCCTCCTCCAGTGGGAGGAGCTTCCTTTCTCTGACACCTTCCTGCTCCTGGCTGTTCTCCGCCTCTATAGATGTTTGACTCTGTTCAAAAAGTGAAACTCATTGTATTAGTATGGGACCCATAGGATGATGCTGCCACCGCCATGTTTCACAGCAGAGGCTGTAAGTGTAGCGCAGCGTCTTTCCTGCTGCGATGGAAAGCAGATAAAGTTTGATAAATGCCGTCGGAGGATTCGGCGTGGCGTGGAGGGACTCCGCCTCCACGGTTTCCATGGTTACCTGATCAGGTCATGCCGTGTTTGCTGACAGAGCGCAGCGCGGTCCATGAACCCGTTTAAGGTGATGGTGGGAACGTCTGTTTTTCCTTCCATCTAACTTTCCAGTAAAATACATTAAAATTATTCGTAGATTAATCTTTAATTAAAATTTAATGACGTATTTCCACTTTTATTAATAAAATGATGAGTTTGACTTTTTGAGGCGGGTCACTGAGTCGGATCGTTTCCTGCGATGATTTTAAAGATGTTTCTCTTCTGCTTCACCTCCAGGCTCGTCCTCGATGCCTCAGCGCCGCGACCACTCCTCCTACCCCAGAACCTTCTGTGACATCATCAAACCCGCCGCCGCTCCGCCCAGGCTGAGCTGCGCCGACCTCCCCCCGCGGAGCGCCGGGCAGCAGGCGCTGAGCCCCCAGCTCCGCAGGCTGGAGCAGCATCACAGGCAGCTGCTGGAGCTGCAGCAGCGCAGGGAGCAGCAGAGCCGGCCGCTGGAGGAGGCCGAGCAGGAGAGGAAGAGGAGGGCGGAGGAGGAGGAGAGGAAGAGGAAAGAGGAGGCGGAGGAAGAAATCAAGAGGAATAAGGAGGAAGAGGAGCTGAAGCAGATGATGCAGTGGCGGCAGGAGGCGCGGCAGGAGGCGCGGCAGGAGGCGCAGCCGTCTCCCTCGTCGGTTCTCTGCACCATTTATGAAGCCTTGGAGAGCAGCGAGGAGGAGGCAGAAGATGGAGAACCGCTGGAGAAGGAGAGTCCTGGACCCGAACCTCCTCCCCTCCCCGACTCCCCGGAGCGGCCCCCGCCCCTCGACCTGGACTGGGGGGAGAAAGTGGACATGGTCCAGCAGCTGATCAACCAGACGCTGCTCCTCCATGGAGACGGCTGCTCCTCCCTGCTGCTGTTGCCGGGCGGTTCTGGGGGAACGCTGAGCCCCCTGGAGAGCAGCCTGTGGCCCCGCCTGCTGCCCCCCCTCAGCCCTCCCTCTGCCACCGTCACCTCCGTCAGCAGCTTCTCCCCGGAGGCCGCAGGCAGCTCCTCGCAGGGGGAGTGGACGGTGGTGGAGCTGGAGACGCATCACTGAGGAGAGGAGAGGTTCCTATGGCAGCAGCCACCGACCGGCCGAGCTCCGCTGACCAGACAGCACTTGAACGCATCACAGGATCTAAAGGGTGAACCCGAACGCCTCGGAGAAAAATAAAGCACAACACTCTTCCAGCATCAAACGCTTCCATCTGTCCGCCGCTCTGACCTGCTGCCCCTCAGCATGATGCTGCCACTACCGACAGCAGGGATGCTCAGCCTGCATCTCTGCAGCTCCTCCAAAGGCAGAGGCTGTTTTAACGCCTGTAGACCTGGGGGGGGGGGGGGGGGGTCAGCTGTTCATCCTCAGACCAAACAGGTGCAGCTGATAACTGATGCGACTCGGAGGAAATCTGAGCACCCGAACGCAACACGACGCAGAACTGAACCCCCCGCTCATCAACGGCGGATACCAGCTGTCAATCACCTGATGCTGCTGCCATGGAAACCGCCATCGGCCCCAGTTACCGACTGTTTTCCTGCTGGTTCTCCTGGCGAAGCCTCTGATTGGTTCCTTGCACTTAGATCCAACCAGAGAACTTCCTGTTAACGGCGGGAAAAACCGACCAATCTGATTGGAGCGTTTTAGGAGCGCGGCTCTGATGAGGCCTTAAACCTTTAATCACTTTGTTTTTAACTCAGGCAGCTTTTCCTCCAACTCTTTTATTTCGTTTAAGTTCTGATGAAATGTTGTTTTTTTTTCCTGCCTCTTATTTTCTAACGTTTGTAGATTTTATCTCTAGAGACAAAAAGCACAAAAAAGGAAGAAATTCTGCTTTTCTTTAAACTGAGCAGATTGTTTTTATCCTGTTTGATTCACAGAAAATGATCTTTGAGAGACTGACTGGATTATGATGCATCTAATCCGGGGCCGCGCCCCTTCCTGGGGGCCGCTCAGCTTCCTGGGGGCCATCCTGCTTCCTGGGGGGGGCCGGGTCCCGCTTCCCGGGGGCCGCTCTCCTTCCCGGGGGCCGCTCCCGCTTCCCGGGGGGCCGCTCTCCTGCCTTTGGTCCAATAAACCTGAATCCAGTAATTGGATGAATCCTGAACTCTGTTCATCTCAGCGTTGCAGGTTAGTGACCCCCCAGGAACTGGGATCTGCTGTGGCCCCGATGTTCCCCTCATGTTGGTCCCCCCTCCCCGTCGTGTTTCTGTGTCGTTGTCCTCCTGCTGTTGACAGACTGATCACTGTATGGAGCAGAGGCTCCACTTTTATATTTTCTAGCGTTTCTGGAGCCGCTAAAGGCGGGAAACGATTCCTTCATGTAGCGATGAGTTCAGGGGCATAGAAAGAAAATGGACGTTTCCCTTTAAGGACTGCGGTTGGTTCTCAGGTTCACTTATTTTTTTCTTTGCTCAGATGTTTATTTATTAAAGGATCCAGTTTGTCCTTTTAAACTGAGTCTAAACTAGAAGGGATGATTTTCAGCGGAGGCTCAAATGACGGCAGCTTCTAAAAGGTTTTTTGTTAAAATTGTTGAAATAGTTTTCATTCAATGTTTCATGTAAATAAAATACTTTTTTTAATAATTTGTCTAGATTTATTTTCTTAACCTGCAGAAACACTTTAAAGGTCTTTATAGTTTCCAGCCTACATGGCGGTTCAACGGAACGCCGTCATCAACGCTCCTCCATACGCCTGCGGGTCAGAACCTGAACGACCAATCAGATGTTTAGATGAGTTTTAGCTTCTCATCATAAAACGGTTTCAATAACTTCTAGTGCAGCAGCTATTCAGCACGGTGGTGTCTGTGTCATGCTGAGGAGTCATAATGAGATCCTTCAGCAGCTGAATGACTGATCTGAGTTTATCTACAGCGACCAACTAAAGAAAGGGAACATTTCTGATGAAAACCAGGAGAAACTTTTCTCCAGAATGACTCCAGGACCTTCTTAATATCTACGACAGGAAAGAGCTGCGTCTTTAATTCAGACATTAATCCCAATAAATGCAACATCCTGGACTGTTTTTTTTTTTTTTTTTTTTTTTTTTCCCCCTGTCCTTCATAAAACATCTGATAAACTGGCCCCTTCTCAAAGCGCCATCCAGGCTCCTGATTGGCCTGAAGGGGGCAGCAGATGAGTCGATGTGAAGCTGGGCGGCTCATTGGATGAAAATGAAAAAGAGAGATCATATCTCTCCTAACCTGGCTTCTCTTCATTGGCTTCCTGTTAAATCCAGAATAAAATTTAAAGGAATAGTACACCCAAAACATGATTAGCCTTCATTTTCTACTCACCCCCATGCTGAACAACACTCTGGAGTACTTTTTTGATATCTCAAATGCATCTGGAGATCTGGGAGGCTTCTTGCAGTCTGCTGACATTCAAATAATGGAGGTCTATGGCGCCCGAGACAGAAAGGTCCATAAAAGTCCACAAAAAACGTGTCAATATTCCTCCATGCTGCTCGTCCAATGTATTCCAAGTGTCCTGAGTGGGTAGCGTCCAGAATTTACTGGAAACGAAGTCATTTAGAATGTTTTTAGAGCATAAACAGTAGTGTATAGGATTTCCTAATAGCGCGTTTATGAGTCTACGGAAACCGGCAGACCAAACCAGATGAAAGTGCGCATTCAGCTCGGCAAAGAACTCATGCTCTTCCTCAACACTGAAGTCCTCAGACATTTTTCTTTCGTTGTTTCTTTCTTTGCACAGGTAAACAGCACATTTCTTCTTCTACGCTTGCATTATCGGCAGAGCAGACGCTGAATGCGCACTTTCATCTGGTTTGGTCTGCCGCGGTTTCCGTAGACTCCTGAACGCGCTTTCAGGAAATCCTATACACTACTGTTTATGCTCTAAAAACATTCTAAATGACTTCGTTTCGAGTAAATTCTGGACGCTACCCACTCAGGACACTTGGAATACATTGGACGAGCAGTATGGAGGAATATTGACACGTTTTTTGTGGACTTTTATGGACCTTTCTGCCTCGGGCGCCATAGACCTCCATTATTTGAATGTCAGCAGACAGCAAGAAGCCTCCCAGATCTCCAGATGCATTTGAGATATCAAAAAAGTACTCCAGAGTGTTGTTCAGCATGGGGGTGAGTAGAAAATGAAGGCTAATCATGTTTTGGGTGTACTATTCCTTTAAAATCCTCCTTCTCACATATAAAGCCTTAAATGGCCAAGCTCCATCTTATATCAGAGATCTGATTGTTCCTTATGTTCCTAACAGAGCACTTCGCTCTCAATCTGCAGGTTTACTAGTGGTTCCTAGAATTTCTAAAAGTAGAATGGGAGGCAGATCTTTTAGTTCTCAGGCTCCTCTCCTGTGGAACCAACTACCAGTTTTAGTCCGTGAGGCAGACACCCTGTCTACTTTTAAGGCTAGGCTTAAAACTTTCCTTTTTGATAAAGCTTCTAGTTAGAGTGGCTCAGGTTATCCTGATCTATCTCTATAGTTCTGCTGCTATAGGCTTAGACTGCTGGAGGACATAGGGACCCCTTCTTCATCATTCTATCTCTATTCTCCCACTCTGCAGAATCTGTTAGTTCAAGGGTTAGTCGTTCCAAAAAAGTTTTTTTTTTTTTAACTACTGAACTTTTGGGCAAAAAAACTAGTGGACTGTTTTTCCTGCAAGAAGAAAATACGGTAATAAATGAGAGAAGAAGAAAAGTCAGTCACTGAGGAGGCCAAAGAAGAACTGATGCTGCAAACCGGACAGCCTGCAGGCTTCAGGGCAGTTGCAGGACACGAGCTGACCACAGGAGGGCGCCAGAGCAGCGTTTGCCAACATGTGCAGCGAACAGTTATGTATAAAGAAACAGCAGAAACCACGTGGATCCCTTTGATAGACTGAATGACCTGAACTGCCAATAATGAGGAGTTAAAGTGAACAACAGCTACAGTTCATGAGACACAAGTATATATATCTATGTATATCTATATCTATATATATATATATATAGATATATATAAGCAATCAATAAAACAATAGAGAAGCACTAAGATGAAGGAAAAGAAGTTCTGCTGCCTTCATTTTAGAAAGTTAGAGTTGATCTAAAACCTCCTGAAAATACATTTAATTCTTTTCTTGATTTTCATTCAGCAATTTGACAACCTGTCCAGCAGATGGCGAAAGCAGGCAGCCGCCTCTGTAGCCTGTCGCAAAGTTGGCCCTGCTGGACTGGATCCTCCAGGGACCCGGTCTACCTGGAATGGATCCAGATGGACTGGGATATCCAAGGCTACGGAGGAGCAGACCCATCCTTCTAAACGGGCAAACAGATGGCAGCGTTTGTCGGCCGCATAACGAGGAGTCTTCCGATCCAAACGGACTTCGGCGCCGCTGGACCAGAACTCAGCACCAATGCAGCCATTTTGTCCTGAAATCCTGTGAAGCACCAGTGGTGGCTGCCTGTCGATGAGGGAATGAGGAGTTAGGAGATTCTTTCAGGAGACGACTGGATGATGACGTCTTTATTTAGTTTTCTTGTTCCGCCCCTAAGACTGTTCCGCCCTGAGCAGTGAGCCATATCAAGGAATCCCTCCTCAGCGCACCGTCTGAAGGGGATTAGCAGGACATTCCAGCTTTGGATACTTTCTCTTTCTGGTTAGCTAGGTTATAGAGCTGCTGAGCAAAAAGCTGCACGTTTGATTCCCAGCTGGTGAAGCAGTTTTCTGGCGTCGGGTTTCTTTATTTCCCCCAGGAGGGATTTTCATTTTGCAAATCAGACATTCAAATTTCCTTCACTTCCTGCAAACTGCAAACACTTCCTGGATCCGCCTCCTGCGCGCCGGCTGCCCTTTATTCACCTGATAAACTGTGATCTAATAAAAACTTAGAAAACTATCTAAAAGAAAACCGTTATTCTCACGCTGTCCTGTTGCTCTGGTGTTCTGCACTTTTTATTAGTTTTAGAATAGGAAATGGATTTAAAAGAATTTGTTTTCCGTTCAGGAAGTTAAACAACTGAGAACATCAAGCATATAAACACTGATCAGGCAGGATGGACACGAACATTTATACTGAAGAAAACAGAATCACACGAAAATTTAACAGTTTGTTCAGATGAACATTAAGCTGAGCTTTAAATCGACAAAATAACCCAGAGAGAAGATAGAGGACCTCCCCCCCACCCCCACCCCCGGAAGCCCAGCTTGGTTCTGATTATGGAAACTTAAACCACAACATTTTAGCATCAATTACACACAATTACAAAAATCTTTCATCTGGACTCAATAAATACTCAGTTTAAACTAAAACTCAATCTATGTTCTAGAAAACGTGAGTCTGAAATAAACCAATGATGGATTGTAATGCGGACAGTCAGGTGTGGGTCCTTTAGGAGGACGGGGGCCGGCTGGGGGCTCATAGTGGCCCTTCAAACCTTAAACCAGGGGTCACCAGTTAAGAATCAGCGGGGTCCCAATAAAGAAAATCATCAACCAGTAAAGGTCCAGAGACATTTTTAATTATGATACTTTAAACAGAATTTGACCCTGAAATAAAATGAGGTTTTATGCATCCATGTTATACATTGAATTTTTCACTAAAAAACATAAAAGAAATTGAAAGTTTTTCCATTTCTAAAGTGTTTTTTTAAGTAGAGAACAACAATCGTTCAGTTTGGTTTATAGATAATTTCCTGATTCCCATATTTTCTCAAACCCCTGAACTGATGGTTTGTTATTTTCTTTCTTTTTTCTGTCTTAATGTTGGCAGTGGGCTTTAGGCTGCCCTGCAAGGCTTTAAACCTGGGTTTAACCGGAGACTAAGCCATTCTCAAGCACATATCAAGGAGCTCATTTTGAGCCTGGATCCAGATTTCTTGTTGATTCTGTTCATGGTGGAGAATCCTGCTTCACAGCAGCAGGTTGAGCCAAACATCCTCTAAATGTGCAGGGTCATCTTTGAGCACGCCATTTCACTTTTCTTTCACCAGTTCACCGCAGTTCTTCCAGCAGTCCACACTTTCTCTGCTCTCTTTTTCTCATGGTCTTCTCCTTCTTTCCCATCGCCCGGCTTGCCACAGGTTTGCCTGCTGTGTCTAGAAGTAGCAGCAGCAGCAACCCAGACTGACAGCTCATTGGCTCATTTGGATCACGTGCAGCCTGGAGCCGGACGCTCCCCAGGGCTTTACCGTATTAACAGGAGAAGAGGCGCAAGTGAAGTTAGACACTGCCGTCTGACAACAGGCGGTAATTTATAAATGTTTTAAATCAGGTTGGGTCTGGATCCACTAATCCCTCTGCTTTAACCCTTTAATCCCAGAGAGTTTAGCAGCTAAATGTGGATTAAAGCAAGTTCAGCTCGCAAAGTATAAACTGGAAAGATAATCCCTCCTGGATCATTAAAGCATTTCTGATTCTGATTCCATCGTCTGTATAACAGGAAGACATTGAGGAATATTTTCAGGTGGAACCACTATTTTAATAAATTATTGGTGATTATAAAAATGAAAAATATTTAGCTTCTAAAATAAACTGTTAAACCCCATAAAGCCCATTAGAAACTCTGGATGAACCTCAGACTTTATAAATCCACATCTAGACTAGAACTAAAGCTAATCTGGACTGAATAAGATAAAGCATGTTTGTTCCTCAGAGGTTTTAATGGGCAGGGGGCTGATTTTGGCAAAATGGTATTTTCCCAGTTAAGCAAAATTAAACTGGTTTCCAGTAAAGAACAGAAAGCCTCACGGTGTTGGTCTTTGCTAGTGTTGAGGGACCCAAATATTTCAGACTAATAAAGTTTCCTGTTGGGGGATGAGGTCAGCAGGAGGCATCAGGTGTCTGCAGCAGGTAGAATTTATTTATTATACACAACTGAACAGCGTTAGAAACATAATGAATGTTTGGTTGACCTCCTGCACATTAAAACAGACTAAAGAAATTCCATCTTTTTCCATTTTCATACATTTTTTAAAAAGCTTAATGGAGACGCAAGGGGGCGCTAAAGAGCCGCGGGTTGCTGACGCCTGATCTACAGATAGATGAACTCTACGGAAGAGGATAAGGGTCACTGGGAAATAAAGTTAATTGATTTTTAAATTATTTTCAGGTTAATATGGGGGAAAAGTCCGAATTCTGACTTTAATCTGAGAACTGTGGATCATAATGCTGATGGTCTCCATGGAGACAGAGATGTGGAGCTTCAGCTGTTTGGGAGGAACAGGAACACATTGGTGGAAAATGATGGAATTAGGAGAGTTTTTCCATCCCTGCTGATGCTGTTTGATTAATGGAAGAAAGTGATTAAAACCAGAGAACTAGACTCTAAACAGACATGGATACAGCTTCATGCTAACATGTTTGTTAGCATTTGGTTTAAAGTCAGTGGCCCTAATCGTAGAACTCTGAGATAAGAGACTTTATTAAAACATCAAGTTTTAAAGATAAACTTGATTTTAGAGCATTTTGAAAACTTTAATTGGCAATAAACCAGGATTCTGTCAGATTTATAGAAAAAACAGAAACATTTATTTATTAGTTTCCTTATTTAAACTCTGCAGGACGTCATCAATCATCCAACAGTTACTCGTTTAGAGGTTGCCATGGCAACGGTCGCTCCTCGGGTCACCTGACCCGACACGCCAGTGCGCGTCCCCGCCTAGGTCGGGAGCGCGCCTGTGTGACCGCTGCTCGCCGCCGCCGCAGCGCTTCGCTCACAGGAAGAGTCGGAGCTTCAATCCAGGTCCTCCCGCTACAGAACAAAGGAAGCCGCCCCGCGCGCCGCAGAACTTCCAGCGGAACCAAGTGGACCCGTGACGTCACTGCAGCTCTTTGTCTGTGAGCCGCCTAAAGGGGCTGACAGGGAGGCATGTGATCCACCCGGGAGGCAGGAGGAGCAGCAGGAGGAGCAGCAGGAGGAGCAGCAGGAGGAGCAGCAGGAGGAGGAGCAGCAGGAAGCTTCTTTCTCCCCCGCCGCTGTGGATGCGGCTCTCCGGCTTTTTTCGGGGCTTCTATCCGGAGGATGGACTCTGCTTGGAGTTAAAAGTCTGATTTTGATCATTTAGGGGAAATAATTCTCTTTTCTTTTCTAAACCTTCACTCTGACCTTCTGCTGGTCAAACCCCGGGAAGGAGCAGCTGAGGGAGGCGCCCCCCCTCCTGCCTTTGTGTTTCCCACGCTGCTCAAAGTTTCACATTAAAACAGTGGAAAAAACACGCGGGACGAACAGAGAGCGCCTCCTCTGCTGGCTGCTTCAGTGGGACAGTTGCTGTGATCGTGGAAAACGGCCAGCAGGGGAAAAGCATGGCCAACGACTCTGTCCAAGTAAGTTCACACCAACAGGGGAGGAGAGAGGAGGGAGGGAGGGAGGAGGGAGGGAGGAGGGAGGGAGGGAGAGAGGGAGGAGGGAGGGAGGGAGGGAAAGATCAGCTGCAGAGATCAGCTGCAGAGATCAGCTGCATTGATCAGCTGCAGAGATCAGCTGCAGAGATCAGCTGCAGAGATCAGCTGCATTGATCAGCTGCAGAGATCAGCTGCAGAGATCAGCTGCAGAGATCAGCTGCATTGATCAGCTGCATTGATCAGCTGCAGAGATCAGCTGCAGAGATCAGCTGCATTGATCAGCTGCAGAGATCAGCTGCAGAGATCAGCTGCAGAGATCAGCTGCAGAGATCAGCTGCATTGATCAGCTGCAGAGATCAGCTGCATTGATCAGCTGCAGAGATCAGCTGCAGAGATCAGCTGCATTGATCAGCTGCATTGATCAGCTGCAGAGATCAGCTGCATTGATCAGCTGCAGAGATCAGCTGCAGAGATCAGCTGCATTGATCAGCTGCAGAGATCAGCTGCAGAGATCAGCTGCAGAGATCAGCTGCAGAGATCAGCTGCAGAGATCAGCTGCATTGATCAGCTGCATTGATCAGCTGCAGAGATCAGCTGCAGAGATCAGCTGCAGAGATCAGCTGCATTGATCAGCTGCAGAGATCAGCTGCAGAGATCAGCTGCATTGATCAGCTGCAGAGATCAGCTGCAGAGATCAGCTGCAGAGATCAGCTGCAGAGATCAGCTGCATTGATCAGCTGCAGAGATCAGCTGCATTGATCAGCTGCATTGATCAGCTGCAGAGATCAGCTGCAGAGATCAGCTGCAGAGATCAGCTGCATTGATCAGCTGCAGAGATCAGCTGCATTGATCAGCTGCATTGATCAGCTGCATTGATCAGCTGCATTGATCAGCTGCAGAGATCAGCTGCAGAGATCAGCTGCATTGATCAGCTGCAGAGATCAGCTGCAGAGATCAGCTGCAGAGATCAGCTGCAGAGATCAGCTGCAGAGATCAGCTGCATTGATCAGCTGCAGAGATCAGCTGCAGAGATCAGCTGCATTGATCAGCTGCAGAGATCAGCTGCAGAGATCAGCTGCATTGATCAGCTGCATTGATCAGCTGCAGAGATCAGCTGCATTGATCAGCTGCATTGATCAGCTGCAGAGATCAGCTGCATTGATCAGCTGCAGAGATCAGCTGCAGAGATCAGCTGCATTGATCAGCTGCATTGATCAGCTGCAGAGATCAGCTGCATTGATCAGCTGCAGAGATCAGCTGCATTGATCAGCTGCATTGATCAGCTGCAGAGATCAGCTGCATTGATCAGCTGCAGAGATCAGCTGCATTGATCAGCTGCAGAGATCAGCTGCATTGATCAGCTGCATTGATCAGCTGCAGAGATCAGCTGCATTGATCAGCTGCAGAGATCAGCTGCAGAGATCAGCTGCATTGATCAGCTGCATTGATCAGCTGCAGAGATCAGCTGCATTGATCAGCTGCAGAGATCAGCTGCAGAGATCAGCTGCATTGATCAGCTGCATTGATCAGCTGCAGAGATCAGCTGCATTGATCAGCTGCAGAGATCAGCTGCAGAGATCAGCTGCAGAGGTCAGCTGCAGAGATCAGCTGCAGAGATCAGCTGCATTGATCAGCTGCATTGATCAGCTGCAGAGATCAGCTGCATTGATCAGCTGCATTGATCAGCTGCAGAGATCAGCTGCAGAGATCAGCTGCATTGATCAGCTGCAGAGATCAGCTGCATTGATCAGCTGCAGAGATCAGCTGCATTGATCAGCTGCAGAGATCAGCTGCAGAGATCAGCTGCAGAGATCAGCTGCATTGATCAGCTGCAGAGATCAGCTGCATTGATCAGCTGCAGAGATCAGCTGCATTGATCAGCTGCAGAGATCAGCTGCAGAGATCAGCTGCAGAGATCAGCTGCATTGATCAGCTGCAGAGATCAGCTGCAGAGATCAGCTGCAGAGATCAGCTGCATTGATCAGCTGCATTGATCAGCTGCAGAGATCAGCTGCAGAGATCAGCTGCTTCGGTCATTAAGGCTTGTTGAGGAAACAGCCGATCAGTTCAGTTATTATTATTGTTCCTGTTGCTTGGTTGACTGTGTTGGCGTCCTGCAGCAAACTGGTCAGCTTTCACTGGAACCATCTAAAGAAGATGTTGCAGATTAAAGCAGCATCTTGTGTGCAGTTTTAATCTTAAAGTCTCTAATGAAAAATGCATCCTTCTTTTCACTGTAGACAAGCCATGATCTGCTTATCTGTTCTCCATTTTTCATTTGGATGAAATAATAGCTGCTTGAATCATGACAGCAGACAAGATAGAGGAGAGCAGGAGGCGGGGTTACCAATCTACTCGCTCTGGAGAGCAGAGTTCGCTGCTTTTAGATGTTGTCTCCAAAGTCTCCAGTAGCAGAAAAAAGTCTCTAGATTTGGCGCTAGGAGCTTTTTAGAAATCAAAGTGCTAGAGGGGTCTGAAAAGTGGCTAAATATAGCGACTAAAGCGCTAAGTTGGCAACACTGCTCTTTGCATGGTTTGTTTTCAAATGGTTTGCTGCTGTCTGTTTGGACCTTTCTGAACATGTGCAGCAAATGGACTGATCCAATATGGTGGACACTGAAGGGGGGGGCTGAGACACATTTAATATTATCAGCGTTCTGATGGCATTTTAGTGAAAGATTTTTTATCAAAAACATAATTAATGTGCAGAAATAAGGAATAGTTTTATTAATCATACATGGAAACAGAGTTTTATGGGGCCCCCAGGAAAAATCCGCCCCTGACTTCACGTACTGGAAGGCTTTCTGCGGCTAGCCGGGCCGTTTGTCGCATCGTAACGAGTTTCGCTCGTGTTGTTTCTGTGTTTTATGTCTATCAGTAGGAAAGTGAAGGAAACCGTTCAGCTCATAGCTTAGCTTAAAGACGTGGCTAACGCGTTTGGATGCACAAACTTCGCCATGGATGGTTAACAAAAAAAAAACAACAGTTTCAGACACAATCAATCAGCTTTAAACAGTAGAATGTGTTTTATTATTTAGAAGTCAATATATAACAGGTAGATTGAGTCAGATTGGAAACATGGCCGACAGGCCGGGTACGGCCCTGGAACCAGAGCGTCCTGAATGAAGGCCATAGGTGACCCCTCATCTATCATTTATTTTGGGCTTCGTGAGCTGCCGTCACCTTGGTGCCGTCCTGCGTGGCTCCGTATCGCCTTGTTTACTGATGCGGAGCGGAAAAGCAGGCACAATATTGGTGTTTGGTGTGAAACATCTCGGGTTTCAGCCGCCGCCCTCCTGGAGCTCAGCTTCCAGCGCTCAGAGACGGACAGCTCAGCAGCGTTTGGATCTCTGCTGGTGTTTAGCTGAGGCGTCATGCAGGTGTTGCAGGTGGTTTGCTCTCTCTGCCAATCACGCATCCCTGCTGTAGTTCAGGAACGTTGTCGCCGCTGAGTAGAAGCGAGCAGGAGCCGAATCGACCTTCTGTGTTTGTTATAATTAGAAGCAGGAAACATGTGAAAAATGCAGAAGCGGGACAGAAGTGATGCAGCTCCGAGTCGCTGAGTCGAATCTGAGGCGTTATTACGTAACTGAATGTTGACTAAACACAGCAGCTCGTTTGCTCACCTGGTTCTTTCATACCTAATCTTCATGTTGTGTTCAGACCGATGAGAAGGTCTCATCTTTAATGCTTTAAATCGGATTGAAACTTGAGCTTTTTGTAAAGTTTAATGGAAAAGGGAAGTTGTTTAAAAGCTTTTCTCTTTAGAAAGCTGTTAAACTGGTCCATAGAGCTAATAAAGGCCCGGTTCTGGTTCTGGTTCTGGTTCTGATTTCATGGTTATTATTATTCTAAGATGTTTAATGGTTTGTTGTCTAAATGACAGCAGGCCTCCATGTTGGTCAGGCCTCCATGTTGGTCAGGCCTCCATGTTGGTCAGGCCTGTTCCTGCTGCAGCTGACAGGATGATGAGGAACTAGCAGTTTCTGGTTGAACCGGTTCTGATAGACGCCAGCGGCGCTTTGTTTTCTTCTTTTAGAACACGACATTCCTGGAATAATGTGCGACTTTCTAAAAAACCCTCAGGGTTTGTTAAAGCACCGTTAGCTCAGCTAGCGGACATCGACTCTATGATTAAAACTCTACGTTTTCTGACTTCAAAGCTCTGGAGTTCTGATCAAAGCTACAATGTAATTTCATCTACTGGTCAGACTGCAGTGACGGGGGGGGGGGCTCTAAGGAGGGGGGGGGGGTTTTGGGCGCTCTAAGGCTGGAGGCGTTTTAAGGGAGGGGGCTGATGGAGCTACATTTACTCCACCTGAACTCTTCATTATGTTTTTATATTTTCCTAAAATGAGCTCCAAAATGTATTTATTGAATATTTTCTATTGTTGAAAACACAAGAGAACCAGAATAAACTGATATTAATATTTATAGATGTTAGAGAGACGCCTTTTACTGCGTTATATATCTATATATATATATCTATAGGGCCCAAAAACATTCATGTTTAAAAGAATAACAGCCGATTCTGAATAAATAAATCCTGCATTCCTAGAAGAACAATTTCAACTCCATCCATCCAGAATAATCTGGAATCTGGAATCTGGAGAAGATGCTGCATTTTAAATATAGCATTTTTTTTTCTAGTGAGCTTTCTGGTAAACTTGGAGATATATTTTATTGCATTTCCCAGTAAATCTGCAGCTCTCTCTGCTTCTCTCTGTTTAAAAAGATGAATGAACCTCTTTACTAATATAATGATGCTAGAAACAACATTTCTAGATCTGTAGAAGCTCTGCAGTCTGATTCTGTCTGTTTAATGAGAAACCAGATGACCCTTCTTTTTAACCAATATTGAAGAACACAACATTTAAACTGTTTTCTTAAACTTCCTAAAATCTTTACTGACCTGTTTTAGTGAAGGAGGCAGCAGAGACGAAGCTTTCTGAATTAAAATGGAGGACGAGTAAAGGACGAAG